GGCTTGATACTGACTTATTTTTAGTGCTGAATAATATTCCACTGCCTGGATGGAATTATTTATCCATTCATCTCCAGAACACCTTGGTTGCTTCCAAGTTTTGGTAAATGTGAATAAAGCTGCTAAAAATATCCATGTGCAGATTTCTGCGTGGACACAAGCTTTCAACTCATTTTGGTAAACACCATGGAGCACAAATGCTAGATCCTACAGTGAAAGTATGTTTAGTTTTATCAGAAACTCCAAGCCTTCTTCCAAAGTGGCTATGCTATTTTGAATTCCCACAGCAATGACTCTGAGTTCTTATTCCTCCACGTGCTCACTCGACAAGTCCCCTGAGAAGTGTCCAGCCATCCGTCAGCACCCACGACCTGATGGATGTCACACACTTGGAAACTTTGGGGTCACTTAGCACACACCTCCTCAGAGGAAGTTAAGGTCTTTGGGGATTCAGTTCAACAGTAGTGACTGAGTCAGAGAAAGCACAGATAGTACGAGGTGTCAGCTCTAGGAGGAGTGATGTTACCTCAAAGTTACGCTCCACTGTAAACAGCAAATGTAAGTGCCTTTTAGACCTCATCATCAGAGCAAGCACACCCTTGAGAACTAACTTGCTATCTTCAGTATCTGCCACCTACAGTGGCCAGAAACGCCAAGGATGTGCTGATGTGGTTTCACAGGTAAGACACAGCAGCCAAGCAGAAGTGAAATGTTCACATTGTGCACCCATTGCTCTTGTTTTACAAGCAGTATGAGGGGCACAGGAATTAAATGGGGAAATGGCAGCTCCCAGGCTGACCAATTCCTCTCTTGTTACTCTGAAAAAAAACACAGAGCAGGAACCTGTTTGCGGATCTTTGAAGAAGTGAGGCAGTGGTCCTTCACTTAACGTTGAAATGAGGTCCCAGGGTGCTGCCTTGGGTATTTTTGGGTCCGTTAGGCTTGGAGGATAAAGATACACAATTACCAGGATAAATATAAACAGCAGAGATGAAACTTGCCTCTCTCATGGGAGTGAGGAAGTTTAGTTCCTCCTGAAGCTAGTGGGTGCTGCAGGACTGAGCAAAAGTCAGATGCAGGGCCAGAAGCCGGCATAGGTGCTTACTGATCACAGAGCAGTACCGCTGTAAGTTAGTCTCCACTTTTAATTCATATACCACATTTTGGGCTGATGTGTTTCCTTCCAGGTCTCTGACTTCTTATTCTGTAAAGTCTGCCTAAACCCTACCTTTCAAGCAGAGATTTCTGGGGGAAACAGCAGTTCCCACCATGAACTCAACACTGTCCGAGAGGATGAGGAAGCTGGGCTCAGAGGCCATCTGCGCTCGGTAGAGAAATCCTGTGCCCTTCATTTGTTTCTCTGTGGACGTTTATTACACAAGGAGTCCCCTCAAGTGAGCCACCTGCTTCCCTCATCCTCCTCTGTAAATTGGCAGCCCCACTGCCCTCCTGACAGCAGGGCCAGATCTACTCGGGTAGGAGAGAAGTTTTGGACACTGTGACTTGCTCTCTGTTCGGTTTCTGTCCTGCCAGGCCAGGGACCTTTCTCCCTCTTCTTGGGGTTGTTTCCTCCCTGCCCAGATGTGCCAGCTGCAATTGTGTCTGGGGCTCTGCTCCTCCAGGAACACGGAGCTCTTTGTGAGTAGCCATGTCTTGACCACTGGGTCCCAGAGACAAGGTAGGAAGGTGGCCATGGTCATCTCCTCCCCTGTCCCCTCCTGAAGTTGGGGGAGAAACTGCCTTGCCAGCTCCTTCCAGGCTCCTCTGCTCATCCTTCTTCCTTCACCTTCTCGTCAGGGTCACCAAGCACTCCCAAGGGCCTTGGCTTTTGTAGAACCAAACTCAGGGAGACTTTGAGTCAGCTCTGTCCACAGGGCCATCCATGGCCCACCGGAGATACCAAGTCCTAAGCAGGCAACAACTCTGTCTGTCCAGCCCTGTCCAGCCCAGTGTGCAGGCATGGGGTGTAGACAAGTTGATCCGAGAGGGTGTGAGCTGGAGAGAACCTCCAACACCGCTTTCCACTGTATCTTCCTGGGAGCATCTGATTCCAGGTTCGGAACTGGAGGACCATGCTGCATCAGGCCACCTGCCCCTTTAAAGCCTTTTATTCTGAAGCACTGATTCTCCTTAGCTAATAACGAGACAGAGTTGAGGGGACTGCTTCAGCACTGCTCAGAGCAGAGGTGAGGAAGCCTGCAAAGTCACACAAGCAGAAGTATAAAATAAATGAGACTGGTCTGTGAAGACAGACTGCAGCTTGACCAGCTGCGAACAGCTGTTTTATAACAGAACCTTAGTAAATGGGCTGAAGCCACAGCTCGGAACACTTGCCTCACATCCCTAGGTTCATTCCCCAGCACCACAAAGAAAAAGATGAAATTAGCCAAAAATAAAAACAAAATGAGTAGAGAGAGTCTGAGGATGGAGCTGAGGATTGAGGCTGACTCCAGGAAGTGCTCTGGGTCCTGCCACTCCTGAATGTCAGTCAGCTATTGTCCAGGTGCCAACTCCCCTCTACAGCCTGCCTGTCCTCACCCGTCCAGGCTCAGAAGCCCAGCTCCCTAACGGTCCATGATAAAAGTGGCCAGGTGCTGGTGGCTCACACCTGTAATCTTACCTACTTGGGAAGCTGAGATCAGAAGGATCGTGGTCCACGGCCAGTCCCAGCAAAAAGTTCTTGCAACCCCATCTCAACCAACAGCTGGGTGTGGTGTCACATACCTGTCATCCCAGCTACTGCGAATAATATAAAAAGGAAGATTGTAGTCTAGGCCAGCCTTGGCAAAAAGCGAGATCCTGTCCCCAAAATAATCAAAGCATGGCTCAAACTGTAGAGCACCTTCCTAGCAAGTGCAAAGACCTGAGTTCAAATCCCAATACCACCAAAAAAAAAAAAAAAGATGAAAGTGCCCTCCCAGGCTGGCTGGCCAGCAAATGTGACCTCACCCAGCTCACCAGATCCCACCCTCCCTCCTCACTACATAGTGCCATGCTGCACCCTGGGACACATGGAGGAAGTGGGGAGAAAGAGGACATGATGGTCCTGGAAAAGTGCAGAGGTCAAGAACGTTATCTTAACATGGGCAGGATGGGTGAGCTTGAGTCCTAAGTCAATAGCTGAAGAAGACTGAGAGGGACAGAAGGGTGAGCAGAGCTCAGTCCTGGGGCTATGGAGTACAGGCCAGGCGGGCGGAACCATGCAGTGCTTACCTGAGTACTTACTCCGCCAGCTGCCTGACCTGCCAGTCAGCAGAGGTTTCCTTAAGCTGCTCTCCCCTACTGTTAAGCAACCGTCCTTACTCATAATTTCACTCACAGAGTGGTGCTAATTCCATGCTGAAAACCACATCACCCTCATCAAATAGGTTTCATTTGCTTCCACAAAATTAAGGAGACTCTATCAGCCACAGGTATTGGATACAAAGGGGAAGGAAACCTGCCACAGGGGCCCAGGACAGCTCTAGACTGTGAAGGGAGAAGGGTGTGGTACAAGCCACACAAGGGACACAGATGGGACAGCATGGGACAAAACGCCAGGCAGGTCACTTGTGATCAGCCGGTCATGCTGGATGCCTTATGGTCACAGGCACATTCAGCACATCACCAAGACTGCTGGTGCCACTTAGAAATGTGTATGACCACCGTCATTTTCTTAAGAAGCATGTGTATCATTTCTCCATTGGTCTGCTCCAGAGCAGACACAATTTCCTCCAACCTGCTATTGAAATACACCTTACACCTAACACTCTGTCCCTCTACTTCTAATATGTTGGTCAAGTTGTTTGGCTCTTAAAGCCAATATTTACAGAAAAACTCTGGTTTAAAGTGCTGGCTATGTTATGTAGTGTGCACACTCCAATTTCATCTGTCAATTAAAAAAATGTGCAATCGAAAAAATAAAGTACATGCTACCTGTGTGTGCTTGTGTTCCCCAAACTTGTGTGGAAACTTAATCCCCAACACAGCGCTGTTGGAGTTAGGGGCCATGGGGAAAGGTTAGGTCAAGAGGACTCTGCCCTGACACAGGCATTCACACCACAGTACAACACATTTGTGGGAGCAGGCCCTCCCCTCTGCAGGATGGGACCTACAAGGTGCCATCCTGGAGGCGGAGTCTCTCCTCCCCCTTGGTCCTTGAAGGATCGGAACTTCCAATCCTTTCCTGTTCTTGACAGAGTGGCAGGTCTTTTGTCCAGCAGCCCAAAGCAGACCGACAGTGCCCTCAGGAAAACCCTTCTAAGGGTCGGCTCTTCATCTACAGGACACCCGAGGCCCAAAATACACTTTCTAAATACCAAAAGTGCTATTTCTATTTGTCAAATAGCACTGCATTAATCTGGTCTCTTGGAAAAGAATATGATGATGTATGAAGCTCTTAGTAAAAAAAATTGGCTGAGATTTGTAAAAAGATTGCCTCAACACAAAATTCATTTTTAAAAAATAGGCATGGTGGAGTACATCTGTAATCCCAGCACTTGGGGGGCAGAAGGAACAAGAGTTCAAGGCCAGCCTGGGCTATATAGCAAGACCCTGTTTCAAACAAAACAACCAAAAAAAAAAAAAAAAACCCACAAAAACCAGATTCTCAAAATAAATCTAAACATGGAAGTGCCATAAGGAAACTCCTGTGTAACTATCTTAAACAACAAAAATGTCATTCTTTTCTTCTTCTTTTCTACACAAAATTGGAGAAGAAGAGGGAGGAACAAGTCCTGCGGGGGAGGAGAGTACCTGTGGAGGGGGAGGAGGAGGGGAAGGGTAAAGGAGGGTGAATGTGCCACAAATACTGAGTGATCATGTATGTAAATGGAAACAAGAGACTTGTTGAAACTAATCCAGAAGTGAAGGATGAAGGTGAAGGGTAGAGGGGGTGAATTTCAAAATGATATATTTGATATATTCTAAGAACTTTCGTAAATGCCACAATGCACCCCCACCCAGCACAACTATAAAAAAAAAGAAAAGGATTCTCAGTAACTTTCAGTGAATTATACCCTGGTAATCAATAGTCTTTATTAAAGAACGCAAAATCAAACAATTTATGAACCAAAGGACCTAAAAGAAATCGACATGAAAGTTGTAATAGAAGCAAATGAATGTCTGTAACATTTATCTCTAGAAAACACGATCTTTAAGGAGCAAACGTAAGTTTCCAACTCAATGCTGGAATTAAAATCTGGTATCACAGCTTTTTTTAATAATATATTTGATCAACACATTATAATTCTGAAGTTATACAATAAATTAAAAAGTTTCTAATTTTTCTTTTTTACCAAAAAAATCATGAACTAATGAATTAATAATAGAAAGTTACTAATTTCAGAAAAAAAGGCACATCCAGGCAAATAGTCAAGGCGATTTGTAAAATGCAGTGTTACAATCCTACTGCACATAATCAACTGACTACAAATAAATTATTCTGGAAAGTTCTAAAACATGACAGGAGTACTCTGTAACAGCAGGCAAACACGAGGACACTGCCTCTTTGTTAGCGTTACTCTGTCTCCTGTTTCAAGGTTCACGGCAAGGCAAGATGACGGACAGTCTTGGGACTTGCTTCCCCATGGAGAAGTCCCTCCCCAAGTCGGTCACTGTTCAGGACAGTCAGAGGCTGGACCGTCTCTCTGGCCTTGGCACACATTTTGTAACTGCAGCTCTCCACAGCACTGGGGCAAGCAACAGGCTGAGCGTGGTGACACTTAGAATAAGGAGGTACACCTGCAACGGTAAACAGGGCTCAGTCACAGGCACCTGGGCACCAGGAGATGCACCTGCACGGGCATGAGGCCAGGTGTGGCATCTGGAGTGGGATTAACCAAGATTTGACAGCCCACGTAAAGCTTTGGTGGTTCTGATGAATCACAGCATGCATGGCAGCTTGAAGCCTGTGCTCGCTCAAGAGTAAACCCTCCCGGGATCACTGCAAGTCAGACTGACCACGATGCATCTTTGCACCAGGTGTCAGATGGTACCAGCTCTACTCCTTGGCAAGCCCTCTGCTACAGCTGGATGGCAGGACTTCTCTGTGTCCCTTGTGTTGTCACAAGTCACAGGAGGGAGTTCTGAATTCTGAATGCTCTGCTGGACTTAGATGGGGAGCTTTATGAAGTATTCAGCCACATCTATGGCTTAGGTTTCTTAGACGCTGTTAATACGCAAGTTAGCAGCTCAGCCTTAAGGAGTTTTCTTCTTTTCACAAGAAGTATCACTTAATTAGAATTGTTATAAAAGATAACAGCAGCATTAAGTAGTAACTTTTACCTGAAAAACTCCACATCTGTGTGAGAAGGGAGCAGCCAGGCCCACTCTACATCCCCCCTTGAAACAAAGGCTTCTGTTCCAGCCCAGCACGGAACACAAAGGAATACTGCCTCCAGACCTTGTGTACCTGGACCAATAAGTAATGCACAGCCAGGGTGAGAAGCATCCCGTCTCTGCCCAGGATCTGACACTGAAGCACGCGATGTGCTCAGTGTATACTCACCTCCCGAGAGATGATGCCTGTTCTTCGTGCTCGGCTCCCCAGGACAAAGGAGAACTCGCTGACCTGGGCCAGCCCTGCAGAGACGATCCACTTGATGTACTGACTGCTCTTTGGCAGGATAAGAGACAAGACCAGAGCTGCCAACACAAACTGCAAGAGTGGTTTATCACACACTGTACAAGACACAGAAAAGAGAACCTAAACGGAAGACACTAAGGCTGCCAGCAATTCCTACAGGTAAAGGGGGGATGTGCACACCAAAGTACGTCAGGTACCCAGAAGGCCAAAGTATCTTAACAGAAGGCAAAATAAAAGGTTTAGGTTCACTGGCCAGAAAACGAGCCTTCCTTTCCCAAATTTAATCAACAGCATTAAATATTAAGTAGAGTTCAAGATAGAATTCTTTTCATAAAAAAGAGATGTACTTCTGTGGGTGGGCAGCTCAGCAACCCTGAGATTCTGGACCCAGAAAGCCAGGTGGCTACTAAAGAAGCAAAGCTAAATGCTAACAGGGTGACTTAGTAAGTAATCTGTGGTCAAGGAGAATGGACAACTGAACGGTGCCTGCTCAGTTCCTGTGCTTGACACACTGGTCTGTCACAAAGGAGGTGCAGACTGGTTGTGAGACCCAGGAAAGTGCCCCCACCAGGCTGGTGGCAGTTCCCAATTTAAACACCTCAACTCTGAGAAATGTAACAGGGTATCCTGACATCCCCTGGCTCTTCCCAGGCAGCCAGCAGGGAGGTCCTCTCCTGTGAGGGGGTGCAAAGCTTCCCCCAGGCCCATGGAGACACGCTGAGGCCTCTCAGGTTTGAAGTGGCCACTGGCTGGAAATGAGGCCCACTGGGAAGTGCTCTGTTGAGCAACGTGTAGAACTGGATGTGGCATAGGTCTCACAAGCCATGAGTCACGGGAAGAAAACATCGTACCTTCATGACCACCACTGACAGAGTAAGGAAGAGCAGCACCGTCAGCTCGTACATCACGAAGGTGGGGAATACGTGAAGTCCTGCAGGAGACGGGGGACAGGTCACTTCAGGTTAGGGATGGCTCCCACTAGGGAACACCATCTCCCCAATTGCAAATCTACAGCTTTTGCATGCTTAAAGTTTGCTTCTGTGTAAGAATTAAACTAAAATTCTGAATCCTAAGTGCATTGGTAGAGCCCTCTCCTGCCAGGCAGGGAGCCGATGCTGGGCCCAACCTTCCCTCAGGGACAGATTACTGGACATGCATGGCCCCTGCATCTGTACACAGAGGCCACCAGGAAGGGATTCAATCCACTCTGCATCTATGCAGCAGCCCTGTCCTTTCTCACTTGGGTCTCACGTCTTGAGAAACCACAGGGATCACCTTCCCTCACACTTCTCTCTGCTTCACATTCCTCTAAGGCTGCTCAGGCTCTCTGTGCTGCCAAGAGAAACAGGCAGCTCCTGGCAGGTAAGCTCTGGCCCCACCTTGGGCCTCCACCCATCTGAGGCCTCACCATCCTGAGGAAAATGCTGGCACCTGGAGACCTCCCACTATCAAAAGTGCCCCAGAGTTTAAAACAGCACAGAACAGACCATGGACTTCCAGTCATTCACGGACCATCTGTCTCTGTTTTACTCAGAAATACAAACATCTAAATTCCCATTTCCTTCCTAGACATAATTTCCTCTTTCCTGATGTGTGGGGATGCCTGCCCTGTGCTGTTTGGAATTCCATGCTGCATGCACCTGCTTGGCTGCACTCCTCAGCAGCCCCCTGGCTCCTCTAGCCACACATCCCATGCCCTTGTCCAGCCCCTTCCTCCCTGCCCCCACTGTAGCTGCTCTTCTCAGTACCTGTTCTTGGCACTTAGGCTCCCAAACTCACTACCACATTCCCCTCAACTTCTTGCCTCCTGTTCCCCAGACCCAGGGAGGGGCCCCCTGGAGTCTCCTCACTCGCCAGCTGGCTACGAGTCCTGTGGGCTGACCAGCCCTAGGCGCTCCTCCAGCCCAACTTCTTTCTTGACATCAGTATTCAGAAGCTCTTGATGTCATGCGTTGTCCATGCAGGGATAACCAACCCAGATCAGGAGCAGCACATGGCACACAATGACATCCATCCTGTCCCATGACAACCACAGACTCTTGGACAAAGTCCACATGTGGGGTAGGTACAACCTGCCCTTTGGGGCAACTGACCTTTCTGCCTTCCTGGTATCCCACATGTGCCCAGCTGGGCAAAGCTCTCATACCCATGGGTCTTGTGGAGCCAAGGAAAATGGCTGAGTGCTTGCAGTCCAGGTGTTTCTCTGCCCCCAGTCTGACTCACCTCACTTTCTTGGGACATCCCGCACCAGGCATCCAGTCTGGCTTTTGCCATCCTCAGACTTTTCTAGGAGCCCTACCTCCTCCCAGGACACCCTGTACCTCCTGCTTCCTTGGCCCTCACTGGGTTGTAGGCAGCTCTTCTGGCATGATCCTGCTGAGAGCCAGTCCACAGGGAGCACCCCCACAGGCTGTGAACTCCTTCCAGGTGGCCTCACTGTGCTCTCTCGCCTGCTGCAGAGCCTTCCCACATGCTATCTCACAGCACCTGCTCCTCACCCAGGGGATATGAATAAACAGCCACAAAAGTGAATCCACCAAGGCCAGTGCCAAGAACATGGATGAAAGTGAGCAGGAAATCCATGCTTCAGCACCTGTGTTGTGTATAGCTGACAGGAGGGCAAGTGAGCTGTGCTTAGCGTTTGGTTTATGGTCATTAACCCTTGAGGCAAACATCACACCATACTACAAATGGCATAAACTGAGCCATGCAGACGTCAGGCCCATTTGCTGAGTGTGGATCCCTGCCAGTCTTTTAGCCTTGGTATGCATCAGTTCCCCATCTTTAATGTGGATTTGGGGGATAAGTAGATGCAATGTGCAAGTGAAGTATATGCTGGCAGCACAACTGTTAGGCAGGCACTTGGGTCATGAACTTTAGCTGAGTGAGGTCTAACAAAGTGCTCTTAAGTCATGTTCCATCAGGTGCATGAAGGCCACCACCTAACTCATCAGTCCCACCCCAGATCCTGCAGTGCCCAGAGAGCACAACACGAGGAGGAGGTCAAATCTCTACTGGAAATGTTATAAGAAACTGGACCACACTGTTGGCATTTGTAGAACCAGATGTGCAGAGAGAGTGGGCAGTGCAGGATGACAGCCTCTCCAGAGGTTCCAATGATAAATGCTTTACACTTTGTGGGCCACATGGTTTCTGCTGCCCCAACACAGGTTCACTATTACAGCGTGCTATGCACTGAACTTTGTCCCCACAAACTCAGCTCGAAGCCCTCTCCCCAGGGAACTACTTGGAGACATGCTCTTTAGGAGGTAACTAAGGTGCAGTGAGGTTAAGAGTGGGCCCTGTCAACAGGACTGGGCCTTGGTAAAATGAGGAAGAAGGTGAGGGAGGCCAAATAAGCTTTAGTAAATTAAACAAACAAACAAAAAAAAAAAGAAAGAAAGGAAAAAAGAGGAAAGAGAAAAGAAAGATCAGTCCAGGCTGACTTATACAAGCACAAAAGCAGCATCTGGTAAGATGTAAAAGGGTAACTTTACTAATAAAGCAGGTGGCAGACGGGATTGGCTGTCAGCTAACCTTGTGCACAGGGAAGAACTCTGACTCCACCCGCTGGCTCAGCATGCACTGCACCTTCTGCCTGCATGACCTGGGTCCACTGCTGCCCTGCTGAGACCAGTATCCACTTCACTGAATGGGAATGGATGCTGAGATGACCTTCAGAGCTGGTATGAGGATCCAGAGGAACCTCTCAATGTCTGGAAGCCCTCTGCCTAGACCATGTGACCTCCCAGCTTCACCACTGTGATCCCTCGCTCTCCCCAGGTACCTCCTCAGTCTTCCTTTGGTGGAGAAAGCCCTTTCTCACTGGGGCCTGAAAACTGTTCCATGTTTCTCATGCTTTTCGAGTGCAATCGCTCCTCAGGAGCACCTGGGCCTGACTCCCCCTCCCACAGGTGGCACTGTGTGGCTGACTAGCAGGTATTTAGAACTCTCCAGCAGACAATGGCAGGATGTGCTAAAAGCCGAGACCTCTGTTCTCCACTTCTCACTGTGCACAGGGTCACAGCTATGTCCAGTGGATGCTACATACATGCTGCCATCAGCACTCAAGGCAAACACAGGAAAATGGCCATGAACACGCTACTCAGAGTTCCCTTGACATTCTTAGCACAAACAACCAAAGCAAAGGCAGGTGGGCTTATTGTATTAGTGGAAAGTGGGGCTCACCACATAACAGGAAAACTAATCTGAGGAAAATGGAGCCAGAGTTCCTGTTCAATCATGCTAGTGAACTCTGGATTTAACAGGCGCAGCTCTGAACACAGATACTCAGTAACGTCCAGCTGACAAATGGATGATGTGCTAGCCAAGCAGCTGGAGAAGCATGGTGCAGGTGGGTGAACCTGACCTGACTGACTAGAGTCACTTTCGTTAGACCTGCTTAGAAGATGGTGAGTCATTCAATGGGACTGGAAGGCCAAGCAATCGGAGCTGACAGGCTCATGTGACAGACTCATTCAGCGTGCTGCGTGGATGTCATTAGGAAAAGCTGGAGTGCAGACAGAGGCAAAGAAGGCATGTTGGGCGCAGAAAGGACAAGCCAAATGTTAGGGGCTCTCTCTGCACACCTCCCTATGCTTGGCTGATTCTCTGTGCTCCCAGTTGACCCAGTGACCCGGCTGGTGGAAAGTCTTGATTCACCTCTAATAAGGTGTCGGGCCAACTGTGTGCTTCCCCCTTAGGACTGATGTGCCAGACAGGACCTTCGCATTTCTCAGAACCAACTACTGGTGTCCCCAGAACCCACTACTGGTGTCTTCTCCCCAGGAACACACAACCATTCTGAGTGGAGAAAGACCAGGCACACATAAGGATGTCGAAGCCCATGTGGGCTGTCACTTTCAGGTCACTCTTCTAGACCAGCTACCGGGGACTCCTGAATGACCCACATGGCACAATCACAGACCTACTGAGCCTATGGTGTGCAGGGGGGGCCCCCTGTTCCCCATCACTGGACCTGAGGATGAAGCTCGGCCCTTTGAAGGTCCACTGGTTGTCTCTAATCCTATATATGCTGATGAAATATGACAAGCAGTCAACCAGTCACAGCTTTTTCTGCCCACTTTCCCTCCTTTTAAATAAGATTTCTCCTCAAACTAGGAAAAAAAGGTCTACAAGTAAACATAATGCTTAGGAAGTATGATTATAATGTAAAAGAGACAGTACCTATGGATGCGAAGAAGATGATGGCCAGAAAGTCACGGATAGGTTCAATGTATGCTGTGATCTCCTCAGTTACCATGTGTCCTTGAGAAGAGATAAGCGCTCCAGCCAGGAAGCAGCCCAGCTCCATGGAGACGTCCAGAAGCTCTGTGACCTGAGGGAACACAGTGCTGCTGAGTCACATGCCTCCTGTCAGGGGGCTTCACATCCAGACATCCCCAGACCCAGAGGAACTCCAGTGGACAGCAAGAACAGCTAGAAGCCAACAGGGCTGAGATGCCCTGGCTCCTCTTCGAGGCCCCAGGAGGGTCCAAGAGAGGCAACAGGTAGAAGCTAATGCTGGCTGAAATAACCATACTGGGTTACATGAGACAGTCGTTCATGTAGATTGCTACAATAGTTTTTAATAAAGACATTTTCCAAAATTCATTTTAAATATTTGTGACACATTTTCTTTACCTGGGTCATGAACAGAGAGGTGTGGCAGTAAAAAAGGTATTCCTACAGTCAACCTCAAACCCCATAGAGAAGGCAGACACCACTAACATGCACCCTAGATAACAGGACACAGAGGGAAGCACCCACAATCTATACAGAATGAGTGTCAACAACATAACACGCAAAGCTGGTCACACAGAGGGGTCGTCATGGCATGCAGGTCTTCATCTCATTCTATTAAACACAGAAGTCACGGCTGATTTCTTAGCAAGGCATCGTTGACAAAACAACTTAAAGATGTGTTTTTAAAAAAGACCATGGAAAACAGCAGCAACAAATATAAAATGAAGGGTGTGTGTGTGTGTGTGTGTGTGTGTGTGTGTGTTACGTGGGCTTGAACTCCGGGCCTTCACTGTGAGCCACTCCACCAGCCCTATTTTTGTGAAGGGTTTTTCGAGATAGGGTCTCACAAACTATTACCCTGGGCTGGCTTCAAACTGTGATCCTCCTGATCTCAGCCTCCTAAGTAGCTAGGACAACAGGCGCGAGCCACCAGTGCCTGGCTAAAATGAAGTTTTGAAGAAATACCATCTACAATAGCACAAAAAAGCATCAGCTACCAGGAAACAGCTTCCCCAGAAATGCATGACCTCCACACCCCACACAACAGGGCATCACCGAGATGTGGCCAAGACACCAGGAAAACCAAACAGTGAGGACACTCAGTTTCACAGAAGTGTTGACTCTCCCTCAATTGGACTACAGACCCAGTGGAATGTCAATGAGACTTGTGAGTGCATGAAAACTGATGAGCTGAACCTCAGCTCATCGGAAAGATCACAAACATAATCACAACAATCCTGACACAGAACTAATTTGGGTCCAGAACACTGCTAGCACACATACATCCATGCAAACAAGCACACAGTGCACACACACCACACACACACACAAAGCACATCGTGCATGCACACTACACACACATACACAGGCACAGTGCACACGTACCACACAAGCAGATATGCACATATGGACAACATGCACACCACATACATATGCACATGAGCAAATACACAGCGCACACGTACACACAAGCACCTACACACGCACATGTATATGCACAGAAGTATATAGTGCACACACACTGCTCATATGCATACACACACACAAATACCATACGTGCCTGCTCACAAGCACACACAGCCACATGCCACCAACATGCATTTGTAAGAACACACATGCAGGCTTACCACACATGCACACACACACACATACACACACACACACAACCATCCACACAGCACACTATTTGGATTTTGACAAGGTGACACTACGGAGCAATGGGTTAGGGCTCTTTTACACATGTGGCACTTGGAAATGTGAGAAAATGATCCTTGTCTGTGCCTCGCACCTCACAGTGAGCTCACCTCCAAGCCCCCTGTAGCTTTATGAGAAAAGTGGAGCAACAGCACTCGCAGAAGGTGATGCAAGGCATCTTCACGACACAGGTATAGGCAAAGATCTTTCAGAGAGATACTGAATTACACTGATGTTAAGAACTTGGGCTTACTAAAAAATACCGTTAAGAGCATGAAAGACAAGGCACAGCCAGGAAGACATGGGCAAGCATGGATGTGATACAGACCCAGGACTGAAGATGCCATATTGGGTCAAAGGCACAGACAATACGGCCATGTGGTGCACGGTCCATCTACACAGAATGCTCAGCAAAGCCACAGGGGTGAAGAGCAGACATGAGGTTCTTATGCACTGTGGAGATAAATGTTCAGTAAGTGGACAGTGGTGAAGGCTACACAGCACTGTGTGCAGAAACCGCCAATTACACATTTCAAAATGCTTACAGTGGTGTCCTTTACATTAAGTAAATTGATAAAAAAAAAAAAAGGTCAGAAAATATAAAGAAGTCCTACAAATGAGTAAGAAAATTAGTATACAGATACAGCCTGAAGACACCAACAGGCACATGCCCGAGCAGATCCCAGGCGGCTCGTAACACTTGAAAGGGCACACATCACCAGCAGTCCCTAGGAAATAAGAACCCAGCGTCTTGAGATGCCAGCGCCACCAACAGAAGGACTGAGATTAAAGGCAGGCAACACCAAATGTTGGTGAGGATGTGAGCAATGGGGCGGCCACCAATGCTGGTGGAGTGAATGGGTAAAATTATTTTGAGAGCCAGCAGTAATACTGAGGGCAAGCACACATGTACTCTACACCTGCTCATAGCACCATGATGAGAACACACTGAAGCTCTGTCCATAGCAGCCCTAACTGGAAACAAAACTCCCCTAATATGCAATGCCCCACAGCAAGCAAGCAGGAACTACAGTAACCCCTAATGTGAGAAACGCCAGCATATCCTGTGATTCCTGGCACCCGACATTAGGTGCGCAGCAAATACTATAGAGTGCAGAGGAAAAAAGCCACACACAGTGACAAGAGCTACGTTAGCACCAGGAAGGCAGCACAGATGCCATCCACACAAGACAGTTTTGCTAGAAGTTATCTTCAAAGAGAAAAATACTAGGAACTAGAAAAAGCAGTATAAAAATTTAAGTAAAAGTCCCTCTTGAAATAGTTAAAACTATCACGAGCAGCTCTGAGCAGAAGCAAGATTAAAAAACTGAAACCTGTAAGTTAAACAAACACTCATGCATAGTTGTAAGGAGAACTCAGCTTCCTGAGGGCAGGCATCCTGCCAAACTCAGCCCAGCAGCTCAGCCAGGACACCGCACAGCGCCGACACAGGGCTCCACCTGCCAGCCCTCTTTAACTCCTGGCAATCACTATCCTCAGTTTCCAAAATTGCCATTTCTTAAGTGCCACACAAATGGAATCACTGGACAATGTGCAGACTGGGGGCTGGCTCTTTCTGCACAACTCTCTGAGAAGCCATCCAGGTGGTGGTGTGGACCAGTGGGCAGCATTCCTGTCACAGATGCACTGCGGTTTGTTTGCCACACCCCCCTGAAGGACGTCTGGACTGTTTTTAGCTAATACAAATGAAGCTGTGATGAACATTCGCAGGAGTTTCTGAGTGAACCTGTCTTCGCTTCCTGGGATAAATGAGAGTCGCAGAGGTAATGTTGCTCTTACTGATCAGACTCCATGGAGTCAAGACGTTCCCTGCTGTCTCACGGAAAGCTTGTCCTCTCAATGAGAAGAGGCCTTTCAAAAGTGAACCTTCAAAAAAAAATCTTTCCCACTATGGGGACAGAAGGTATTACACTGTCAACTACCTTATCTCCAAATGTAGCAAGAAAGGCGGGGCCAGGAAAGAAACAGACAGGCTGGTGTTCTGACAATGAGACAGGGGGAGGGGATGATAAAGCAGAGAGATAAAACTTAAAGATTGAAACATGCAGGTCACATAGCACTGGGAAAATGAAATAGCCAGTGAAGTCACATGCCACCAGATGTGGGTTGAGCTTTGCTTTTTGCGTCTGTAACCTGCTTGCAAGGGTTTATAAGGTGAGACCCCTTTGTTCTCGGGGCTCAGCCTTTGGACACTAGTCCACTGGGTCTGTGCTGGCACAATAAACGTAGCTTCCTGCTAATCTGCCTCAGACTCCTATCTCAGCTCTTAATTTCCCACAACACAAACAGAACTAAAAATCACTTTTAAACTTAATCTACCACTTCAGCTGCAAAGTTGTTTGAAAGTTTAAGAGTAACACAGTATGACACTGGTGTTTACGTGGCTTTTGTGGCCATGCACTTGTTTTGAAATATAGATGCACAAGTTACACTTTCTCAAAGGACTTAGGAGTAGAAGTGAGATAACTAAACAGGTTTAACGGTGGCACAATAAACTATCTATAAAAATAAATACCAGTGTCTCTCCTAGCTTGACCATTATTAAAATGGAAAGGGAAGTACTACCTCCAGCTCCCAGTTTCATAGACGGCAGACAGGGCGATATAAACAGCAGACACTCAGGAATTACCGTCAGCATTAAAAAGATGAAAGCAGATACTCCCAGGACGAGGATTTCTTTGTTGCCTTTGCTTTCCACATGCAGCTTTCGGTAATATGGTCCAATGAGATACGTCTTTATAACAAGACACAAGAGAAAACAGCAGCAAGCGAAAAGAGAATTTGACCGATCAGAAGCAGAATCCGCAGCACCTCCATGACAAGGCTAGGAAGGAAGACGAGGAGAAGGTCATTTTACTTCCAAGTGTGTTTCTCCGAAATCTAGCTGGGATCTTTCAGTTTTTTTCTTTAACATGTTACAAAACAAAATACCCAAAATCATACACATTTTATTTCAAACACTGAAATAAAACCTGTAAATCACATTAGTCTCAGAAATAAGTTATGTGAACTTGACTCATCTAACCCTAACTGCCTGGGCTAAGTGCTGTTTCCACCCCACTAAACAGGTGGCGCTGTGGAACAGGGAGGCTGAGTGGCCACCTGCATCCAGGGCACGTACACTGGGAGGCCTGTGTGGCTGGAGCTCTAGGCACTGCTCTGGGAAGGGTTTTCGGTAGCATTTTCATAAGCAAATGATTTCATGCTAGAGAAGTAACAGCGTGCACAAGCACGTACCTAGAAGATGCGCCTGCCCCCGCCTGGATGAGCGTGGGCATAACGGCGATGAACAGCCCCAGCTGCACATCTTGCATCACCAGCATGCCGAGCAGCACCGAGCTGTAATCAAGGTCACCTGCTGGAGAAACAGTGCCCGGGTCACAACACAGGCACTCAGACATCTCCAAGACAACCTGAGTAATCCTGGCAATCAAGTAAGAGCGGACTTTCAAGTCTCTTTGGAGTTTGAGTAGTGGGGTCCCAGCTACTTGGGCAGCTGAGGCAGGAGGATTGCTTGAGCTCAGGAATTTGGGGCCAACCTGGGCAATATATACTGAAACCACCTAAAAACAAACAAAAATAAACGTTTTTAATCTTTAAGACACTCCACAGTTTGCTCTCAAATGGATTTTAATTCTTTTTATTCCTTTTTGTTTGAGATGAGGTCTCACTTTATGTGGCCCAAGCAACCCCAAACTCCTGGGCCTAACCAAGCTTCCCACTTCAGCCTCCCCAGCAATGAGACAGAAGGCATGAGCCATCAAACCCTAAAAACTTAAGTAAATAACATCAGCAGAATATTTTAATTCCATGACTTACCTGAAATTTATATAAGTACAGAAAGTCCTGGCAAGAAAGAAGGTGCCATGATGACACCCAGGCAAGGCCAGATTCAGCCTCAACCAGGGAGTCACAGGTTCCCCAGTTTCACCTGAGCAAGCCCTCCTCCTTCCCCATCCTCTGAGGGACTTTTGCTAACCACTTCAAAACTATAGCAGTCCAAACAGCAGGAAATAGAAGTTGCATTTCCACTTTTTAGTGGTTACCTTTTGTTCTTAAAAGCATTTGTCAAACAGTTTGGATAGAGAAAAAAGATACAAAGTGTAACACAGGGTACAACAGCAGTCATCACAAACCATGATAGGAACATCTGGTCCCAACCCCTCCCCTCTCAGAGCCAGAGCTGGAACTTATCATTAAGACAGCTCTTGACTTGTCAGGAGGCACCATCCCAGATGCTGTGTTCTCTGCTCTGGGATTAATTCATGCTCCCTCCTGTAGTACTCCAATGAACACGCCACAATTTAATTATTTAATTATCCAGTGTATTCTGAAAACTCAGGTCATCAACATTTGCTGCTAAAAATAATGCTATCTTTAATTCGTGTACATCTGCAGATCCACTGAGAATGCACAGGAGCCCCTGCACTCAGCATCTGCCAACGTGCGACACCACCTAAAAATGCTTGTCACACAGGCATCTGGGTGAGAGCCTCCAGCTGTAACCTTGAAAGTTCAAGGTTACCCTGGGCTACATACGGAGCCAAAACCAAACCAAAACAGAATCCTGCACCCAAGTTTGCCAGCTGGTGAGTGAAATGGCCTCTTGGTGAATAGCCAGCCTGTCCCAATGCTTTCAGAGTGCTGCATCTTTTCGTGCTAATTATTCATTCAAAAGTCATCTTCCAGAACATATATTTTGCTGATTTTCTCACTGGGTTACTTCTGTGTGGACTTACAGAAGTTAATTCTGGATCTTTGCTCATTATAGAGAGAGTGCAAATGTCTTCTCCTAGCTGGCAGCCTATAAAAACTACCTTTAATAAAAATTACACTGTAATCCCAGCTACTCAAGAGGCAGAGATAGGATGATCACAGTTTGAAGCCAACCTAAGCAAAAAAGTTAGCAAGACCCTAATTCAACAAACAAGTTGAGCTGGTGGGATATAGCTGTAATCCCAACTACTCAGGAGGCAGAAGGAGGAGGATCAAGGTCACAGGCCAGACCAGGCAAATGCATGAGACCCTATTTTTAAAACAAACTAAAGCAAAGAGCTAGGGGTCGCTCAAGTGTCACGGCCCAAGTTTAACCTCCAATACGGCCAAAATTTACCAAGTTCAATGTGTTCATAAGTACTGACATTTTCTCTTTGGGATTCCTATATTTTAAGAATCATAGTGTACACTAAGGCCATAGGATATCCCTCAAGTCCCCAACAGTTCTCCAGTTTTGCTCTTCACATGTTGGTGTTTACCTTTTTTGCAGAGATCAAGGCAGGCTCTAACTTGGTTTTTCCACTTGGGTAACTTCTCCCTCACTGGTCCTACTGTTTCCTTCCTTACCTCAGCATCCCTTCCTATGTCTGTGGCAAGGCTGTGCTCCTTTGCCATGGCCACACAAAGTCTAGACACCTGGGCCTCCCCACTTCACTTCATAGAGGCAATTCTTGGCCTTGTGTTCTTAAACAAAGAACGGTTTCCCAAGGATGGTTAGGGCGACTTTAGGGTCAGTTTCCAAGTCCCATGAAAACCCTGTCAGACTTTTTACTGAACTAACTGTGAGTTTATGAATGTGGGGAGGAACACGTATTTGTAAATGGAAAAATGAGACCTCTCCTCCACGAATGAGGGGAGGGGGATATAGGAGAATGGTGGAGGGGGTAAATTCAAATATGATATATTTCATATATTCTAAAGAACTTTTGTAAATGTCTCAATGTACCCCCACCCAGCACAATAAAAACCCTCCCCCAAAAAAGGAATATGGGAGTCTATAAATATTGAGTCTATGCTCTCTGCAGTTGTCCTAAATTTCATGATTTTTACCCTCCACATCTTTTGAGATCTACTCCTAAGTTCCTTGTACATTTTGTTGCTATTATAAAATAATTTTTAAAAATCACTACTTCTACCTATTGTGGGCACACAGCCTTTTCCACATGTTTAACTATGAACTAAGCCTCCTTTCCCAAACAGGCATATATTAGTGCTGGCCCCTTCACCTGCTCACTGTCCAGAGTTTTGGTATAGCCTTTAAAAAACACAGAACAGCCAGATGATGGTGGCTCACGCCTGTAATCCTAGCTTCTCAGGAGGCAGAGATTAGGAGGATCATGGTTCAAAGCCAGCCCAGGCAAATGGTTCTGAGATTCCCTATCTCAAAAAAACCCTTCACAAAAATAGGGCTGGTGGAGTGGCTTAAGGTGTAGGCCCTGAGTTAAGCCCCAGTACCTCAAAAAAAAAAAAAAAAAAAAAAAAAGCCTTCTTTTCTAGCAGTGATGGTTAATTCAGCAACTCTGGAAGTCTTCCTCCCTGCCCCCCACCACTGTTTCCCCCATGATGCTCTATTGGCCCCAGCTCTCCTGCATCATCCTACAGTGTGGGACTGGGATACCAGCACAGCACTGCAAGTCTTATGTCAGGAAACACCTTCATTTTCTCCCATTCTTCAAAGACATGTTTGCTGGGCACACATGACTGTGCGCTCTTCTTCAGGACCTAAAGTGGCAGAGAAGACTGTGGTGCTGATCTGTGGTTCCTCCAAGACCACTACCTTTTTCTGACAAGTGCCTAGATCTCCCATAATCCATAGCTCTGGCATTGGATCCTGACATGCCTAGCATGAATTTATATTGTTTTTCCCACTTAGTTTAAGAGATGTATTTGAATGTAAGGATTCATGTATTTTAAGTTCCAAAAAATTGCCACCTTTTCCCAGCCTCTCCTAGCACACAGACGCTGGGTCTCCCACCTGGTCTGCATGTCTTTCTTCCCTTTCTTGTCTGCTCTGTGCTCTGTGTCTGATTTAACTAAACAGATGTGTTTCCTCCGCTTGTTTGCAGTATCTCAAGCATGCTCACTCTGAAGACTTCACCCAGCATTCTCACGAAGGAAGGGAGTCCACAACACTGCTGAGTCTGTTGGCTGTCTTTTCTAGCAGCACATTTCCTCACAATTGCAGGAGTTTCAGGGTGAGGCCATTCCACTAGTTGCTGTCATACTTCACCCTTGGCTCCTGCATCCCAGCTGTCTCTCTCAGCCCCCTTCCTTGTCTAGGTTTCCAGGGCAGGGGGTTCATTCAGCCCACAGGGATATGTGGACAGCATAGATGTGGCCACTAAGGCAGTAGCAGCTGGTTTGGCCACCCATGGAGGGGCTGCATCTGAGTCCCATGGGTCCTGCAGAAGGGGATACTTTTCTGAGCCCCTTTCACTGGTGGGAAGACCCCAGCCCCAGGTTACACTGCAATTGCACTCAGTGCAGCCCCTGTGGGACCCTGCCTTGCCCCTGGCCCAGGGCCAGCTTAGGCTCACTGCCCCGCACAACCCTCTCCCTGAAATGGTTAGCTACACCTCTTAAGATTCTCTCTTTACATTTTCTCTTCTACTCCTGGGTATTTAAGGTATTGACTTGAAATTACCATGACATTTTAGCCAGGTATTTTACTGACTTTTACAAAACAATAACAAAACAGTGACTACCTAATAAACCAGCATGTGTAAAACATGCATTGCTATCAAAGACACCAAAAGGAGCAACACAGCCCTCACGCCTCCTCTGTTGTGTTCTGGTCTCACCACACAAAGCAGTGACTAAGAGATGACAATGCTTCATACATGGAGAAGCCAAGCTAAATTCGAGAGGTGGAAGTTCTTTCATTGGCAGAGCACTTCAGTGGTACAGAAAATGTGTGAACATGCTGGTTCCTCAGATTGCTGGAATTAAAGCAATCGTGCAGCAAAGACTCATTTCTTTAGATCTGGCCAGGTTCTCTCAGGCCCTCAAAGGATCCTAAGTTTGAAAGCATCTAAGAGGTGTCTCTGTCAATCCAGTGGGCAAGTGCCAGCTTGCAGGTGCCGAGCTTGCTCACGACACATCAGTCCCTCTCTGAGCAGCAGCCCGAGTACTCGTAACCACTAGATATTCCTGAGAAGAAACTGCCTTGCAGCTTCTCCTCATGGGCCTTCATTAGAGCATACCACCACCTACCTTCTTTATCACCACGGGCACTGCCCACGAGGAACCTGGACACCAGGGGTGTGCTTGATAAGGACAAACAAGTAGAAATGAAGACGCTCTGAGTGGGTCTGATCCGAAGAAGGTGTCCCCACAACAAGCCGAAAGCAATCATTAATAGTGTCATATAGCATGGTCCTTGTAAGGATACCTTCCACACCTTCAAGAGAACACATGCATTTACGGTCATCTTAAGGTGCACAGAGCTCACATATCTACCAAACCCAGATCTTTCCAGAAGCCACTTGGTCTCATAAACCCAGCCAATCTTAACATCTTGGGGTTACACCAACACACACACACGCACACGCACACACACACGCACACAATATAGGTACAACCATCACTCGGTATCCCTGGTGGATTGGATACAGGTACTCCACCAGATACCAAAATCCTGCTATGCACAGTTATTGTATAAAATGTGTGGCATTTGCATGGGTTCTAGGTGCACCCTCTACACACTCCTCCTGCAGACTTTAGTAAGTCAGTGCAATGTAAATGCCATGCAAATTGTTGTCACGGTGTATCATTTAAGAAGTAGTGACAAGGAAAATGTACATATCAGTACCGACACTATATACATACCTATATCTTTACATATGTGCGGGGTTTTTTTTGTGGTACTGGGGTTTGAACTCAGGGCCTTGCACTTGCTATGCAGGCACTCTACCACTTGAGCTACGCCACAGTCCTTTTTGCTTTGAATTACTTTTTTCCCAGGACTGGGCCTCAGACTGCCATCCAGCATAGCAGGAATTGCAGGTGTGCACCACCACACCCAGTTTAGACAGTTATTTCTGGGGGGAGGCAGTACTGGGGCTTGAACTCAGGGCCTCACGCTTGCTAGGCAGTTGCTCTACTACTTAAGCCGCTCACCAGCACTTTTTTGTGGTGGGTTTTTTGAGACAGGGTCTCTCAAACGATTTGCCCAGGCTGTACTCAAACCATGATCCTCTTGATCTCTGTCTCCTGAGTAGCTGGGATTACAGGCGTGAGCTATGGGCACCTGGCTGACACAATACTTTTTTCCAAATATTTTCCAAGTGTAGTTGGCTGAACCTATGGATGCAGAAGCCATGAATGTAGGAGCTAAGTCATTTATATACGTGACCCCTCTGTTCCCTCCACACATGCACACACATGTATGTGTGTACACACATATACACATACATAAGATCTAATCCCAGAACAAGTCTTGGAGGCAGAGGTCACCTCTCCCCATTTTAGATGGGAATCCCAAGACATGCAGAGGTTTCATTTGGTCACATGGACAGTGTCAGAGCCAGGCAGTGTGGCTCAACAGTGCGACAAATATTCATCATATCAGGTGCTCAACGTGCACTTACCACTATGTTAAGCATGATAGGACCCAGGAGAGGATTAATCTGAGGGCTTTCAGTTGAGTTGAAGGGATGAGATGACACAAATGATACATAACTGTGGATATTGTATATTAACAAACTGGAAACTCATTCTCTCTCAAGTGCTTGCTCATTTTTCTTCTCCTTACCACATGCTTCCAGTTAAGGCCAACATTCCATGAGCACTGATTCCCTCATCCCAGGCTATCTTTTCATTGTGGAGTTGGGGCTGGGGAGGCCAGCCCACATGAAACAGGGGGTCAAGGCGACAGAGGCTCCCTCAGGTGCTCTGCAGCCTGGAGCTTTCCCACCCTATTCTAGTCTTGTTCTCTGGGAACTGGGGAGGTAAGGAGGCTGGACATTGGAATATCCAACTGTGGCCAAGTGAGAGCTCTCCTGGCCTCCCACATGTACCCAGTGCTAACCTGCCCAGCCAATTCAGGATAAAATGGAATTATGGAGCCTTAACCACCAGATCCAAGGTGCACATCTTCGGAGTGTAACAGAGGCCAATGTCAGGAGACCAAAGACAAGAGACCAGCTGAGCGGAGTCTAAGTCCTGCTCAGTCCCCTCTGCCATGAGTGTTGGGCTGGCCCAAGACCCCTCTCTTCTGCCACGAGGCAGGGAGATTTGTCCCTATGAAGGCATCCCTATGAAGGATGCCTTTTCCTACTTCCTATGCCTGGCAATCACAATGGTCTTCTAAAGTGAATCTGTGTTCTTCTTCCTCACATCACTGCCAAGACCAGTGGAGCACTGGGGCAGGTCACATGTGACCACCTGCAAGGCTCCTGGGAGCAGCGTCAGCTCTCACTTGGACTTGCTGACCCTCAAGCAGCCCATGGTTTGGGCTTGCATCTGTTGCTAACAAGCCATGCACCTGGGTAGGCAGCCTTTGCAGCTCTGGTTTCCATACTGGGAGGGAAAAGGTGAGAGTGAATAACCTCTGAGGTCTCCCAAGACCAACCTTTTCTGGGCTCATTATCCAGTAGCTCTCTAAGGAAGTGGGTATGCAGGGTCCCAGGTGGGAATGACACTGGGAAAGACCCAGAACAGGAGTCTACTTCTGGGAGCCAGGACTTGAAAATGCAGCCTGCAGGTCATCCCAGGTGATCCCTGCACATGAGGGTCAGGAAGTGCTGTCTGGAAAACCCTTAGCTGTGGCCTCACTCTACCTGCATCTGGACCCCAGCCACACAGGCTGTCCTGTTTCTGCCTCTTTCTGTCCTAAGAGGCATCTTTTTGAAACCCCCAAAGGCAAACAATAGGCTTCCTTGCACCAGCAGCTGCCAAATGACCAGAACACAGCAGGCATGCAGTGAGTCTGCTGGAAGATGAGTAAGACACAGAAAGAAAACGTGATTCTAGCTCCAGCCACCTTATAATCCACTCAGAGGCAGAAACTGATGACCCATGAATACAGACTCAGACAATCTGATCTGCAGAACCAACTATCAGGACAGGAAGACGCTGTTTCTAGATTCCAGTAGCTTCTAATCAGCCTGTAGGGATTCGAGGTACTAGGAGGATTTCCAGAAATTGCTACTGTTTCAGAAAATCCCAGGAGATGATTTCCCACCATGCACAAGCTGCCTTCATGGAGGAAAACCACTGATATGAAAACTTCAGGATGCCCAAAAGCCTCCCCGTTATTCATATTTGAGTAACAGAAAGGAGAGATAAAAACCTTTCTTAATAATGTGGCTTGTTAAGTAGATACCAATCCTCTGCAAATCCATAGACTTTAAAAGAACCAAGATGAGTTTTTGTGATGAAACTGGAGAGCCAGCATGTCAGTCTAGGGGTGCCACCAGGTGGCAGCAGCAAAGGCGCAAGAATGGGGAGAAGGAGATTCTGCCAGAGCTGGGGTCGAGGAGGGGACAAGGGTGAGAAATGCTGTCCAGCCACTGAATCAGGGTCCAGCAAGCAGGACTCCTGGAGCACAGATCCCAGTCCTGCATTATTCCTACTTCTCAAAGGCATCATCAGCCAAACAGCCAAGAAAACTTACTAACAGCAACTGGCCTTCCTTCCAATCCCTCCCTACATCCAGATCACCAAGCGCAAAAACTCGCAGTGGCATCTCTGACATCAGCACCAGTGACATGTCTACAGAGTTTAAAGCTATTAAGTCTCATAACATCATTTTGCCAACTAACTTTGAATACTGCAGTAGAAAAATATGAATTATGAAAATTTAAATCCAGAAAAACTTTAATTTCCCAAGTTCCTACTCTTCAGATGAGAAGTACTAGTAAACGGAAGCCTCCGACCTCTCTGCGAAGCCAGCCTAAAACAGACCCTGTGCTGCCAGGTCCTGGCCTACTCTAGTGACATAGAACACCCTGGAGAACCCTCTCCTCCCCATCATTAACACTCCTGTGAAAATTCACAGGAAGAACAGTGCCATTTCTCTTTAGGACCTTAGCAAGTGGTCAAGCTTCTTTAAACTTCAGAAATTAATACATGTGGTTTACTGTGTCAGAAGCAAGAAGAAGTACAAAAATACCTGCAGAACACCTATGAGGAAGCAGTTAGGCAGTGAGATCAGGCAGCAGATGAATAAAGAGATCCTGCAGTGGAAAAGAGGGGCTGAAAGGAAACCAGAGACCCTGATAACAGGGTTATGGAGGCAGCCCATGGGGAAGAGCATGAAGGCAGACATCAGAGACCAGGGGTTACTCTCAAAACAAACACAAGACTCTACAAAAAAAGATGCATCCCTTATATAAAAAAGCAGACAGTGATATTTATGGAAAACATGGAGAAAAGGTGTCTCCACAGCTCTCTGCTGCAGCCATTCCATCATCCCTGGGTCTCTGCTTCCTTTGGTTGCCACCATCATCATGTCATGTGCTTTCTTTCCTTCCTTTCATTCTTTCTCTCGAGATGAGGTCTTGCTATGTCACCCAGGCTTCCTTCAAACTCAACCCTCCTTCTACCTCCCTAGTGGTGTGTGCCATGCACAGAACTTCACTTTTAAAAATTTGGTGCAATAGCAAACATTTTCCTTTGTTTCTACACACTGCAGAACTTTAACAGCTCCATAACACACCGCAGGCAGTTATGTCATGAATTTAATGGCTATGTAACCCGCCGTCAGGGAGTTACGTCATTATGACTTTAATAGGCCAGATTGCTTCCAATCTTTCTTAAACATCTTTCCAGAATCAGCTAAAACTCTTCTGTGGGTAAGTTTTTTTTAAACCTATGCTCAGTTCCTTTCTCAGACAGAAAGCTAGAAAAACTGCTGGGTCAAGGCTATTGAGACAATTGCTAGCCTGCTCTCCAGCAAGGGTGTATGGGCTGAGATTATCCAGGATACCCCCACAGTCAATCACTCAACAACCATGCAGACTCAGTGTTGGGTCCAGTTCATGTGCAGGCAGAAATGGTAGCTGACTTTAATTTCCTTTTTTTTTCATCCCCCACCACTCATTTTATCCCCTACTACCTCTAGTCAGCTATATCCTTCGTTTGTGAATTGTCTGATGAAAACCAAAGTCTCTGATTAATTCACTTCTATCTTAGGAAACTTTTTCTAGGGTAACACACTGAATATCAAATCTCCATAATATTTTACCCTCAAACAGTTTCACACCTTCTTGGAAGGCTCCACACATTAAAGCTCAAACACTGCTTTTCAGACCTGTTCTGGAATAAGCCATGTGAAAGTCAATTCCAATTACTGAATTTTAATGTTTTAAAACCTAGCATTTTATTATCTTTTATTTTCCTTCTAAAAATGTTATCAAACTAAATTATCATTTTCTATTCTAAAAACATGATCCCTAGGTGTCTAACAAACATTAAAAGCAAATAAAGCCTTGTGACACCATGCTGCTTACGGGTAATGACAGAGGAACTGGTGCTTACCTTCCTCAGCTTTTCTGGAGAAAACTCCAAGCCAACAAGGAAAAGAGTAAAGAAGACCCCAAATTCTCCCAATGTCTCCACCTGTACAATAGACTGGAAAACAAGAAAACGTACAGCCATTTAACGCTGCGTTTGTCATACTGAGCCTATGTAACCAGATGTGCTGACATACTCAGCAGGAACATCTGCCCCCCCCAACACTAGCCTTCTTCTAAAGACACGAATCAAGTTTCTTCTATATTTGAGATCAGCTTGACTTCCTAATTTCTCCCCCTTTTCTTGATTAGCCAGAGGAACATTTACTTTCTAAGAAGGAGCTCTGAGGTTCACCAGACTTCAAACTCATAGCCATTCTGTCTTCATTAGCAACTTTCTTCAGCACTCTCCAGGGGACCAGGACACATCAAACCTAAGTTTAACCTTGACCAATCCATACTGGCTTGCTCGTCAGGTCTGAGCATGTCTTAAACAGGTGAATTTTCTCATGAGTACCACACTTGGCCACACTCCACAGGTTTTTATATAAAGGCTTCATTCATTTTGATTTTTATTTAATTTTAATGTTGTTATGGTAGATAAACAAATAGGACACAGTATCTCAAATTTCTGTTACGACTACCAACTATTTGATTTTTTTAAATACTCATGTGGCACAGGTATTACTGAGTTCACATACTGTCCTGAGTTCACTGTGAGCCAACCCAGCTCATCAGGATTCCTGTCCTGCTTCTGTTTGCATCTTTCACTTTTAGCCTTTCTTATCTGCTTTATTTTTGCTGGCTCTCATTTACTGTACTTTCTTATCTGCTTTACTTTTGCTGGATCTCATTTACTGTACTTTCTTTGGGCAGCATGAGTAAGCCCATCTCTCAGCAAGGGAACATATTCTACTTATGTTTACTATCAGGCCAGATGCTTCAACTCATTTCCTTGACGTCTTTTCATGCTTCCCCACTGCTGTGCTTTCCTTAGTCAGACAATGGGCAATGACTCCAAAATAACATACTAAACCCTTGTTTCTCAACTTGGTAAATGACAGTCCATCAACATCCTGTAGGGAAGAGATTGGTATCTTTTGGGGCTAGGATGCTCTTGGTTACTTACAGCCACGTCACCTTCCACAGCACAGATGCTTTATTACAGTCAGAATGTTCGAAGTACCTGGTTGTGTGAAGCCTTGCCTGCTTGCTTGTGAGCCATGTCTGCTGCAGTACTCAGAAGAGGAAGGGACAAGGCAAGGGGCTTTTCACTACAGCTTGTTATACTGTTCTCAGCCATGTGGAAATGACTGCTCAGAAAACAAACTCTGCTGCAGCAGAGTCCACAGAGTTTGTCAAGCCCATGGGACCCTCACAGGGCTCCATCCATTTCCGGTTACTTGAATGGCTCCCTGGAAGCCCAAAGGCTGATGGCCTTGGACAGCTAGGTAGACAGCTCTTGGCCTGGCCAAAGCTGTTAAGATCAGTTTTGTGTGTTTATCTTGTCCAACCCTCTTTTCTGGGCTTGTCTGGGGAAATCACTGAGGTTCTTCTGACCTAGTTCAAGGTTTTTGATGAGCAGTAGCGGGAGCAAGGTTCAAGCACAGCATCCTACCTGTTCCCTATGCTCGTTTGCCTTCATCCACATGGGGTGCTGTAGTCAGAGCAGAGGGATTCTGTGACTCCTGCTCTACTGTGCCCAGTCACTCCTGTGCTAGACTCACAGCGCCACCACTCCAGCATCCTCTTCCCATTTTGCCCATTTCAGTGCATTTAGGTAACACATTCCAAAGCCCCCAAAACTCAGGACACCTTCTTTCCTGTCAGAGGTGTGTCTGCCTGTATGACAGTGTGGTTCCACAAACTGCCCCAGCAGAACCGCTTCAGGTTCTGCTGCCTCTTAAGACTGAGGCTTCAGTCAGCTCTCTCACGCATTAGGGGCTGCTTAAAAACACACAAAACCCAGCATTTTCAGTTGTTCTCAGTGTCTGAAGGGCAGTCTGGGTAATGCAGTACCTCACACTGCTGGAAATCAAATCTTTGGACAAATATAACAGAGAGGCGACTTTCTCTAATCAAGCCATCCCTCGTCAAGGAATGCAGTTCTCCATGGCTTAAAGGGCATTTCGAGGGTGTCTTCTTTAGCATGTTCTGTAAGACACTGATACCTTTACCAACTCAAGCTCAGAACTATTAAGTCTTCATGTGCATTTCTTTTATATCCTATTATCACTGAAACAGTTCAATGTTCTTACCTTAATACTGTTTAGTCCTGAAGGCCCCAGAAGCACACCGCAAATGATATACCCAAACATGGTGGGCAATCCTATTGTTGTGCACAGCCAGCCACAAGGTAAGGACAAGATTCCTATGGTAACAATGTCCTGATGCAGAAGGAAGAAGAAATAAGGAGTTGGTTGATGGGGAGAGCCCCAATTTCACCTCACAGGAATGAAGAGCAGACAATGAAACTAAGAGAATGAGTTTTTACTACTACTCTGTTGTACAGAGAAGTCAAAAACATTAAGATGCCTTCTGGGAGTAGACGAAATTAGTTCCTGATGACCTAACAACTATAGCAAACTGTCTGCTTTGCTTAGGGCCTGTGTTCTATGAATCTAAGTGTACAAATTCTAATGAGTTTTCTGGTTGTAAGGCTCTCAGAGATCAAGTCTAACTGTAATTCATGTGGTGTCACCATCAGTTTCCCAACTGATGTAGCAAGAATCAACAATGGTGCTGAAACCACTGGGTGTCAGATTAGGAGTGGGTTATTTATACAAATAGCCTCAAACATTTCCTCAGAAATTACTAATTCATAATAAGAGGAAAAAAGAATAGCTCTACAGAGACCCTGCCCCTTCACAAAGAACACCAATGCTACCAGTCTGAAGAGGTGCCTCAGGACCCTTGTGATTATAACAAGGACAGCAGCACCTGTGGACTGATCATGGCCTTGGGTCTACAGTAAGGCTCAACACTTGGAAAGAGCCCTTGGGAATCCTCTGTCCTCTTCCACTTGTCTTGAAGACTAGGTTCTCAGTCTTCTTTCTGTTCCTATAAAGTTCTAGCTTATGCAGTTTTAGTGGAAGCCTGATCGAACCCTACCATGCCTCCTGGAGGGGCCACACCAGCCTCTCTCATGCAGACTACTCTAGAGTGGTTACCTTGACCTGGGCCAGTTTTCTGGTTGGAAATAGAACTGCATCACCTCCCTCTGGGACACCAGGCACCAGCAGAGTTCCCACGCTTTACACTCCACATCTGATTGAAGCCAAGTAGGGATCCTCAGCCACAACTACCCTGCTTTCTAAGGGCTTTCTATTTTAGTGAACACAATTTTATTTTTATTTTATTGAGACGGGGGTCTCACTGCGTTGCCCAGGCTAATCTCCAAGTTCACCCACAGGAAGGCAAGGGCGCCTCAGCCTGCCTTGATGAAGTGGCGGTCTGCGCGTGGCATGGTCGAGTCTCTGGGCTTGGTTAGGATGTACTGATTGTTCTGGGAATCGATAAGCATGCTGAGACCCAGGCCATCTTCCACTTCCCGCTTCGTGACATTCTGCTTGGAGCCAGCCTCTTCCTCCTCCACCCTCAGAACTGCCTCGAAGTTCACCCCTTTCACCTGTAAGAACAACCAACGTATACAATCCACATCAATTAAACACTTTCACATGTGACATTCAGAGAGGCACCAAAAAGACAACAGAAATGTTCTAGTGTCCTGTCGAATGTGACAAACGACCAATAGTGTCCACGAGCATAAATTAGGACATTTTTCACATCTACTTTACCGATTTAGGGCATATTCTTTCAAAACATCACACCCCTGAAAATAATTAGTACTTCTCTGATCCCAGAATTAGTGAATTCTTATTTATTTATACTTTTAGGTTTTTTTGTTTTATCGTTTTTACATTTACTCAGTGACTTCTTAAAGACCCCTTTCTGTCTACTTTGATCCGCTCCTCTTCCTTCTCCACCTTACAGTGATTTGTTTTAATTACTCAATCTTTGTAGACCCACCCCAAGACCCACAGTCAGTTTCTGGAATCAGTATCAATTTGTCCTTCGGATCTTAACATATGACAAATGAGCAGCCTGAGTCTTGCTTCCCATATGAGACCATCTTCTGCAAAAAGCTTTGCAGAATCCCCAGTAGATCAGCTAAAGCCCAAACTCCAAGCTTCCTTGAGACCAGAGTCCTAGCATGGCAAAGCTGGGAAAGGGAGGGGCCCTGACAGAGACAAGCTGCAATTGTTAAAAGATAAGAAAACAGATGATAACTAGCTTACTTCTGAAAACCAAGTCTGATTATTTTCCCTGTGACAGAGGAAAGTGTTCTAGCTTGTCCTCATTCTCAACCTCACTAAGACACACATATGAACACCTTCCAGGGTCCGGCCTTGTCAGAACTGCTCAGGAGGTGGAGGGAGCCGCTCTGGAGTGCTGCTTACGGATTTATTATCATCGAAAGCATGTTCTTCTATTTCCTCCTCCAAGCGATCTGCGGCCTTCCTCACGTCCTCCAGGATCTCATCGAGCATGGACAGGCTCTTGTTCTGATGCTGCATGTTTTTAAGGGCTTCCACTTGATGCTTTTCTGCAGCAAGAAGTTCCACATATTCTGTCTCTTCCTATTCATTTGTAAGAAATGAAGAGTGGTATTTATTAAGGAATAAACTAGGATATGACTTCCTCATGCTACACAGGGTCTGACCTGACAAGAACCATCATCTGATCTCTAGGTCAACAGTCCTGTCCACATATGGTGACTAATTATGCCCAGCAAGGAAGGTCAAGTGTCCTGGGTTGCTCAAACATGCTGAACTTAGCCACACAAGTGGCCCATCTGCCCATACACCAATGAAGGGATTGTCCTATTGTGGGCAGGCCCACCACCCTGTGGTCATCTGCTCACACAACACCATGCACCAAGCACCAGCAATACTGCAGGCACAGTGCCACAAGCATGAGGCACAGCTGCACACAGACATTCAGCTACTTTCTGAACTTTTACGCAGGACACAATCAAATCCCAGTTGCAAAGGGAAAATGTTCCAGGAAAACAGGGAGTCAGACAGTGTTAATTATTTGGGAATAGATGGTGGTGATGGGGACAGAATTTAATAAATGTTTTATATAATCATATTTAATCAACAACCTTACTCTTAGCCACATATGGTAATGAAGGCCTGTAATCCCAGCACTCGGGAGGCTAAGGCAGGGAGGATCATGAGTTCTAGGCCAATTCTGGGCTACACAGTGAGACCCTGCTTCCAAATAAAACAAAAACCTTACTTTAAAAACATTTACTCACATCTAAAGAGCCTAGCTGGGACACACAAGTGGTGGCTTGCACCCAGACAAGCCCCAATGACCCCCAACACTTTTTCAGTATCTCTAACACAACTGCCGGTATTACGCTGGAGACCCTCAGAGCCCAGAGGCAGAACAGGGAAAGCTGAAGCACACTCAGACATTATGAGGCCTGCATGCCTGCAACAGAGCTGCTGGAACTCACATCTGTCCTGTCTTTGTAACAGAGGGGCTACAGGTCTGGACCCCCATAGATTCCTATGTAAATCGAAGGAATTTTAATGTCTCTACTGTCCAAAGGGTTTCATAAGACTGTGATCTGTTTAAGACAGCTCATGGTCTGTTTGTTGGCCTAAGGGCAGTCACAGGGGCTCACATGGATGATGTGGGCACAATGGCTGACATAAGTTATCAAAGCCTTGAATTTTTTTTTTTTTAAAGCCACGGGGGCTTGATCTTAAGGTTTCACATTTGCTAGTCAGACACTCTACCACATAAGTCATGCTTCCAGCGTTTTTTGCTTTTAGTTATTTTTTGGAAAGGTGTTGTGAATTTTACCCAGGCCAGCCTTGGACTGCAATCCTCCTCATTTATCTTCTACTTACCTGGGATTACAGCCATGCACCAACCATGCCAAGTTTGTTTGCTGAGGCCAGATCTTCACTATTTGCCCAGGCTGGCTTTGAACCACGATCCTCCTGATCTCTGCCTCCCACGTCTCAGAGATTAGAGGCAAGAGCCACTGAACCTGACTGAAAACCTTGATTTAAATGTTTATCTAATGATCGTATTTCTATCCAAAATAACGTATTTTCTAAAGAAAATTTAAAATGTCTATATTACCTCTACTTTTTCAGCTGTGGAGTAGTACCATAAAGTTTTTGTAGTACCATAGGGTTTTTTATGGATATGAATGATACTTTATACACTTAAGGACATGGCATGGTGCCTGGCATATTACAGGTGATCCAAAATGATTCCTTAAAAAGTACAAATAATACCACATGTGGTATAAAAATGGTTTCATCTATTTCAAAAGTACACTTGGTCAAAGTCCTGAATTTAAATGTACACATACTTTTTAAACTAATTTTAATATTTTTGTTTTCAGTATATGGACCCTGAAGAAAGTCAAACTTCACACTGAAAGGTATTCCTGCCAGGAACCCAACAAAATTCTGACTGAAATGATACAGTCATGCATCACCTAAGGACGGATGGCACAAAGTTCTAAGAAACAAGTCATTAGGAATGGCATTGCATATGCTCACAAAGACAAAGACTGACAGCTGGGGAAGACACTGGGCAAGATGACCTCATGGGCCCACCATGGCCTGTGCTGCCCACCGCTGACTGCTATGTTACTAGGGGGCACATCCAAGGTTCTCTCTCCCATCGGGGATGTCCTAGCCCAGTGTCCCTGGCCCCCACAGACACACCCACAGAGACAGCAGGCCCCTACCACTCGTCTTCCCTCCTGCTGGGCAGCTGACCTTGATGGCGGCCTCCCGCAGGGCCTCCAGCCGCTGCCTGCTGCTCTCCTTCATGTTGACCACATCTCTGTAATCTCCCTGCAGTGCCCTCTGCAGCCCGTAGATGGCCTGGAAGACTGAGTTTTCACTTTCATTCAGCTCTTTCTGGAAAATCTCAAAGGTGTGCACCTGAAACAGCTTCTCCTCATCTGACAGTCCTGTGTCTCTCTCCACGGCTCTGATGGCACTTTTCAGTTTGTTCAGAACCACACTCTTCTGCCGGAGGAGCCCAGTGAGCCGCCTGCAGCTGTCCAGGACCCACTGCTTCTTCTGAGTGGCAGTTGCTCCCTTCCCGCGGTGTAGCTTGATGGCATGCTTCACCACCTCCTCGTGCTCTGCAGCACTCGCCATCAAGGGAAAGAAAGGGAGCAGCATCCAGAAGAGGCTCTCTTCCCACACCTTCATGGTCCAAGCACAGGGGAGGAGTGAGGCGATCAAAAGGCTTCCCTATAGGCAGCTTGCATTTCAGGTGCACATTTTCAGCTGAAAAACAGACTTGTTATCACATATAGATAATGATGACTCCTTACTATTGAGATCAAAGCTAAAGTAGTAATCACATCCAGAAAACTGCTATCGTTCTGAAGAAAATGTGATTTTTTTCCCCTGGGTTAATAGCAACTTCTGAACAACTTATTGTACCTAGATTAAAATCAAATACTGTTAAGGTACTGCTAAGTCGAGATTAAAGGAGTTACACCTGATTTTAAATGCATTTTTTTAAAAAACAGCCCAGAAATCTACGAACTCTAACGTGCAAAGACAAAAGCCAGTTCCACATACCAAAGACCAGAGGAAAACACCAACTTTCCCCTTGCAGATGTACAAGCTGCCAAGGACCAGGCTCAGGCGGGGCCTAGAATGAAATCCTCAGACACCAAGCTCCTGTGTGGCCCGCTGCTCACTTCCCAGCATCATTGAAAGTGGTGCCAAATTTCCAAAGTCAGCCATAGTTAAGTAATAAGAAGACATCAGGATGAGACTGTCACAAAAAATATAACTTACCCAGGGCTCTAGGGAGTCAAATCAAATGTTTAACCTTTCAGTCATCGAACTTCAGGTTCATTCTCTTCCCCTCTGTAGAAAGACCTAAAGCAACACAAATGGATGTCTGGCGAGAGCAGCACACCCAAGAACCTGCTTTCTGAAGTCACGTTTAGGTGAGTGAGGAGGGTCTTGGTGCTACGGCCAAAGTGTCTAGGAGATGTGGCCCACAGCCCAGGGCAGGGCTGACTGGCAGGCAGGAGCACTTCGTGAGGAAGAGGTAAGAAAGAAAGATTTAGTGGTCAGAAAACAGACTATAGAAGGAACAAAGGCCAAAGAGGTCAACAACATAAACTCTAAGAAATATCCATGAAAAAAGAGAAATATCCATAAATTTGGCAACCAGGGGACCCCCAGTCACAAGGAATTATGCTAAATAAATAAAGGACCACCTGTGTGAGATTTGCAGTTTAAAGGAAACGAAAAAACACTGATGTGCACACCCAATCACTCAACAGAACCGCCGATGGACTGTCACATCTGGCATTCCTATTTGGCTGTCCAGCACTCCAGTAAGTATTTCCTCTCCCTGGGGATCTGCTTCCTAAAACAGGTATGCACACTTTCATTTCATTGCTAACCCAGTCCTAATCAATTTAACTTGGTTTTCCAGGCAAAGTGGACTAGAAGTGGCAAAAATAAGAGTTGTGGCATTTCCAAAGATCATATTCTGACCAAACTAAGAGGCGCAAGCCAACACAGACATCCTTACGGAACAATTGTTAAGAAATCAAAAAGCCTGAAGGCCAGGTTATTTGGTGAGGGCAAATTGTCCTATGCACTTCAACAGATCCTAAAAATAATAAATATTATGCTAGACAACAGGATTGTTTCTATGGTCAGAATGACAACCTAAGTCACCAAGAGAAGGCTGTATTCTGGGTATGAAGGAAGTATTGGATCCCAGCATGTTTTTAGAGGTGTGTCCTGAAGGACGCAGAGTGCACTCAGCTCGCCTCCCAGCGAGGCAGGGAGAGGAGAGTGCACCGTAGTGTGTCTGGTTTGTTCAGTGCCAACACGACGTTATGCACACATTACCACCTCAAAATTAAACTGACCGTTTCCCACATGGAGCACACAGATGATCGCTTATGGCCTCAGTAAGTGGCCAAATTTCTCTTGCTCCAAGAGACTGACCCTTACTTCAGAAGTGCTCATTTAAGCTTTCTCAGAACCAAGACAGAAACGTGAGATGCTTTGACTATGCTTCCGAAATATCACTTGCAATAGTCTGTGTGTGAATGACTCTCTGTGCCCGACACTGGCTCCTTCCTCAAGCAGGCTCTTGAAGTTACACAGTTCCCTCTCTCATATCCAAGGAGCAATCTGTATGAGAACTGATGATTTCAGTCATGGTTTCACTAACACTTTCCACTGAAACATACATGTAACATGAACATGAAGTTGAGATTATTTATACACCATCGCCATAACCGAAATTATTTATAAACGACCCTTTTCATAAGCTCATTTCACCTTCAAATCTATCCACAAAATCCTATGTACTACTAGCTTATAACATTTTTCTGAGTAAATTAGTAAACATTTTTAACTTCATTGTTATTTTGTTATTGTTAGTTTTAATTATTAAGAAAGCACTTTGGATTTCTATAAAGTTGAATAATTGATACATTCAACAACTTGAGTAGATCTCAGGCTAAGTAAACAAACTCTCAAGTGGCCACATACTCTGCTATTCCACACACACAACTTTCCCACAATGGCAGCATGACAGAGAGGCAGGATGGGTGAGTGGCTGTCAGGGTTTGGGAAGGGGAAGAAGTAGAGATGCCCAAGGCAAAAGAGCACCAGGTGTCAAGTCACTCAGGCCTGTAATCCTAGTTAACTTGTAAGGCTGAGATCAAGAGGATAAAGTTGTAGGCCAGCCTGGATAAATAGTTCGAGAGACCCCATTTCCAAAATAACCAGACCAGACCAAAATGGACTAAAGGTGTGGCTCAAGCGGTGGAGTGCCTGCTTAGCAAGTGTGAAGCCCTGAGTTCAAGAGCCAGTTTCCAGAGAGAGAGAGAAAGAGAGAAAGAAGAGTACAAGAATGCTCACATGTACTCATTTACCTGGGGGCTAAGACGGCTGGGCAATCGAACAGGCTGAGGGAGAGCAGCTTCCTGCTTATAGCCCAGAGCTCAAGATGCATCCCTGTAGAAAGCACCTGATTCCCCTGTATTTATTCTTTCAGCTCTGCGTGAACCAGAATAATCACAGAGCAAGTTTTTAAAGTGCTTATAAATGGTCACGCAGCCGTCTTAGGTAAGGGATCACCACTTAACACTGTTGAGCTTCGGAAGCAGGCCACATATTACTTTGAACTAGGAAATGCCCTAAACAGAAGCAGAGCCCTTCTGTTAGTCAAACTAAGGGCTACTTTTTTTTCAGTTAGAGGAACAGTAACCAATACTATAAGCACAAGAATCACAAAGTTTACTTCAAAACTGATGATCTGATTAAAAAGAAAAATATCTTTTTTTTTCATTTTTGAGACAGGATCTCACTAAATAGCCCAGACTGTCCTCAGAGTGATGACCCTTCTGCACCAGCCTTCCTAGTCCTGGGATTACAGGCATGCACTTGCCTGCCAGCTTCAAGAAGAAAAATACTTACAATAAATGTCTTAAGTTAGAACTCAAGGGGGAAAAGGCAAGTGGATCATCTTTAAGCCTGTTCAAGATGGTGTGGCTCAAGTGGTAGTGTACCTGGTTTGCAAATACCAGGTCCTGAGTTCAAACCCCAGTCCTACCAAAAAAAAAAGCCTACTCAAAAAAACCCCCAAAACTTCCAATACTCTTAGTTCAAAGTCATTTTATAGAAAAACCACACTACTCTTACTACATTGAGAATTCTTATACAAAAGTGTCACATAGTAGGTGACCAGTTTTCAAAGCAAAGCCAACAAAGTTAAAGATTCTTCCTAACACTCTGACCTCCTGAAACCACATGGTGACTGCAGGCCAGCAGCTCTACCAGTTACAAAACAAATCAGAACCCAGGACCCAAAAGCCATCAAGGTACATCAAGTCTCTCCAGGAAAAGAGGCAAAGTCAGTTAGGATTAGATATGAGTTTGAGAACCTCGGCTGGCTGTCACCAGAGAACCTGCCATCCTGTCTTCTCCAGGATCTCTGTCCCACTGCCTCAGCTCTCATTAGGCAAAGTGCTGAGAAGGAACCTGACTTAGCCATCCAAGTATTTAAGGCAGATGTTAGGACCATGATGAAAAGAATGGAGAATGAGAAGGTCTCTACCCGATGACTCCCTCTCCTGACTGTGCCACTGCAGGGACAGCCTTCTCCTGATGGCTGCCTAGTTCCCTACACTGAGTTCAGGCCCCTGTGTGTGTGTGCATGTGTGTGTACAGAATGGGAGAGGCAAGTATTGACTGAGGCGGCCACCCCAGGGCTGTGGGCAGAGAAAATCCTGGAACAAGTAGGGTGGGTGTGGCCAGAAAGTGATTAATGTGTTCAGCACAAAGTTACTTAGCCTCCCCTGAAGAAATGGAAAATATGAGGATTATTTGAAGTAAAAAAGAGGTCCTTCACAATCCTAACATGTTCAGCACAGGACAATAGTTGAGTTGGCAAAAGAGGAACAGATCAATCAAGAAGGAGGAAAAGTCTCAATGGAAATAATTTACCTCAACCTCCTTTTGGAGGACTTAAAGGATTATTTTAAATTCCAATGTATATTCCTTAAAAACAGAGCACTTATGGTCCCATAAACACAACCGGTAATTGTCAGAAAATGAAATAAATTTTCATAAATATATTATTCATATCTAGTTAGTAAAAGAACTGGAGAACAAGTTAAGAAAGAAGAAGGAAAGAAAAAGGTAATTCTTATGGTCATTAAGAAAAGCTTCAAAGTATTTGTTACAGTAAACTTTTAGAAAGAGCAAGTATTTCATTACTTAATCCAATCACAAGACTACTTTTAAACAACTGGTAATGTGAAAGACCAGTCAGTTCTGGTCCAAAGAATGACACACGGAGGCTAGAAGACAGTGTTATGATTTCTGCTTGGTGACATGTAGTGTCTTGTCTGCATCCAAAGGGGTGATCAAATACTCTACTGCATTTGTTCCAGGTGAGATCCACAGAGAACAGAGCTGAGCCTACAGGAAGAGATGCAGGCCAGCTGCCTGTGTTTGCTCTTTCTTTAGACCTAGGAGAGCCAACAAGGAAGAATGAAAAGGGATTCATGAGTATCAGGTCTTTCCAGCAGCAGTAAACGCTTCTTGGTGGGGAGCAATAAGCAAATCATACTGTGCCCTGGGAAGATGAGCTGCCTATGAAAACCAAGCCACTGATTTTGAACTTTCTCCTTCTCACAGGCTGGGTGATGCTGCAAAGTAGTAGCAAGAGGCTGAAGCAGTGAGGTTGGCTACATCTTCTGTGTCCCTTCCAACCCATTTGATTGTTTACACCCCTAAGAATTTTCACCTAAGTTAAAACTCTGGGGAATTTGCAAACTGACCTGCTTGGTTGACTTTTTGCTCTCATACATTCCAGCTCTGTAAGCTTAAGTCAAAGTGTTGCAAGGCACTGCTTGTTCCCCTGAATGACCATCTCAGGGTGTCTGTTGCTGGATATATCTGTCTTTAAACAGACTATAGATGGCTGGGCATATTGGCTTACTCCTGTAATCCTAGCTATTCAGGTGGCAGAAATCGGGAGGATCTCAGTTTGAGGACAACTGGGGCAAAAAATTACTGAGACCCCCATTTCAAAAAATAAACTGAGCCAGTCATCTCAGCTACACAGGAGGCATAAATAGGAGAACTGTTAGCCAGGCCAGCTGGGCAAAAATACAAGACCCAGTCGGAAAAATAAAGCAAAAAGGGCTGGGGCGTGGCTCAAGTGGTAGAGTTCCTGGCTAGCAAGCCCAAGGCCCTTTAGTTCAAACCCCAGAACTGCTACAAAAAAAAAAAATGTAAATGATGCTAAAACAATCTGCCTCAACACACGGCAGGGCAAGACAGAGACCACATAAAACTCCAGCGAGAAACGAAAATTGAGGCTCTGGGTCAGCGTCTCGACGAAGCCTTGGAGGGGAGCACCTAGTAAAGTCCCTAGGAAGGGGAGCTTCAGGAAAGCCTTGATGTTCAAGGGGAGCTTCCCAAAAAAGCCCCCCTCAAGTATCCTGGGAAGAAGCGCCCCAGAAAGAAATCTCTGGGGCTTCCCCGGGGAGGAATCATAAGAAGAAGCGCCCTGGAAAGGAGCCCCCCACGAGAAGTTCTTGGGAAAGGAGCCCACGGGGAAGAGATCGGCGGGAAGGAGCCCCCCAGCCCGGGAAAGTCACCCCCTCCCGGAAGGAGCCCACCGGCAAGAAGCCCCTGGGAAGAAGACGCCCGGGAAAAAGACTCCGGAAGGAGGCCTGTCCCCGGGAAGGACCCATTAGGAAGGATCCTGGGGAAGGACCACAAGAAGTGGCCCCCCGGGAGAGACCCCGAGCGTAGCGCGCACTTCAGGAAGGACACCCGCAGCGCTCACCGAGACGGAGGAGGCCGGGCCTTGAACGTCCAGCCCGAACTTCACCGTCTCCGACCCGGAGCTCCTCGAGGCCGCCAGCCGATGAGCGGACGCAGGCTTCCCCGCATCCCTTCCCAGGAGGCGGAACCCGGACGCTGAGTACCGACGCCACCCGCCTCCGGCGGTCACTACTCTGACGCGCGTCAGGAACGCAGACGCGGCCCCTTTAAGAGGGCGGGACGTAGGCGGTTCCACCGGCCCCCTCGCGGCGCGCTGCACGCCGGGAGCTGAAGTTCCGCAGGCTGATCACCGTGCTTCTTGGGCTAGAATCCCTTTCCACTGCGCGGGTAGTCTGAGAGCCGCAAGTTGTGCCGGCCTCCGAGAGGGAAGTCGCGGCTCCTGCAAGTGAAAGCAGGTGCGCACTGCAGGGGCGACAGCAGCGCGGCACACGTCGGGAGATTCACAGTCTGGACGAGAGTTCCCGAGCCGCGTCGGGGCGCAGCGGAGCGCGCCGGCGTAGTGAGCCAGCAACGTGCGTCGTGCGCCTGCGCGGTAGTCGGCGCCAGCGGCGGTGCGGGCGAGCATGGTAGGTGACGGAGCATCGCGCTCCTCAGGTGGGATCGGGGCCAGACGCAGAGGTCACCGCTCGGCAGTGGCTGCATGCGGGGCGGGGGCGACCCGGAGCATGTGGGCTGCCCCTCGCGGGAGCGGAGGACATACATAACCTGGTGGACTTGGACGGGCGCGAGGAGCCGGAACGAGGTCGTCCGCAAGGCGGCCTCGAGAGGAGAGGCCGCCAGGGCAAGTGGGGGCGGGGCGAGGCCTTGTGTGCGGATGGTGACACCTGCGTGGCGGCCCGGCTTGCGGTCGGCAGGGTTCCTGGGAGAGACGTGAGCCGCGCACTCTGGACGTGCGGTGGAAAGGAGGCGGGGCGGGAGCCGCCCGGGGCCTCGCCGGCTCCAGCGCGGTTAGGCGGGTTCGGTCCCGGGCCTCCCTGTGACGCCCGGGCGCGTGTGGAGGAGAGGGAGGGCTGAGGACAGAACCGCAGGAGGGAACAGGAGCTGCAGGAGACCCCGAGAAAGGGGTCTGAAAGAAAAACCTGGAAGCCAACAGGCTGGAGTTGAGAAGAGGGAGCAGCCGGCTTTCTTAGCTTCAGCAGCTAGCGGGCTTCGTATGGCTTTGGGGACAGAACTCTCTGCGGAGGCAGGGCCCAGGCCACCCTCCCGCGCAGGTAGATGGCACTCTGGTCAGTCTTAGGGCAAGGGGCAGTGTGGACAGGATCTTAACTTCGGATTTTACGTCCGGCTCCCCCAAGCCTGCAGTATGCCAGAGCAGGATCAAAGTTGCTTACACAGCTTTATGTCGTTTATTTGATCAAAGTGGTGGCCCTCTCAGCCCCTGGTCGGGTGACTCTAAGAGGAGATCTTGTATTGTCTCTGGAAGGACATTTTAAGAGTTTTTTTTTTTTTTTTTGTTTGTTTATTGTAGTATGGCCATTCTTGTGCCTTGATTATGTGATTTTCACAAAATCGCAGTTACAAAGTTCTAGACTTGTTCAGAGATGTTATTTGATGTTTCTGCTGGAAAAGTCCAGGTTTTTTAGTCCAAGAATTTCATACACTTACAACAGCAAAATAATAAAACATAGAAAGTGTCCCCCTTCAATACTTAAATTTCCATGACACCGTAAGCCAAAGTGAAGGCCATCAGCACTTGAGGCGTTGGCCCTGGTCCTGCCAGTTGGTAGGCCTTGATTACTTTTGCATGAATTTTGCACCTGTCTAGATGAACTCAGAGCTCTCTTCTTTCCCTGTAGTTTTTGGTTATGAGCTATTTTTCCTAAGGTGATTTATGCCAGTTCCCTTTTCTCCCAGTTGAAACTGGTTTCTTAGTTGCTTCTGGACGTTGAACACAGCCCTTAGACTTAACTGTGATTACTGTGTGAATCACTGATTTTGTGGAGACACCTGTGTTGACTGGCTCCTTGCTCTTCCTGGCTGCTGCTGCTGCTCATGCTGACCTAACATGTCAGTCCTCCTTGAGGTCTGAGGTCTATGAGAGTGTTCTATGCATGTGATTGAAGAGGGCTCTCCTTGTCTCTGTCTGCTTCTGCTCACTCTAGCTAGTGTAGAGATGACTCAAAGCCACCCTGAGTTGCCTGGCTCCCTTGGCCTCCATCTGTTTGGGTATGTTGTGTTGTAGGACACTCGGGACACCTCCAGAGGTGATGGGGTGTCAGGACCAGACATCACCCTGTCTTCCAGATGCCCTGTTTCCTTGGCGTGGAGTCAGCTGTGGCATAACACTGGTGCCACAGCCTCTCCAGGGCGCATGACCTGTGTTAACCTTGGAGGTTCTGTTTTTGTGCTGCTGTGTTGATTGTTTTTTTTTTCTTCACTATAGAGGTTTGAATTCAGGGTCTCATGATTGCTAGACAGCATTCTACTACTTGAGCTTTAGTTATTTTTTTGAACAGGGCCTGAAGTTTTTTGCCTGGCACCATCCACAGACCACAGCCCTATCTATGCCTCCTGAACATAGCTGGGATAAGAGCTGCACATCACCACACTTAGCCTGTTGGTTAAGATGGCATCTCACCAGCTTCTCTGCCCGGCTGCCCTTGAACCACATCCCCAATCTCTGCCTCCCAAGCATCTGGGGTTACAGAGAATTTTTTTTTAGTGTACAATTAATGGTGTTGTGCAACCACTACCTTTGTCTAGTTCCAGAACATTTCATCACCCTGAGAGAAAAACCTGTACCTGTGAGCACTCACTCCCAATTCTTCCTACTCCCTGGCAGGTGTGCTTGTTCTGAACATTTCCTATAAATAGAATCATGCAACATGTGGCCTTTTGAGTCTGGCTGCTTCTACTCAGCGTCAAGTTTTTGAGGTTTGTTCTTGTTGTGGCACATGTCATTCATTCCTTTTTATGGCTGAATTTTATTCTCTGTATCAATATACTCAATTTTGTTTTATAACCATGACAGAATTGTTGAACCGAGCATTGATGGCTGTTCCATAATAAAGGTACAATGGTTGCTCCTAATGGAGAACCATTAGAGGTTTGCACATCTGTGTCTTAAGTTTTTTAAGTGTCTCTTGGTTCTGTGCCCATCTACCCTTGGGGAGGCTATCAACTTCACCCTACTGTCTTAGTATATGAGATCTGGCCTAATTTAACTAAATTAGGAGAGACCATAGGGCCGTGCCTTCTGTCTTCACTATCTGGGCCTTTGTCTCAGGACCCCTGCATATTTTTAATAATGATTGGAGCCCCAAAGATCTTTGTTTATGTAGGTAATGGTCATCAATAGCTACTATGTCAGAAATTAAAACAAATGTTCATTTATGTATATAATATGTATTTTAGAATTTGCAATAGTGAACCCATCACTTTTACATTTTTGCAGATGTCTTTAATGTCCAGCGCCATGATCACTTCTCAAATCATCTATGTGCAACCTCTTTCTTGTGATGCCATGAATCATGCAGCCTCTGGAGGCCTCTCCTGAGTAGTCACAGGAGGATGAGTGTGAGGCTGTTTGATGATAGCTTACAGTTCTTAGGAAGACAGTTTTGTCATTGTGATCCCCTGGGAGATCTCAGGACCCAGAGTGCCCAGAGCACATCAAGCACTGTGTGAGCAGACTACATCATCGTACTCTCCTGTCAGATTGTACACTACTGCATAAGCATCAGCACACGTGTGGGTTGCTTTGGGAACTGTACTGTGCTCTGCTGCTTTTTGTTGCCATTTTGGTGAGAAATTGGTGCACTTGTCCCTTTCATGAGGAGCTGTTGGAGTCATTCCCTCAGGTTTCTGGCCAAGAGAAGCAGTACCAGGCCTGAGTCAATGGTACATTTTTATAGCTTATTAAAAATGGATTTTCCTGTTTTCCTTTGTGGCAGCCGGGAGGCTTGTAGCCTACTTGTCAGCCTACTTTCAGCTCTTGTACATAGTATTTGTCTTATTCTAATCATACTCCTGGCTTTCTTTTCTTCCTGCCTCAGTTTCTTCATCTACATCTTGTACCTACATTTATATATTTCTGTAAGTTATGATTTATTCTGTGTTACCTTTATCTCAACAGGTTGGTTATAGGCCTCTTAAGTAAAGAATTTCCCCTTACTGTATTACTGTGTAAAGCATTTTTGTAAAAAAGAGAGTCAGTAGCCTCAGGGCTGTGACATCACATAGCTCAGTGATAGAGCCCTTGCCTGGCACATATGAGGCCCTGGATTTGATGCCAGCACCACAAAAATACAGCAAAACAAAATGCTACAGGGTTTTGAGAAATTGGGGAGTCCCTTTTGATGTTGCTTTCACCACGTTGCCTTAAAGAAGTGGAAGTATTAGGACGCTATTCTGTTTCATTATAGACTATATATAGTAAGGTTACTTGGCAGTTTTGTTGTTTATTACCTACCCACAGCCTCTGCCCTATTTTTCACTTTATTTCTGCTTCATGCATGCAGGCATTCTTATTACTAGTATATCACTTTCATTTTGTCATAAATAGACTTTTTATACCTGCTTGTGGCACTTTTGTAGCAAAATTCAATTATGTGTGCACTGTGTTTCTGTGCTTAAATGGGGAAAAACTTGAACCTGTAATGTTTCCAAACTGCATAGCCACCTATTCATTAGAACCTGACCTTAATGGAAGCCAAAGACCCTGCAGATGACACCATGGTAACATCAGTTTCCTGCCTTGTCATAAGAGGGCTAGATGAGTGTTACAGAAAGACTGCTAAGATTTTTAGAAAAAAAAAATATTGTTAAACTTAATGCAGAGGGAATTGGGTGGAGGTCAAAATGCATTTTCTGTAAAATGTTGATGCTTATAGTTTTTTGAAGATAGACTTTACAGATTGTTACTAAATAGACACTATTGTTTCCATTTTCGGAAGTCTGTGCAGCCTTATGCAGTCTTTAACTGGTGAAAAACAGGGCTTTGGCTTCCTGTAATTCCAAAGTGAAGTTGAGTCACCTAACAGGAAAACTTAAGTCCAGATAAAATACAGGCATTAGGAGTAGAGGCTGACACAAATCCTGGAGTGGTTTCATTGTCTTTCCTGCTTTTGCATCCCAAAGCATAAGCTTAAATCATCTCAGAAAGACAAGGTCCGCCAGTTCATGGCATGTACTCAGGCTAGCGAGAAAACTGCTATCTACTGCCTGACTCAGAATGAGTGGAAACTTGACGAGGCCACAGACCGCTTCTTCCAGAACCCAGACGTCTTCCACCAGGAGTCTATGCGGAACATGGTAGACCAAAAGAAACTGGAGCAACTGTATGGCAGGTATAAAGGTAAGGGGTGACTGGCACTAAAGTCAAACCAAATGCCTTCTAATGCTCATCTCAGAACCCCCTTTCTTCAGCAAGACCCTGGGGATGGAGCAGGGGCTAAAAGACTGATCAGGAGCAAGCCTCACCCACCACTTTTCTGTGCAGTGAATGTGCCACGTTGAGGACAGTCACATTGAGGACAGTCAGAGGGAAACCTCATTGCTTGGAGGCTAGCATCTCCACTATGGCTGCCCCGGTTGATAGCTCTTCTGGCTAGTCTGAAATGTTTGTAGTAGAACATTAGCAGAATGTGAGAACAAGTTGATGAATGTAAAACACCACCCCGTGTAGTTATTCCAGCAGTGATGCAACTTCAGTAACCAAATGAGTTTGAGGAACACTGTCAGCAAAGACTCCTCCTTGTTGGAGATTGAGGACAGTTATTTTTATTAAATCATCCCTTAGAATAGAGCTTTCCACATCACAACACAGTTGTGCTGTAAAAGTAAGTCTGCGGTAAGTTTTCCGAAACAACAAAAAAAACTTCACTCAAACAAATAGCCCAAATAGAATAAGTTCTTTGGTTTTATATTCTTGTTTGTTATTTTTATTTTATTTTTTGGTGGTACTGACACTTGAGCTCAGGGCCTCGCACTTGCTAGGCAGGTACACCACCACTTGAGCCATGCCCCAACCCTTTTTTGTTGGTTATTTTTCAGATTGAGTCTCAGTTTATGCCTGGGCCAGCCCAGACCCGTCCTTCTATTTGTGCTGTCTACATGGCTGGGATGACAGGCATGCACCATCCCATCCAGCCATTGGTTGAGATGGGGTTCTAGAATTGTTAGTCTGGACTGGGCTTAAACTATGACTTTCCCAATCTCTGCCTCCCAAATACGTAGGATTACACATGTGAGCCACCATACCCAGACATTTTTTTTTTCTTTCACCTTTTTTCTTTGTTTTTCGTGGCCATTGTTTACTTTTTTAAATACTGTGTGCATACTTTTTTCCCCTGACAGGTGGATTGAAACTTGTATTGGAAAAAATTCAATTCAGAAACATGCTGTTAGGTTAAAAAAACAAATCAGATTTGTACTTACTATCGTTCTCAGAATTGAAAGTTGCTTAGTATTCTTAATTTTTTTAACTAAGTTATTGAGCTAATTCCGTGAGTTACATGCTATGCACATTTTTTAAGTTATTCAAATATGTGCAGTTGGGTTTGAAAAAAATACTTCTGTGAAAATCACTGTGTTTATGTGTTAGCTTAAGCTTCATGCCTTCACTTTACTTGACATTATTCACGCAGTTCTTCTCATTAAAAGTAAATAGATATACGTCCTTTTGGGCTCTAAATAAATATGTTCTTCAAAGACTGTTGGCAAATACAGCATTCCTTGTGTTGTTGTCTACAAATGAGTATTTCCAAAATTACTCAAAATAACTACTGAATAAGAAATTTATCTAGTTGACTCAGGTAAGAGCAGTTTTTCTGTTGCCTTTATGACATAATGTTAGGAGACAGAATCAAATAAGAGAATATGTGCAGTCTTTTTTTTTTTTTTTTTTTTTAACAGAATCTTTTTCCCATAAGCCATGACTGAGATGTTTTTTTCCCTGCAAGTGACAGTATGGTTAGGATGTTGTGTTTTTATTCGTTTATGCATCAGTTTTTCTTTGTTAATAACATATATAAAAATATAATGTAGCATGTAGTAAATTACCAAAGTTAAATTTTGCGTGAAGGAAAGAAACGTTTATCAGTCTGATCTTTATTTGAGCAAAGAAGCTATGGATTTTTCATTTGCATCTTTAAACCAACAGAATTCATACACATTATGATGATGTAACAATGTGTGTGAAATTATGAGACATTTTGTGAGGTCTTGCTGGGGTGTTTGTAATAGACTTAAGTTTGATTTTTTGATAGACAAATACTAAGCTCCTTTATTTCTAAACTAGCAACAGGTCATAAGTGCGTGAATGTCCAAGCTGTCAAGTGAGCATGCATAAGGTGAATGATTTTAAAAATGTCCAACAGTGTTAGGACAAGGAAACAAAATATACTTTTAAAAGTCGGGTATGGGCTCACGCCTCTAATCCTAAGTAATTGGGAGGATTGCTGTTTGAGGCCAGCCTGGGCAGAAATGTTCACAAGACTCCATCTCAACAATTAAAAAAAAAAACTGGTTATGATGATGCATGCCTGTCATCCTCCCATCCAGCTGGTAAGCATAAATAGGATTGTAGTCCCGACTGGCTCAGGCATAAAGCAAAAAGGATTGGGAGTGTGGCTCACGTGGTAGAGCGCCTGCCTAGCAAGCACAAGGCCCTGAGTTCAAACCTTAGTATTGCCGGAAAAAAAAAAAAAAGATAAATAAAAAAAGGAGGAAAGCCATTAATCACTTTTTCGGCAGAGTTGTGATAAAAACTGAAAATGTAAACCCTTTATCTTTGCATTATCTTTTATAGCAGTTTGACTTAGGACAAAGTGAAATTCTGTGAACCTGAGTTTTTATTTGTCTTTAGGGACATTCATTCTTTCCTTCTGTTCAACTCCCTTCCTTGGCCCCCTCTCTCTCTTAGTGTTGGAGATTGAACACAGGGCCTTGTACATGCTAAGCAAGCTCTCTACCACTGAACCACAGCACAGTTAGAAATTAGATTTTTGTTTAGTTTTGGTTTTTGTGGTGCTAAGGCTCTGTCCCAACACTGCACTGAATTTAAAAAACTGTGGTCCCTAATTGATACAGTGGAAACACTCTTGCTAGAACTACATAGCAAGGGTGTTACTCTAACCACCCATTTTAGGAACAGTGTAACTTCCTTCCCCTGACTGTAACTGCAGACCCACAAGATGAAAACAGAATTGGAGTTGATGGGATCCAGCGGTTCTGTGATGACTTACGCCTGGACCCTGCCAGCATCAGTGTTCTGGTCATAGCCTGGAAGTTCGGGGCTGCAACACAGTGTGAGTTCAGCAGGAAGGAGTTCCTAGATGGCATGGCGGAGCTGGGGTGAGTGAGCCAGGCCTCCAGAGGGGAGAGCACTTCCCCTCCTCAGTGCCTGAGAGCGTTTACGTCACATCTACTCTCTCAGTATCACTTATGGGTGCCTTAGCACACACACGGTCAAGTCTTTCTTCCCTTTTAAACTTCAATTTCAGGTTTCATTTGCTATTTTAATTCATATTAACGCATTTGTAACTTTCTTTTGTTCCCTTCCAATTTTGAATTAACAGTAAATGCCAGGGGGTTTTCAGCCATTTGATTTCATTCCTATTGTATACTAAATTTATAACTTACGCTGCTATATTAAACATTAATAAAGTATCGTTTGGTTTTTTGCTTCTCTAGTCTACCTACTGGGGTGGGATTAATAATTTAAGATGTTTCTCACTTACCAGATGAGTCACAGAAGTAAATGAAAACACCGAACAGAACTGTCTTTTAGTCTTTGAGCTTATGGAACTATTTCATGAGATGGTGTAAAAGCCAACTTGTTTGAATTGTTGATACTTTGATGGTAACATTCTAGGACAGCTGTTTTCATCTTTGGAAGAGAAATGAAACCCTGTAAGCTTGTTCCCAAAGTCTTGCATTTACAACAACCAGGGAGAAGACAGGTGCATGTTTCTTCCAGGACACTGGTGATTGTTAGGTTTATCGACCTTCTCTGTTGAGACTATAAACTCTGATTCTCACCAGTTCCTGGCAGTTCTGACAGTGGTGCAGCTCATGCCCTTCCTGTTCTTTGCACTTTAGGAAGCCAAGATGAACCACTGATTGTTTCAAGGTAGAAGACCACCTATTAAAGAGCCACGGAATAAAAACTGTTAGAGACAGCGTAAAAAACATCAGTCATAACAGAAACTAGAGCTGGGGGCGTGGTCAGGTGGTAGAGCACTGCAGGGCAGACTCGAGGCCCTGAGTTCAAGCCCTAATATCTCTAAAAACTCTTTTACAAGAAGAAACTGATAAATGAGACTTCATCAAGTTTAAAACTGCTACTTACCAAAAGGTACCATTGAAAAAATGAAAAAGGCAAAACGGGACAAAATATTTACTACATAAATATATCTGATAATTATTCAAATAGGGAATATATAATTTGTGTTTAATTTCTAAACCATGAAGTGTTTTAGAAATTCAGCCCAAAAGAATGCAAGGAAAATTAGTTTAGACAGGACAAATGACAAACACATGACAAAATGGAGGATTTACCCCAAAGTCCCAATTAATATAATTAATTACACATTATATTAAATGTAAATGAACTAAATGCTAGATTTTTTTTTTAAAGTCAACCAGTGCGTGCACTTAAAATAGATACAAATAAAACAAAGGGCACAGAACAATTGAAAAGGACAAAAGTCATATAGTATGCAAACAATCCAGAAAAGCTTGTGTGGCTATGTTAATACAAATGTGAGCTTCAAGGCATAAATCAGTTCTTCAGACAATGAAGGACATCTGATAATGATAAAAGGCTTATTTCATCAGGAAGGCAAAGAGCTTTTACATTTTTGTGTACTTACAGAGTCCAAAATATTTACAGTAAAAATAACTGCAAAGAGAAAGTATACAAATGAGGAGTTCTCACACTTGGTGACTGATAGAATGAGCAGATGAAAAGTCAGTACAGAAAAAGATTTGGACATCACAACAAATGGGTATATTTGGGTCATTTCCTTAGTAAACAGGGATGTTAGGGCAAATTGCAAAGGATTGAAATGATACAGAGTATGTATTCTGAACATATGCAACTAAAGTAGGAATGTAAAAAGGTAACTAAACTAAAATGTGTGGATATTGTATACCTCTAAATGACCCCTGGTTTGAAAAATAAGTTACAATAGAAATTTGAAAATATTTTGAATGGTGAGGAAAATAATGATAGAAAAACCTGTAGAAAGAAGAAAAGGCTGACTGACGATCAGAAAGTAAAGCATGTATCTTCCAAAGTAGAAAGAGTCTGGGATGAGGCTCAAGTGTTATTAGTGTCTGCCTAGCCAGTGTGAGGTCCTGAGTTCAAACCCCAGGATCACCAAAAAAAGTAGAAGAATACAGAGGAGACCCTAGGTTCACCTCCACAACCACAAAAAGAAACAGCATGACATTAAATTCAAATGTAGAATGAAAATGTTTTAAATAAGCAATAATTGAATAGAAATAATAATTAAGTAGAAAAGGTCAATAGAAAGAGTCAATAAAACCAGAAGTTAGTCATTTGGAAAGACTTCTGGGGGTGTGGCTCGGTGGTAGAGCACGTGCCTAGCATACACAAGGCCCTGGGTTCAATCCCCAGCACTAGAAGACTCATAAAAGCTGTAACTAACAAATAATACAGAATTAAAGGGGAGAGCATTAATTTATTATGAACAATTTTGCAGACTGTGTGAGGCATTCTTTTAAGAGTTCAACTTACTGAAACTAACATGAAGAAATACAGAATTTTTAATAATTCTATAACTCTTAAGCACTCGAACCTGTAATTTGGAATCTCAAAAAAATCTTGGTTGGAATGGCTTCACTGACATCACCTACTGAACTTTTTTTCGTTTTTTTGGATTTTTTTTTTTTTTTTTGGCAGTTTTGGTTTTTTTTGAGACAGAATCTTGCTTTGTATTCCAAATCCATGGTCTTCCTGCCTTATCCTCCCAAGTGCTGTGATTACAGGCATCTGCCACCTTGCCTGGTGTTTTACCAAACTTTTAATGAAGAGAAATTGCCAATTTTGACTATATACTTCACTATTTTAAACCCAGCCTGTTCCAATGAAGAGGCCCCTGAGTGCTGAAGTACATAGAACAGGCCTTTTCCCTAGTACAACAGCACAGAAGGCAGCAGTGGGCCCGGCTTCAGGGGTGGTCCAGTCTGTGGTCACTGAAGAAATGGGCTTTCCATTTTGTTGCTGTGCCTTGCTGTATAGTCAAAGCTGCAGAGCAAACCACCCTCTTTCCCAGCTCACACAAAGAAAAAAAAATTTCTTTTTAAATAAGAGTCTTGATATGTAGCTCAGGCTGGCCTTGAACTCACAATCCTCCTGACTCTGCCTCCTGAGTGCTGCAATTACAGGAGTGTATCACCATGCTGGCCTTTGGTTTTTCTTTTAATAACAGCTCTACTGAGACAAATTCACATACCTTACTTTCACCCACTCAAAGTCCATAGCTCAGCAGCTTCAGTGCATTCAGAATTGTGTAGCCATCACCACCATCCATCTTAATGGCCTTTCCAATTCTTTTTTTTTTTTTTATTCATATGTGCATACAATGTTTGGGTCATTTCTCGCCCCTCCCCCGACCCCCTCCCTCTTTCCAATTCTTTTTAGCAAGAGAAGGTGCTCACTATGACTCCACTCACACCCCATCCCTTAGAACTGAGACCCAACCACACCAAAGCTGGGAAATGCAGTTCCTGCAGCTCAGAAGAGGATGTTGATTGGGAGGCAGATCTGCAAGTAACAAGGCCTTCTCTGTTGTCTCAGGTGTGATAGCACAGAAAAGCTGAAAGCTCTTCTGCCCAGACTGGAGCAAGAGCTTAAGGACACAGCAAAGTTCAAAGATTTTTACCAGTTTACCTTTACCTTCGCTAAGAACCCTGGGCAAAAGGGTTTAGGTGAGTATAAAATTTATAAGGCGCCAGATCTGAATGAGATTTAAGTGGATGTGATCAGTGTTATTTCAGTACAGCCTTCCGTGATGTTGATGTCCCTGTTTTGGGTTTTTTTCTCTGCTTATTCTTATACCTGAAAAATCTCAACCAATAGTGTCTTTGAACTTCTGGGTTCAGATATTGAAACCTTAAAATGTATGGTAATTTGTACGTGTTACAGGTCATCTCGTACTGTTATCCCACCAAAGTTAACAGTCTTGAGTGTTTTAGACTTGTTTACCTGTGTGCCAGCCGAGCCCACAGTCTGGCTGAGTTATTGTTGAGATTGGCAGGTGATGCTACTCCTGATAGGTGTGGAGAGGTAAAGTTAACTGGCTTGAAAGCAGTTCTGTGGGCATTGAATTGCATCATAGTACTCCTTCAGCGTCGGGTAACTTTGCTTGTGTTTACTATCTATATATTATACAGTTGGAAAGTTGGTAACTTAAATTTTTCAGCTTGAGACTTTAGTTTATTTGAGGATTTTTATTATGCTTGTTTTGCACCTGAGTACTATATGGTTTATTTCTGGCTATCTCTTCCTAAAAATCAATCTGTGTTGACCTATCCTTGGTTACCTAGTACATGTAACAGACTTTCTTTGGTAGTTACCTGAAATCTCCTACAAGTTTGGAGGGAAGGAGTCTTTTAAATAAAGGTTAAACAGGCATATTAGAAAGTATGTTTCAATAAAAGCAGTGTCATAAAGTGACTAAAAATCACATGGAAAACAGATAGAAAAACCTCCCACACTCGTGTGGTCTTCCATCCCCATTTCCACATGCCTGTGCAGAGGTGTGCCATCTGTGGTGAAGGTTTTTCTCACCTGTCTCCTCTTCCTGCTGCCACCACCACATCAGACATGGGTGAGGGGTGAGCACAAACCACAAAACTTTCTCCTAGATCTGTGGCAGGGATTGCTTTCTTTGTCTTGTTTGTTTTCACCAGGATTAGTTGGTGGTTGGCTTTTTTAGTTTTGTTTGTGTGGTACTGGGGATTGAACTCAGGGCCTCATATGTGCTAGGCTAGCATCCTGCCCCTTGAGCCACACCCCCGGCCCTTTTGCTTTTTCATTTGTTTTTCAGATAGGGTCTTATGCTGACTTTGCCTGGGCTGGCCTTGAATCTCAGCTCTCCCGCCTTTGCTTCCCAAGTAGCTTGGATTTAACATGTTCCACCGCACCAGGCTTGGTTGCTCAGTTTTAATGTTGGTGCATTAGGACAGCAAGTCTCTTGTCTGAGCTTCCTTTTCCTGAAGGCTGGCACACCTGTGAAACAGTCTTTCTCCCTACATGCAACCTCTCAGATCAGCATTGGCACCTCATGAACCGAAGACAGCCTGGAGGGTTGCGTCAGGAAGTTGCCTGAACAGATTCACTGACATGTCAGAAGGTGGAAGTGCTGTCACTTCCTGTGGGAAAGTGCAGGTATGTTTATCCCTATTGAAGAGGTGCCATGGACTGAGGGGTTCAGCACAGTGGGAGAGTACATGCGCTCAGCATGTGCATGGCCCTGTGTTCAGTCCCTAGCACTGAAACAAAAGAGAGATGCAGGTGAACAAATGAGACGTGGGGCTGTCACCTTTCCACATTTTGTGGGACACACAGCTGTGATCAAGTGAAGCGTTTGGAGATTGAGGAGGCTTGCTTGTGAAACTGTGTGACCTCATTGTCTGATCTGGTCTTCAAGCCTCTACAAACACAAGCAGGGAAGGTCCACTACACATAATGGGTAACGGAGAAAAGATAGGCAGCAGGTTTGTTAGGTTTCCCTTGTGCTCCCCCTCTTTTCAGAGACCAACCTTTGCTGAACTGAGTTAGATGTGGAGGGAACAGAGCCAGTCACAAGCACCTGACCCGGGCATCCTGCAGCTGGCTAGTGTCTGCTTCCCAAGCAGATATCATAGCCTGGGAAGAGCTTGCGATCCCTTCCTGAGAAACTGAAGAGACCAGGGGTCTCAGGCCAAGGTAGAGATGGACGTGTTGGCTACAGGGTCTTGGAATTTCAAGTGGTTCAGTGGTGCTGGTACAGAGTGGAGGACTGACCCCAGGCTTAAGTCAGTCTAAGGTGCCGCTTAGCTGTGGGGGTGACACTGGGGTACAGTGGAACATCTCTTAGGTCTTCCTCCCCAGAGCATAGTGACTGCTCTGTTGTTTCTGCCACTCACACGTCCAGACAGGGATAGGCTGTCGGTATGGTTGCGGTTCTTCTAGACAGTTGCTTTTGTCTTTTATTTACCTTCTTAGAAGGGCGGAAAGAGTATCATTTACTAAGCAGTGAGGTGCTTCACTACAGGTTTACCTCTGATCCCATCTTATGTAGGGAACCTGAGCCTCACTGTTAGATGAGTTCTCCAAGGCATGCATTTGAGCAGTGACAGTAGCATTGGAGCCCTCACGGTCTCTTCCTGTCCCTTCTTGGTGCTCTCCTGACAACCTTCCTGGCCCCTGTGGACATCACCCTACCTCCCTGCTGGACAGCCTGGCATCCAGTTTGAAACTCAAGAGCCAGAATTGGAGGTGCATGGGTCTCGTTTAAGGATGTAGGGGGTACACCATTATCATCAGTGTAAATCCATACAGATTCTAAGCAGAGAAGGAGCCATCTCTCCCACTCAGAAGGGCAGTCATCAAGAAAGCATGAACAAATGCTGGTGAGGACTCAGGGAAAGGACCCCTTATATACTGTTGGTGAAATGTAAATGAGTGTAGCCACTATGGAAATCAGTGTGGAGGTTCATCAAGACGCTAAAAATAGACTTGCCTTATGACCCTTTATAGTATAAAGATACAAGAGACATACCTGCACAAGATGTTTATTGCAACAGTATCCGCAGTAGCCAAGCTGTGGAATCAACCGAAGCATCCAACAGCCAATGAATGGATAAAGCAATGTGATATATATATATAAAAAGGCATATTACTCGGCCATAATGAAGAACAAAATTACAAAATTTGCAAGAAAACAGGTGGAATTGAAGATCACCAAATTGAGTGAAATAATTCAAGCTTAAAAAGCCAAATATCACATGCAGGACCTGGGTCTAAAATGAAAATAACAGTGGAACCTGAGTATAAAAGGGGACTGCTGAGGGGGAGAGCCAATGAGAGGGGAGAGGGAAAGGAGGGCACTGAAGAGGGTTGAAGTGCATTTCACATCCATGTGACATTAACTTAATGAAACCCACCAAATAATGCTTGAAAAGGGTGAAGGAGTGAGGGCCAAGGGAATATAATAATATAATAGAGGGAATGGGCTTGTTTGAAGCACACTGTACGCATCTACAGGATTTTTACAACGAAACCTTGTACTATTAATGAATACTAACTTTTTAAAAGGTTAGCATTTAACTTTCATGTGTCAGTATTGCTTTTGAGAATTGCTGTATGAAACAATACTGAGAATTTCTTCTAGGCCCTGGGGGCCAACAGCACCAGCACCCTTGGAAATGCCCATAAATTCAGGTTCTTGGGCCTCACCACAGACCCACTGTTTGAGTTAATAACCACCGGATAACAAACCACCTCAAAACTTAGTGGTTTTATATAGTGGCCATGGTTTACCCTTCTGATCTTTTGGATTAGGGCTTCAGGCTTGACTCAGCTAGGCAGCCTTCTGTTCCCCCAGGTCATCACTAAGTGGCATTTCAGCTGGGGCTGCAAACACCAGACCATGGTGGATCTGACCTTGGGCCTCCTTTCAGCAGGTGACCTTAGATGAAGGCCTGCTCGTGTGGAGGCTGGTAGGCCAGGCACCCTTCATTTTCACTTCTGCTTGACACTGTCACATTCATTGTGCTTTTAAATTCCGTCGTAGTTTCCAAGAGATGTGGATGCAAGTTTAAAGTAATGGCCCAAATTAAAGTGGCAAACTTCAGGCTGGGGGTGTAGCTCAATGGAAGAGGCCTTGCCTGACATGTACAAAGCCCTGGGTTAGATCCCCAGCACTGCAATATAAATAAAATTACCCAATATATTTTCTCTCTCTGTGAGTATATCAAAGAACTTCAATATAAGGTAAGGGTAAGGAGTGTTTTGAACACTTTGAAACACAGGCCCTAATATATTTAGCCCCCATTTCATAGATTTCCTTAAGCATCAGGCAGTAGAGTAAGCCAAGAAAAACAAAATTTATAGTGCCTTTACTGAGAACTGTTTCTTTTGGCAGGGGAGTGGTACTGGGGTTTGAACTGAGGGCCTTGCGCTTGCTAGGCAGACACTCTGCCACTTGACACCCCCAGCCTTTTTTGCTTTCATTATTTTTAAATAGGGTCTTGAGGTTATGTCTAGGCCAGCCTAGATCTGATCCTCCCATTTATGCTTCCTGCATAGCTGGGATGACAAATGCTTGCCTTCATGCCAAGCTTTTTATTAGTTGAGATGAAGGGGGCTCAGGAACTTTTTGCCAGGGCTAGTCTTGAACCACAATCCTTCTAATCTCCACCTTCCTGCTAGTAAGTAGGGTTACAGGTGTGAGCCTCTGTGCCTGGTGTGGTAACTATTTTGTGTTTTATTTCTGTGGACACTGAGATGTTTGTTAAAAATCATTCTCCAGAGAGTTCGAAGAGTTACTGAGTTTGTTTCTTTGCCTCATATAGGTGATTGAGAGAAATAAAGTTGTATAAGGAGTACCACACAAGCCTCTTCAGGAAAAGGATCATAGCGTCTGTGATAGTGTCAAGTATACACGCACTAACATAGAAGGTTTTTGAGGGCTTTTTCAAAAGAAATAAGGGAGTAGTTTTCTGAAACAGATTTACAATTATAAACTACAAGCTGGGTGGTCAATTTACCCTTTCCAGAGTGTACCTGTTGCATGGTCTGTCTTCAGAAGAATTGGCATGAGTTGAAGAGATGGGTAGGTGTGCTTTCTTGGCAGTGGGAAGTGGCATTGAGAGAGCTATATCCTGTTCTCCCTTGTGTTCGTCCATGCACACTTAGATCACATGTACAATGGTGTATTTTGGTCTCCTATGTTAACCAATGTGGCCCTGAAACCCTGGACGCATGCGATCCTCCTGCCTCAGCCTCCTGAGTGCTTGGACTACAGGGGCATACCTGAGTTTTATGTGAGATTATTCCTTACCCTGTACCTAACTGATGATCTGCCTAATGAATAGGGTAAAGTTAATTTGAGTCAAGAGAGATACTGAGGTGCTGGGATAGAGCCCAGGGCCTCACAGATTCTAGGTGAGCATTCTCCCACTGAGCTATACCCCCAGCCTGATTCATTCAGTCTTTTTTTTTTCCAGTCCATCTTTTAATTTTTTTTGAAAAATTTCCTGACATTACAGAACTAAACTGAAATGTATTAATATTCCACTCATATTTTCCATGACAAACAAAAAATCAAGAGCCAAACAAAAAGGGAAGGGAGGAACTTCTAAAACTAAGTAAACATTAACAGCTGAGCAGAGAAAGGAGTTAAAACACTTTGATAAAAACCATGAGTGGATGATGAAGTCTGTAGAAACTGAAAATTTACAAACTGTTTAAAACCCAGAAGTCTGGTTCTTTCTTTTAATTTAAGAAACTTAAGGTTTTCTGCTGGCTAGAATTTTGAATCTGTTGGCTTTGAGAATCTAGGTTTTTGAGGAAGTGAAATTTCATGATTATTAGCTAATTTTTATGTCTGTCCTAAGATCCTTTTTTGGCAGAGAGTACATCTTCTTTACCTAATCCTAAATGAAACATTATAAGCATAAATGTTAAATAAACACCTTCTTCTAATGTTTTCTTAATCAAAAAATAAGACTTTTTAGACGTTCTTGGAGGGAAAATTTCTGCCAGGACGATGTGGCACTAGAGAGCAGCAACCCTGATTTCAGCCTCAAGTTTTGCTGTTTGGATTTGTCGTTGCTATTTTTGTGAATGGGGCTCAGTCCATCAGGACAGTGTGACGTTTCTCAGAAAATATTGAATATTGAAAATTCACACACTTAACCTTTTAGTCATGTGGTTCACACACATCCACATCAGGTATTTGCAAGAAAGGTTTCTAGGACCAAAACTAACCCAGATGTAACTAGATGATAAATGTATACCATAAACTTTATTTTTCTTTCCTCCCCAGGTTCTCCTCCATTCCCAGTGTGAGCGCTTTACATCATTAAGATGAGTTGAATCTAGATCTCCCTTAATGTTCTTCCTAAGGGATAAGGATGTAGACTTATAAGCAGGACAAGACTAATCATCTTAGCCTTACACTGCGGGTCCCATAGGTAAGGTTTAGTGAGTCCTCCACATGCAATTACTCGAACTCTTTGGCTCTGTCTTCTTTCTGATCAAGGCACCAGGGTGCTTAAGACCCAGCAAGTCTGTAACAAACCCTGTAAACCCCTAGGGAGTAGGTGTCTGACCTGAGGTTGTTGCTGTCATTCATCTCTGGGTTATCCAATGTGAGTGATGGTCATCCTGGACACCACAAGTTAGAACTCCAGCTTTCATAATTTATGTGAAAGTGGGATCAAACCACATTTATAAGAAAGCCTTGAAAAGTGTTTAGTGGATAGTTTGCAATTGAATTAATCTGTTGCTTTAATGTATTCATTTGTGTTTCACGCTAGTTTATTTGACATACCATAAGTATTAATTAGAAAGTTATTTCAACATAACTGTCCTTTCACTGCCTACCAGTGGTGAGCAGTATTCAGCATGATTGAAGGTGATCAGTTTTAAGAAATAAACCCAGGCCCTTTATGTGCTTTCCATGTCGAGCATATAAAAATAAATACTAAGTTTCTGGTGAGGAGGGAATAAATCAGTACTTCAAAAAATCGTGAGTTGGAGACCTGTCCTAATACAACCCTGACACTCAGCATTTGCTTTCCTTTACGACCAAGCCTGTATCATAGATTTGTGCAGAAGTTGTGTTCACTGCTTTCCAGACAGGAGGAAATGAGAACCTTGACTTGGACTGTTAGCAGCCTAGGTTTTAATACCCTTCTCTCAGGGAAAGTGCTTTTCCCTATGCATGCTGATTTGTCTTCACTGAGCTATTCAGAGTCCTTTGATGCCTGTCTCATTTGCTGTCAATCAGATAATTCTAAAACATTAGACTCTGTCTTAGTTTGTATAATGACAGGGAAGGTAGGTCTATTGGAGAGCATCTGGTCCCTTCTGTTCTGAACGAGTTGTTTAATTTGCAACTCATCATTTGCAAAGTAGCCTATTTTAAAATAAGTAGGCACTAATAGCCAGATTAGGTCAGGCTTAAAGAAAACCTACTACATGTGAAATGCAAATCTCCAAAACGACCAATGGGGGGATAACTACGTGTGTCTAAATAACTTAATACATAATTCTTTGTTTCAAGAAGCTTCCTCAAATTTACAAAATTAGATCATAGTTTTCGGGGCTACTGTGTAAAGATTGGGCCTCATGATGTGGGTCAGGCTGTTAAAATTGTTGAGTAAGTGAATGTCATTCTTGCTCAGTAGAAAAGAGATTGCAGTTTATTAACTACCTTTTCTCTTTTTTGCCAGATTTAGAAATGGCTGTTGCATACTGGAAACTAGTACTATCTGGAAGGTTTAAATTTTTAGATCTCTGGAATACGTTCCTGCTGGTAAGTTCCGTTTCTTGCCATGTGTGTCCAGTCAAATGGGGAGGTCAGGAGCTCTGAGGCTGGACATAGGCATCTAACTAATGTCTTACACGTGGAAGTTTTACATAAATGAATCCTGCACAGAGATGCTCATGTATCAGGGCAGTGCTGCACAGCTTGGTCACCTTGGGAATGCCTCAGCACAGAGCACCAGACAGGAGCTGTTCTGAGACTATCTGTGACAGCCACTCCTGCCAGTGTGGGGTTTCTAGAAGATGGGCTGCAAACCTTAGGAGTCCTCAGCCTGCCATAGACCAAATAATTCTCCATTTCAACCAAGTAACTTCAAGTCCTTAAAGTGCCAGCACCACAGTTGCTGCAAGTTGATAGGGCCCCAAAGCTATGCATAGGACTTCATTATCCAGCTTTATCCCAGCCACCATGTGTCTGTCCCCAGTCTGTACCATCTTAAAACATATTTTTTGATGCTCAAAGAAAAGAGGCTTTAGTGGGCTGTGTTAGGAAAGGTGCATGGTGGGCAGGCACTATGGCCATGAGGGGCCCTATCTTGGGGCCTCTGTGCAGGGGCAGCTGTGGGCTGTGTGAGTGTCCCATCTCCAGCAAAGGCATCCTGGTGATGACAGATGCCCAGCCTTCCCGTACCACAATGATGGTGAAAAGAGACCATCTTTCACACAGCACGGCCTACAGCCAGGCTGAGGTGTTTCTTATTTTGACCCACGTGACCTTGGGCACATTACTTCCATGTGTCTTAGTGTTCACAGTGTGGCTGTCTGTGAGGGGTGTTGTGAAATCCCACAGCCCTGGGGGAAGGTTCCTCATCAAGGGTTTCCTTACATCACGTGCATTGTTATTTATCTTGAAATGTTTAGTTGGTGGTGGTGTGCCCAAAACCGTCTTCTTACTCTAATGGGTTTCACCCAAACTGCACCCCTACTCCAGAGAACCACACACCCACGTGTGCAGAGACAGGATAGTAGGGACAGCAGAAACACTGGAGCAGATCTAATATCCATCAGTTGGAGTGGATGAAGAAAATGAGAATGTCAGTGCAAGAGAACACAACTACAAAGTAGTGAGAACAAAGGAAATTAGATTTAAACGTTAGTCTGGACACTTTCCAAACTGTTGAGTGGAGGAAAAACAAGTTGCAGTAAACTACCTATACTTTTGTAGTAGTCTATAATGTTTTAAGATGTAAAACAATCGTACAAGCCCTCTGACTGTCTGTATGCATTAACAGGTAAAGACAGGCACACAGTGCTATGCTGAGGGTAGAGGTCAAGGGAAGAGCAGAGTCAGCACAGAGAAGCAAAGACCCAGCTGCACTGACAGAGCTTTCCTCTTGGGCACAGGTGTCCAGTGGTCTGCACTGCTTTAGTGTTTCTGGCATATCTAGAATACTGAATCAAACATATTTTCAGAGACTTGTCCCATCCCACTGCAAAAATTACCTAATGCATAGAAGACTACATGTGAGGAAATTAAGATAGATAGAAATATGACTCCCATATTGTCCTGCACCATTTCTGAATTTGTTTTGATAGGGAGGGAGACAAAGATTGAAAATGCTGACTTTCTGTTTGATTGAAACAGGAGTTTATCACTTTAGTATTTAATTTTTTTAATAAGTCAGCATTCCATATTTGGACATGGATACTGTGGTAGCTCTTACATTTATATAAGGTGTGATAGTTTTGTTACTGTACTTAACCCTCATCAAATTAAGGAGAATTAGTTATTAATGAAGGATCACCCAGCCACTACGGTGTCTGACAGTTAAACTCTGAACCTTACCTGCTGGATTTTTTTCTCTTACATATTAGGAGCATCACAAAAGATCAATTACAAGGGACACTTGGAACCTTCTGTTAGACTTCGGAAACGTGATTGCAGATGATTTGTCTAACTATGACGAAGAAGGTACTGGAAGCTGGAGGATGTTCACACCTGATATGGATGCTGACTGCCTGCCTCCAGAGGGGCAGGCACTGAGCCAGATAGGGCCACCACCCTATGGGAGTGGGGACAGTACACCCAGTTCCGTGTTGGTTCCTGTCAACCACAGAGCACATGTGTTTAGGTTGACTTGGCGATACCAGCTTCTTTGTGCTTACACAAATGTATTTATACAGTGTTGTTCCCCAGTGCCTGAGGACCCTACATCGGAGGCTTGTGAGCTCTGCCCATAAAAGAGCATTGTGCCCTGAGAAGGGTATGTGGTCCCAGGTAGAAAGCCTCCCTTCCAGATTTGGCTGGCCAGGACCCTTCTCTGGACATCCTCACCCTTGCGCCTTATGTCCTGGAGCACCTGGCCCTGCCACTTGTGGTGGTCAGTTCCTGTGTGCCCCTCACCGATTCAGCTTATCTCTGTGTTCTCAAACTAGGCACACTACCTCATAACAAACACCTAGTCTGTGCTTGTTGGATGAAAGGACTACATGAATGTAGACAGCTCAACTTGCAGGGACTTTGCTATAGTTGATTTTAGGTCTATCCACACAGGACAGCTGACAGCAGGGGCAGTGTGCCCTAGTGCAACAGGCAGTCGACTGGAAAGGCACCCAGGGGGCAGCACCCCCTGCTAACCAGAATGATGTGACTCCTTATACCCTAGGGACAAAGGGGTCCTTTGCTTTCCATGGGGGGTCCTCACAGGCCATGTTGCTCCAGTCACTCACTGACCCTGGCCTCTTGGAGCAAAAAAAACTGCGAATCATTTAGACTCTTTGAATGTTGGGTTTAGAAAAAAATGCTTTGAATATAAAAATACTGCTCTAATACTTTGGTTTTTTTGTTTTTGTTTTTGTTTTTTTTTTTTAAGTCTGTTTGTTTGCTTTCCTTTAGGAGCGTGGCCTGTCCTTATAGATGACTTTGTAGAGTATGCACGGCCTGTAGTCACAGGTGGGAAGCGCGGTCCCTTCTAGATGGAAAAGTAAGGTGGATTGGGATTATGAGGTGAATCGCATCCTGCAAGGAGACACTTGGGTCAGTTGCTGTGTGTCTGTCGCTGACTTCAAAAGTCCTCCTCACGGAGTCCTGAAGGTGGAACCCTAGTTTGCTCTGCACCGAGAAGCTCCACAGAGGAGCCGCCTCGGGTTATGTTCTGTCATCACTACTGCTGCTTTAGGAGACTCCTGCATGACTTCATAGTTACAAAAAGTAGCAGAGCCCATTTGCAGGCTGCAGAGCATGCTATTTAATTTGTGATTTAAGGTGAATACCAGCAGTTAACCAAAACTGCTGGATTATACTGTAATTATATTTAAAACAGTATTTATGTCCTGAGTAGGATGTCGTGTTTTTATACAAGTCAAGGCTATTAAAATGTGCCCTAATGAAGATGACCCTGTCACAGACCTTAATGTTTTTTAATTTTGTTGCCAGGAATTCAAGATTTATTCTATTTTTTGAATTATCACATATCTAGATTTATCAGATGTGTTTTGTTTTCGTATTCTGTGGTATTTATTTAAGCATCACTTCATGGTTTTTAAGACACTGTTACAGTTGCACAGTGATGGCACATGTAGGGTGCGATTCCAGCAGTTTTACTTTAAACTGCTTACAAGCCAGTGGGCCTGTTATACTTCTAATAATGTTATTTGAACCTCCTAAAGAAGTTTCTTATTTTTAATATATCGTATCATACTTAAAAGGACATTTTCTTTTCAAGTGATGAATTACAGATTTAAGAATCAAATGCACTGTTTTCTTTCACCTGTCTGATATCTACAGTGCCCAGTGTCCAGCTGTTTGTGTAGCCATATGCATTTGGAAGCAAAAACATAAATCATAAAAATCCTCACCCAGAACTTTCATCTCGTTTGCAAACTGCAGTCTGTCTACACCGTATTTTGGCCTGATTTATGGTATTTGCCTGATCAAGGACCCACTCTTGCACACAGGCATGGAGGGCCTGGATGCTGCTTGCTGTTTTTGAACATCACTGTGCTGACCCTACCTCACACTTGCCAAGACTTGGCGTCACAAGCGTGCCTTGCTGCCCCACCTGAAACTCAGCCTGGAGCAGACAGGCTAGGCCTGCTCCAAGACGGGGCGTCTCCAATGCCTGAACATAGAAAGTGTCCCCAAACATGCCGTTGGGGTGGCTTCCGAGGATAGGAAATGCTCTGGCTGGCTGTACAAAACAGCTGTGAGCCGTGTGTCCCCTGCAATGACATGTACTCTTGACACTCCTAATAGGAATCCCACAGAGGACAGGAGGGGTGCTGACTGGAGAGGAAGACCAGACCTCAGGGCCAGCCCCTCCCTGTGAGAGGACATGAGTCAGGGCAAGTTGCATGGCCTTTCTCAGCTCTGCTGCACATCTGTAAAGGAACTGGGCCATCACCTTCTTTAAGTCTAACTCAGTATTTAAGATTTAAAACAGATTGCTAGTCAATTCCAAAACATTAGTAATTGGACAAAGGTTCTTCAAAGAATTGCACTTTTTTTTCTTCATTATTTACATTTGAGTTGTGCATGTTATAAAGATGTTGAGAACCTCAGGAACACTAAAATAAATTATTTTCCCTGATGTTATGGTGTCCTTTATTCTTGGTTGTATAGACACTTGCCCCTCAGTGTCAAGCCCCAGTCTTTCTCCTGGGTCCACAGTAAGCTCCAGTTTTTAGCAAGTAGCAAGCAGACCCCTTGCCTACATTGTATCCGACCTGCCTCCCAGGTAAATAGGCATGTCTCTCACAGACAGTCCCAGTCACTTAGGTTTCTTTCTCTGCAGTGCAAGTGAGAAATTACGGGCTTCACAATATACATAACTTACAGAGGAATCTGTGGGGAGAGCCGAGCTGATTTGATCCAGAAGTATGGTTACCCAACTATGTCTGTGGTTGCTCTGTGGGCCGCTCCTCTAACTGGTGCTTTTTTATAAGGGAGAGTTTTGTTTCATAGCAGAAAACTTTTGTCAGAGCTCATATTTACAGTGGATTTTGGGTAAACAAGATGTTTGAAGGAGTGCCAAAAGGGCTGGCAGAGTGACAAGAGTAAATTGTGCCTGCTGGCAAGTGTGAGGCCTTGAGTTCAAACCCCAGGGCTACCAAACAACAGCAAGAGTGCCAAAAGGACTCAGAGAAGAGAGTTGGAAGTTACACATGTGCTTTGCAAATTTCACCTAAGCAATATGTGAACACCTTAAGACAAGTTCTTGTCACTGCTACGGTGTATTTCAAGAGATTCTATGCCAGGTATTCTCTGAAAAGTATAGAGCCTATATTAATGGTTCCTACATGTGTATTTTTGACATGCAAAGTAAGAGGAATTTGGATTAGTCTCAAATACAGGATTGATTTCAGCTGCTACTTCTGTATTTAAAACTAGATTTTCATATGTCTTTCCAAAGGAATTTCCTTATAGGATGAGTCATATATTAGATGTGAGTTCTGTCTTTTAGAACTAAGGGACTGTTGCTTGATAGTGTGCCATCCTTATAGACCTTTGCTCCAGTTTGTGCAGGACATGGGTCAAGAAGACATACGTGTTGCTTCCCCTTGCATGAAGGATTGTGAATGATACCTACAGAACTGTATCCTTTCATGACAGCTTTAGCTTCCATGTGTGAAGCCTGCATCATACAGCAAAGGTGCCAGACAATGGTTTGCTGAGCTTCCCATGGATATGGAGAAGATTTTGGAAATAATCAGGATTATTTCAAAGCTATATGAGCAGTGCAGAAATTTTGATGTAGGAAAAGAGATGACAACTATTCTTAATAAGATGCTGAAACCAAAACCAGCTCCAAACAGTGAAGGAGAGTAGGGTCCAAATGGAATCAGAACCCCAGTCAAACATTCCAGATGAGTTTGTAGTGGACCACTTGGGAATAAACCATCGTGCATATTTCAGTCATGTCTTCACGGAACACAAATGAAAAGTGAACAGCTCCTTTATGTCAAGCATATTGAGAAGTGATGTTATTTTTTCAAAATAAGTTTTTCTTTACCTAATTTGATTCTTGTACACAGTCAATTAAAATCTTCTGATTATAAAAGCTTGGAAGGGTTCTGAGGGGACCTGCCGACAGACATAGCCATATCAAAGTTAATAGCTTCTGATTATTGATTTAGATACTGGAAATTTTTAGTTTTTATTAAAGCAGGAAACATAATTTGTTTAAAATTCTCTTTTGTCTTTGAGGGGCCATTAAATGAGGGTTTTTTGTTTTATAGTCCCTCTGTAAGTAACTTTAAAACTGTATCTAAAGAATCAAATCTCACAGAATCCTGGAGGATTTTGGTAATGATGCTGCCAGTTAATTTTAGGATGTTTTTTATTCCACAGTTTTAGTGTCTTGTCACAGAAGACATTGGCCCAGCCTAGAAGAAAAGTGCAATGTGAATAGCATTTTGAAAATAATATATTAATACTGTAATAATGTTGAAACACCGGGCAAACTTGTTTAAAAATCCTACATTAGGTTATTTGCAATTAGTTCATAGTTACGAGCATTTTGGGAGCTTCATTGGATAAAACACCATAATCCAGTTGAAATGTGGTAAAATTTTATGGTTAATTTTTGATCTGCTGTCAAAGTTTTTATCTTTAATTTTGAGTCTTAGTGTGGACTCAAACTTACTGTAGGTATCCTGAGCCAGGAGCACAGTCAGGATTCAGGCCAGTTTAATACTGGCTGTTGTTAAATCTCATAAGAATGCAGGACTTCACAGTAGCTGTTATATCAGTGAAACTTGGGAAATTTATTCTTCAGACTTGAAGGAGAGCGATAAAACTTGGAGGTGTAAGATATTAATGTAAAACTTAAGGATTAAAGTTTTTTATAAATCATCTGTGAAAACAGTTGACTAGTTATTAAATTATCTTCTGGTACAAGGCTGCAAGAATAAAAGTGAGTTATCCAGCTTTTTTTTTTTTTTTTGAAGAGTCTATGAGAACTACATGCTGGAATACACTAATACAGTGATGGGTAGGTTGAAAACGAATTAGCCAGATGTTATTCAAGTGCTTGCCAAGATTTTCTAGCATAGACTTTGCCCTCCCTTGTCTGCCTGAGTAACAGTGCACTTCGTGTTAAAGTGTTACTTTCTGACTTCAGGCTTCCAGCATGGGAGAAAGAGTGAACCCTCCTGCAGATTTTGCTGTCTGCTGTTCCTGGTACAGCCTTACTGAATAGACAAATGAGTGAGCTTGCTTGCTTCTAATATTTGTGGCTTGTTCCCAGATATCCTCAACATTTCCCACTGTGCAGGAGTCAAGAAGTCAGCCTTGCATTGTTGTGTCCTCATCGACGAGACACTTGTGCCCAACTCTGTGAGGCGGGTGACGAGCTGTCCCTGCCGACTCTGCTTGCCTGCGTTTCATTTAGACAGGACTTGCATACCTTCTGGCTTAGAAGGGCTTTGTTTTGGAATCTTAGAATTGTGCTGGCTGGAAGAACCTCAATTTAACAAGTGCTGGTGGTATAGTATTTATTTGTTTAAGGGCATTTTACCATCTTGCTGCATCTTATTCTTATCGGGTGCATTCCACTTCTGGGTATGACAGACAAGTCCCAGGAGGGTAGAAGGGGAGAGCCGGCAGCCTGGTGTCTGCTGGGGTGGGGCGGGGAGGTGGTTCTTACTAACGTCAAACTAGGAGGCCTGGTACACATTCTGCACCACCCCATGCTCATGGTTTTGAGTTGTCCTGAAGGCAGGCAGGGGTATTTTCTGTCCATGAAACTCTGGGTGGGGCAGCCTGACTCCACTGAGACACTTCACCACTTCACAGTCTAGCACTGGAGCCTTCTGTTGAACATTGGATGTTGGGAAACATTGAGCCCTTTACACTGCACATTTTAAGTTTCCTATCACAGCATTTTATTTCATTGGGTTTTTTTGTTGTTTTTCCCGAGCTCAAATCCAGGGCCTCACATACATTAGGCAAGTGCTCTACCACTTAGTTGTACCCCCACCCCTCACAATTTTATAATCAGAAAATAAAACGCAAGTTTTCTAAAGGTAAAACTGCAACTAGATGAATCTCATACCAAGTGAAAGAGGCCAGACACAAAAGGCCATACTGGATTAGAAGTTTCCAGAGAAGTTACTTTAGCATGTAGCAAGATAGATGCTATTATTTTGAAATTTCTAAGCAAGACGGAGCCATAGAGCCAAGACAGATGAGTGACCAACTGCTTGGGGTACATGGGAAGAACAGAACAATTGGACAAAGAAGACTTGGGGTTGGGGGCCGGGTCTGGAGCAGCCCCTGCAGGCCCACCATAGGCCTGCTCCTATTTCCACACACACAACACTGCTGTCCCACAGCGGGGTGCACTCCGTCAAGGACACTTGAGAACCAGGGCTCTAGTGCTCTGAGGCGGTTCTGGATGTGGACTGAGGCCAGCAGGCTCCTTTGCTGTAAAACCAGTGCTGTCCAGATGCCTCCCACGTGGGGTGCTCAGAGCCCTTTCTCATTGGTGCCACCTGCTGAGGCAGGAAAGCAGCGTCTAGCCATTTGGAGGACTCTGGACAGTGATACAATGACCGTGTAAGTGTCAGAGGGTGGGCTGAGGGCGGCCAGGGAAGGACAAAGGCAGGGCAGGAAGATGGAAAAGTTCAAGACAGCGATGCTGTTGGGGGGCGTGGGTGATGCTCTCGGCTGTGGGAAAGTCAGCTGGGAGAGCAGCACCCCAGGCTCCCTCCACCAGCAGCTACAGAAGGCCGGAGGCCTGGACCACCTCGTGCTCTCGCCTGCAAAGTGGCCAGTGAGTGGTAACACCATCATGCACATGGCAACGGCGGAGGCCCTCATCACAGGTACGGGCGCAGGCACGCTTGGCTCAGGGTGGGCTGGGACCATGGGGACGCGGTGCAGCTGCCTGCTCACATTCTCAGCCTGAAGGTGGTGCATCCACGAGTCACAGTGCTACCTGATACCACTGCTAAAAGTGGCGATTTAATGTGCACTAGTGTCCCTTTGCAAGTCAGGCAGCAGGTCGTGTTCCCTGCGGTGCATTTGGGGGACAGCTTTACTTGCTTTGCAGAGAACTGGATTCTACTTCTACACAGTGGCTTTCACGTGTTGGGTGTCAAAAACTAGTTTGAAATTTGGACCAAATGAGATAATGTTGTTTGGGAATTAAGGTTGAAATATCTGCCAAACAGTTCAATTGGACATTGCTTACACCTAAGTGTGTTCTAAGAAAATGCAGAACCAATAGATGTTGGAGGAACAAAGTTTCTTCATCTATTTTTTTGAGGAGCAGATTGATTTTAGGACAACAGTTTTTTGGTTTTTGACGTGAATTTCAGAGAAACAGATGGTGCACATAGTGCAGCTTTTTTTTTTTTCCCTATACATGCTGTGGTCTCTGAAATCCTGTGGCTGTTATTCTGTCTTTGCAAAGCCAAGGTCCAAAGGCAGCTATCAAGCCAACAGGTTTCACTCACTCCGCCATTCCATCTGTCTGTGCGAACACGCTCAGTTTAGTTCTGTGGTCATTGTACAGGAATGCCATCAATGCCATGTCCCTAAATAACAAGCGAGCTGAAGCATGTCGATAAGATAAGGTGTCACAGCTTTGGAAGTGGTGAAGCATCTTTCTGAGTCTACACAATCATCAAATCCAAATATTTCCTGCTTCTGCTGTCATTGTATAGGAATGCATTGACTGTTCCCTAAATAACTATCAAGAGCTGAACACGCAGATAAGATATAGTGTCCCAGCTGTGGGAGGTGGTGAAGCGCCTTTCTGAGTCTACACAATCATCAAATCCACATAGTTCCTGCTTCTGATATTTTCAGGCAGATTTATGTGCCTTTACCTTGACAACCAACAATACTAAAATAGTACTTCAGCAGCCTAGCGCTGTAATGTGCTCACCCCCAGCAAACAACCTGCCAGATAGCTGGCTTTTGAGACAAAACCAGTTTGTTACAGCCGTACACAATTGGTACTTAACTTTTGAAAGCTGCTTCCTTCATCTGATGCTGTGTGCACACCGTGCGTGCTCATCTCTACGGCACTCCTGCAGGCCGTGTCTGGCTCTGGGGCTACCCTGGAGAGTGCCTGGCACAGGTGGCCCTGGATGATGACACAGAGTATCTGAGATTAGATAACAGGGCACAGTCCTCCCTGAATCGAAGTCTGCACACATATTAGGTCAAGGACCTTTTGTCACCTTGTCTTTAAGGAGGAAGTGAATTTGCTGCAGGTGAAGCCAGTCACCATGTGTGTCCAGAGCCCTGTCATGCCTCTTTATTTGTGGATCACAAGAAATTTTGTATAATTTCCAAACAGCCCAATTACCTTTCTTTAACAGTTGTAGCCCATTGCAGGGCCCCTTGGGACTGTGTACTAATGGAGTCTACCAAGCACTTCCTGCCTGCCTCACATATGTTATCCCAGGGGTTCTCACTCCCCTGAACGGTGACTTCAGAGCTGTCAATGTGCAGGTGAGGGACAGACGCACAGAAAGGCTGATTGACTTGTCCAGTGCCATACAACCACATGGGTGCCAGTGTGGACAGGAACTCAATGCAGGGTTCTTACGTGCTCTCCCGAGTTCCTAAGGTCATGTGGCCATGATTGCAGTGTGCAGTGGCTCTTCAGCCTGCTCTCTAATACAGGCAGAATTTACAAGGTGGAACCACTCCACACATCTAAGCAAGCATCACTCGTGAGTCGGTAAAGCTATAGCTCTGCAGCAACAGTGGGCACAGTGCAGTCAGGGGCAGCCATGTGGCATCCACGTGGTCACGTCCAAAATCCTTCAAGACCCATCAGAAGTGTGTGCGTGAGCCGAGAGCCGCCGGCACACCTTGGCCATGCTGCTCCATCAGCATCCAGTAAGCGCGTGCTAAGTGCCTGGCCTTGGGAGCCATTCACCCCGGGACCACTGGCTATGGGGCCCAGCTGTGCAGCTCCACATTCAGCTTGCCATGGTTGAGCTGGATGCTGGTGAGGTGCTCACTTCCCGAGGCTTAATGCCTCTGGTGCTTGCGAGGGCTGAACAGACACGTGTGAAGCGAGCACAGGGAGGCTCAGGTCTCTAAAGGGTCTTACCCTTCTGAGGGTCAGCACCTCCACCTTTTGGGGCCAAGCTGAGTAGCTTGTGGGAGGAGAGGTTGGCGGGGGGCCTGACTTGCCTCCTCTCGCAGGGGCTCCCTGAGCAGAGTTAGACTGAACAGAAATATTTGAAATCAGCTGGTGTGTTATTGCAAGGAATCCTGACTCTGGTACTTTGCCTTTTTTTAGGAGTGAGTGGTGTACTGGGAGTTGAACTCAGGGCCTCATACTTGCTAGGCAGGCACTCTACCACTTGAATCCACACCCCCAGCCTTTTTTTGCTTTAGTTTTATTTCAGATAGGATCTCACATTTTTTCCCCAGAACTGGCCTTGGACCTCGATTCTCCTACCTACAGCTTCCTATGTAATTGGGATCACAGGTGTGTGCCACCACACCTGGCTTATGGATTGAGATGGGGGTCTAACTTTTGTGCCAGCTGGCCTCAAAATGTGATCCTCAAAATCTCTGCCTTCCAAGTAGCTAGGATGATAGGTATGAGCCACTGCTCTTGGATGCCTTCTCTTTATCTTGACATTAGTTGGGAGCCATAAAGACAGTTTACTAAACTGACTTATCTTTCAGGAGGCTAAAAGGGAAGGTAGGGAAAATGAATCTAGTAGCTGCATCAAAACAAAGCAGCCCTAAGGATCAGCAACTTTGAAAACCTGTTTCTAGTTCACATTCTAACTTGAAAAGATTCGGCTCAAATGGTAAAATAAAATTAAAAAGAAAAAAGAAAAGAGTAGGTGCTTTGTTGCCATTCTGTTTCTATGAAGTTGTTTGCTTTAAAAAGCTCAACTGCAGTTAAATACAGAGATGTCATGGTGTATGATCCAAGAATAAAAGTAATTTTAGAGGACCTGAGAAGGGCCAGGCTGATTGGCCAGGCTGGATGGAAGAAGGCCTGTAGCAGACACCACTGGTGAGAAAGCACCAGAACTTGGGCTCCAGACAGCCCAGACAGGCCCATAGCCTGTGCAGGGTCTGTGCACTGGGAAGCTCATCTCCTTCCTGCAGCCCTCCTAGGACACACAGTACTCACTCCTCCCAAACAAGGTCCTGCCCATCCTCTCTCCTGTCCAACTTAGAGCTGGGCACACAGTCATTCAGAGATGGTTGTGTGGACTGTGCCCCAGGATTGCCCCCCGCCCCAGAGGGTTCTACAAATTGGGTTGAGGAACGGCTCTTTCTCCAGGTTTTGCACCCTGTAGGGTAGACTGTCAGGTGCCTCTCCTGACCCTCTTGGAGCCATACATGCTGGAACACTAGCTCCAGTGACTCAGCCTGAGCCAGGCTCTAACTGAGCCCTAAGGTCTCTGGGTTCTTCCCTGAAGCAAGTGGTCACCACCTGCCCTCACTACCTTCCACCCTCCTCTAGCCAGTCCTGCCCCCACACCTCAAAGGTGGGCCACCCTTCGCCACGAAAAAGGGGACAGCAGTATCTCCTGATGGCGGCTTCTCCCCTGAGAGCAGTTTTAGCACAGAATAAGAACACATTGCTGGCTGTGAAACAGCTTGCCTCACCAGGTTCAGGCCTCCCATGACCATGGCTTATTCTCTTGAGTGGCCAGGCACCTTGGACTCTAGTGTCAGCATGTGTGGCCTGTGTTGTCCAAACTGTGAATTAATTTAATAACCAAAGAGGCTCTGGCTTTGCAATCAGAGTCCATTGACTGGCTCTGGCCGTGGGCAAGACATCACCTCACTAAGCTTTATCTATAACAAAATGGTAAGTTAGGACCTGATGTTTTGGGCAGGATTGTCCTTGGCCACCTGACACACATGTGATCCAGGCACAATGCTAGCCCAGGATGGGTGTCCTCTGTACCCCGTGACCTTTAGGGGTCTTGACCCTATACTTGTTCCCAAAATGTGCATCAGGAGGTCAGGGGCACAGTTTGACAGTAGTAGGCACGCAGTGCACAGGTTTCCTGCAGGAGCCGGAGTGGGGCCAGAACTTCCAAGGAAGATAATCTCCATTGCTGAGCAGGTAGATTTTGGCTCCATTTTATTCTCACACGGACAGAACTGTCAGTGGAAAATGAGAGCTGTGGGTTTTGCCTAGATTCTCAGGTGAGATCACAACAGGCATGACAACCACCTGTAGGTCTGGGGTCTGAATAAGACCTAAAGCAAACTGCACATTAAATGCATCAGGCAGCAGTGGTGCGATGGGTCACCTTCTTCTGCTTCCCTGAGTGCACAAGTGTCCCTGCTAACTAGAGCCTGTCGTCGCACTTCCCCAACTCATATAGTCTGTGCTGACCTCTGCTTTCTGCCCTTCTTCCCCAGACTACTGGTGCCTGGATGATCTGTACCGTGAAATGGTGAGGTGCTACGTGGAGACCATAGAGAAGCTTCTGGAACATCGGCCAGATCCAGCCACTATCGAGGGGTGCTCGCAGCTGAAGCCGGATAACTACCTCCTGGCCTGGCACACGCCCTTCAGTGAAAAGGGTCAGGGAGCCCTGCCTGTCTAAGAGCTGCCGCTAGGGACCCTGCAGGCGCTGGCCACCTGTCCCGCCACTCATCACAGCATTCCCAGCGTGCCTGGATGAGTGTCCCTTGTCAGCCAGCCCTGCCCACTTGAGCGTCTGCTTAAAGGTCCACGTGGCACTGGGCTCCCCCAGTGTGGTTTTGTCGTCCATTCCTCTTACTTTGAGGACTATATTCGGCTGCATTGCCTTAAAGCTGCATTTCTCTCAGGAGAGGTTGCTCCATCTGGGTGCAGGTTCCATATGCTTCTCTTTCGTGGTGAGGCAGCCCCAGCCTCTGCCTCTGAGGAGCCTCCCTCCCCTCCTGGCCCTGTGTCCCTTGTCTAAGGGTGACACCATCCTTCCTTCTACCCTGAAGGGAAAGTGGGGCCGACAGACTGTGCTGCTGGTGCCATCACTGTCGGACCACTCACTGCTCTATGATTCCTTCCCTGAAGCCCTGTCAGGCTGTGAACCTGGACTCAGCCTTCACAGAAACAAGGGGTGGCTCAGCCTGGAGACCTGAGATGAAGGACACTCTCTGAAAAAGTGGCAGACATAAGTAGGACCAAGGAGTTCAAAAGAAAACAAACTGGGTGCACTGACAGTGGTAGTGTGGGCAGCTGTAGACTGCTCCTCTTAGAAGGGGCAGTGTGGGCAGGTGTGGACTGCTGTCCTTAGGGAGGGGCAGTTGGGCAGCTGTAGACTGCTCTCTTAGAAGGGGCAGTGTGGGCAGGTGTAGACTGCTCTCTTAGAAGGGGCAGTGTGGGCAGGTGTAGACTGCTCTCTTAGAAGGGGCAGTGTGGGCAGGTGTAGACTGCTCTCTTAGAAGGGGCAGTGTGGGCAGGTGTAGACTGCTCTCTTAGAAGGGGCAGTGTGGGCAGGTGTAGACTGCTGTCCTTAGGGAGGGGCAGTTGGGCAGCTGTAGACTGCTCTCTTAGAAGGGGCAGTGTGGGCAGGTGTAGACTGCTCTCTTAGAAGGGGCAGTGTGGGCAGGTGTGGACTGCTGTCCTTAGGGAGGGGCAGTTGGGCAGCTGTAGACTGCTCCTCTTAGAAGGGGCAGTGTGGGCAGGTGTAGACTGCTGTCCTTAGGGAGGGCCAGTGTGGGCAGGTGTAGACTGCTCTCTTAGAAGGGGCAGTGTGGGCAGGTGTAGACTGCTCTCTTAGAAGGGGCAGTGTGGGCAGGTGTGGACTGCTCTCTTAGAAGGGGCAGTGTGGGCAGGTGTGGACTGCTGTCCTTAGGGAGGGGCAGTTGGGCAGCTGTAGACTGCTCTCTTAGAAGGGGCAGTGTGGGCAGGTGTGGACTGCTGTCCTTAGGGAGGGGCAGTTGGGCAGGTGCAGACTGGCTACGAACCATGAAGGCCTCAGGGCTAGCTCCTCTGTGGCACAAGAAGGCATACAGAGCAAGCATCCTATTGTTCAGGGCAAAGCTGACACAGCCTCTTGAGAGGGAAATATGTCATTATATGTCAAAATTATTAAATGGACATGCCCTTTGATCTGGAAACTCTGCTTCCAGAAGTTTCAAGGACCCATAATGATGATATTCTAACGCAAGTAAGCAGGATGTTTATAGAAGATGCTCTTTGCATTGTCCTTTGTACGTCAACAGCTGAGTGTCCCTCAGCTGCACAGTGGGAAAGTTGGCTTGGAACAGCCTTACGGTAGAATACTACGCAGCTGTTTAAAAGAACAAAATGGATTATGTGCTGAGACATAGAAAGCTCTTTATGGTTGAAGAATGCAAGATGCCAACCAGTGCATGAGGCTCCATCTCAGCCGTGTTTTCTGAAAGATGTGGATGGGGAGAGCTCACAGCTTGTGTGTGTGCAGGAAGCTTCTGGAAGGACGATGGTGAACCGTTACAAGCCTTAGGGGAGCGCATTAGCTTTTTGTTGCCATGACAGAATACATGAGAAAACCAAACTAAAGGAGAAATGTTTTGTTTTGGCTTACAGGCTCAGAGGTTTCAGTCCACAGTCACTGGCTCCATCATTCCTAAGCTTCTGCTCAGGCAAAGCAATCAGGGCAAGGGGTATGTTGTAGAGCAGAGCCACTCAGCTCATGGTTAGGAAGGAGAGAGAGAGAGAGAGAGAGAGAGAGAGTGCTCCCGATAGACCTGTAAGCTCTGACTCCATCAATGAGTCATTAATGAGGTCAGAGTCTTCACTTCTGCATTGGGGACCAAGTCTTCAACACAGGAGCTTTCGGGGGACATTTCAGATCTAAACCACAGCAGGAAGTTCTTGAATTTTTATATTAGTTTCATTTCAAACACTTTTATTCCTTTTCTTGACCCTGTAACTGTATAACTCTTACAATAGAAACCCAATTTAAACACACTTTTCTAATAGCACAGCTTAGAATCAGATAACATGGTTTCTATTCTAACTTCTGATAGTGCTTTGTGATAATGAACAATGATCACTGACCGCTCATTTTTCTTTTTTACTAGAGTGGTAATGCTCCCTCTGTCCACCCTACAGGGAAGGATCAATAGAAGCAGAGTGTCCTGCACCCCCAGAAAGCTCCTTTGCTGCACCACTGCCCCTGTTACTTCTATTGCTACTAACTTGCTCTTTGCATTCTGCTGCCTCAGGAGCAGGAACTCTCTAGCTGGCTGACTTACTTTGATGTGGTCTACTCGGTATGAGCATTGTAAGACTTGTTAAGTTTACATTCACTCCAATTACCGTCTCGCACGCTCGCACAATGTTTAAGACAATCCCTGACCAACAGTTTCTCAGACGGTTCCAGTTTCCTACTGCAGTTATATCTAAATCCTTATCTGAATGTTATTCACTTCGTAATTTTTAAAATGTTGGAAGCTTTCATTATGGGACATTCAATCACATGCAGAGAACACAATTGCTGGCCCCGTTTAGTTACATGTCAGCCCTTAGACATCAAGCCAGCAGCTTGTGCCAAGTCCTCTGCTAGGGGCAGCGGAGGGCACAGAGGCAAATCTGCAGTCTCTCCCTGTCCTTGTGGTACCCACTATCCCCCACTGGGCCTTCTCCTAGCCCTCGTTTCATTGTGCTCCCGCTTGCTGCTCTGCCCCCCACTAAGATCAACTTAGAACACAGCTGAATATCACACCACTTCACCCATAACTCTTTCCTACATAATGCTAGATGAGAAGTCCTTTAAAGCATAAGCACAGCGTCATCATATCTAAAGCAATTTTTGACATCATCAAATACTCAGTTAAATTTTCCTTTTTGACTTTAATTTTTTTTTTTTTTGCATATTCTTTCCCTCCTTTCTAAATGGATGTTTTCGTTTTTCTGTGTTCTGGTTTTTGTCCATATAAAAATATTTTCCCAGGGCTGAAGATGTAGCTCAATGGTACAGTCCTTGCCGAGCATGTGTCCTGTTAATCTCAGGCACAACAGAGAACAAAATGTCAAACACAGAGAGCAAAAGGGGTCGCTGGTGCAGGACACTAGATTTATCGGTCATGAAACATGCCGGCCTATCATCCCACAAGACTGTTCCCAAAGCCATAGCCATTATATTTCCTGAACTGGGTGTTCTGATTTTTAACAAAGTGTCAAAACTGCCTTTAACGTCATTACTAGCCTTCCTGGGTCTTTGTAGTGGCTTCCTCGTGTGTGTTCCTGGCCACTTAGCTCAATCGGCCCTTTCATATTTCCAGCTGAAAACCTGTTATTCAGGCCCAGAAACTCTTGTCGTAATCCATAGGAAGAAGAAATCAGGGAGTCAGAGAAAGCCCCCGCCCTCTGTGCAGAGCCTCAGAGCAGAAAGGGGCTGGCGGAGTAACCATGGTGGCTGCCCAGTGCTATGGTGTGGATGTGATCTGCCCCTACCAAGACCCATGTTGAGCCTGGCACCTGAGGTAACAGTGTGGCCAGATGGTGATCCATGGCCCAGGCTCAATTCTCACAGCCAACATTGCTTCTAGAGACCTGAGGTTCCATATTAAGTACATCTCAAACTGAGAATGAATTATTTCTAAGTCAACATCTTCATTCTAGAACATTCAGAAAATACAGACAGATCACCCCAGCACCCTACCTCTGACGTTAGCCCATGAGCTTCTTGGCCCATGTCCCTCTCAGCTGCTGTGCATGTACAGTGTTGTCTTGTGCCTGTGTGAAGTGGTAGGATGACATCTGAAGGCAGACTATAAAAAGCTGAAGATGTATGCAATGAACCCTACAACAAGGCAGAAAATAGGGAAATGGAACAAATCACAGATGAAGCAAAGAAAGTAATATACTTAAGTCCTGCGGTTTTAGTGGTAACATCATTTGGAAAGGGTCTGAAGACCCCAAGTAGCTCTCAGACTGGGTAAGGAATCAAGTCCTGACTCACAGGAAGTGTACATTAAATACAAAGACACCAAGTTTAACAATAAAAAGATGAAGGAGACATACCACACCAATGCTGAGCCAAAGAAAGCTAGAGGGCCGTGTCAATAACACCCCAGCAGACTTTGAAGCAGACTATCCCAGGAGTGGAGAGAGCAGTTTCCGTCACGATGAGCTTGCATCCAGTTCATCAGCGGGACAGGACAAGACAAACCTACACCCCTAAGAACCTAACAACAGCCCTTCCAAATGTGTGAAGCAAAAACCGACATGCAGAAGAAGGAACAGATAAATCCACAATTGTGAGCAAAGACTTCAATATTTGTGTCTTAAAGCAATTACTTCAATTTTAACTTTAAGGAACTAGAAAGCAGGGTGTTGGGGGTACAGCTCAAATGGTAGAGCTCCTGCCTAACAAGTGCGAGGCCCTGAGTTCAAACCTCGATAACACGGAAAAAAAAAAAAAACCCTAGAAAATAACAAATTAAACCTTAAAAGAAGAAGAAGAAAGGAAACATGAAGGTCACAAAGGTCACAGCAATGGTCAATGACAGAAAATCAGCTAAATCAAAACTCTTTTCTTTTGGGTTTTGCTCACTGTGTTGCCCAGCGAACCCCTGGAGCCCCTGGGTCCATGCAGTCCTTCCTTCTTTGCCCCCTGAATTGCTGGGACTACAGGTGCATCCAGATAAAAGCTGGTTCTTTAACAAGGCCAGAACATAATTCTCTAGCTAGATAGGCCAGGAAAAAAAAAGAGGAAAACATCAGTTACCACTATCAACAATGGGAGAAGTGAGGCCACTACAGAGTTTACAGAAATTAAAAAGAGAAGAAGAGTTCAAGGCCAGCCTAGGTAAAATAGCAAGACCCCATCTAAGGAAGGAAGGGAGGAAGGGAAGGAAAGAGCAAGGAAGGAAGGAAGGAAGGAAGGAAGGATAAAAGAAAAAGTGAATATTATTAGCAAGTTTGTAGCAACAAATTTAATAGATGAAATGGACAAATTCCTTAAATGACACAGTACCAATTCTTGCTTGAGAGTAAACCATCAGCCTGAATGGTCCTGTATCTTACAAGAAACTACAAAGAAAACTCCAGGTTCCAAGTCTGCACTGGAGAATCCCACCAAACATTTGAGGAAAAAATGTCTCCAGAAGATCCAAGAGGAAGACTGCCCTCACTTCATCACTCTCTCAGACACTCGCAGGAACAGAAGGCCGCCCAACAGGGGAAGAGTGTGAGCAGGCACCTGGTGGAGGACATGAGACCAGAGTGATGATAAAATACCACAACCCATGACAAAACAGGCAGAACTTTCAGACATTTCACAAAGGGGACATATGGGTGTCAAACACCACAGAATCTGCTCAGCAGCATTTGTGATTTAAAAAATACAAATACATTCACCTGACAGAATGGTGGAAACTAAATGACTGGCCGTGGCACGTGCTGTCAGGAGGAGGAGGTGCTGCTGGTGCAGGTTAAATGGCACAGCTGCTTTGTAAACCAATGTGGCAGCTCCTTAAAAAGTTAAACATTTGAGGCTGGGGTGCTGCTCAGTGGCCTGCTGGAGGCCCTGGGTCCACCCCACCTCCACAAGCACGCACACACACACACACACACACACACACACACGCACACATGCACACACAAAGTTAAACATTCAGTACCATATGATCTAGATGCACCCTACGAGCTATCACCCAAGAGAAAAGAAAGCACACAAAGGTCCACACAAAGGTCTGATCACTCGTGTTCGTAGCACCTCCATTTATAATAACCCCAAAGTGGAAGCAGGCCCATGAACAGGTAAAAGGGTAAAGCTGTTGTGATGTATCCAAAAGGGATAAAAGAGACATGGGTGCATCTCAAGATAGCTGGCCGAGTGGCAGAAGCCAGGCAACATGAGAGCAGCTCTGTATGACCCCCTTGTGCAAGACTAGAAAATGCATTTGCATTTGCCCTGCCCCCCGTGGACACTCATGGCAGGAGCTTTGAAGCTGTGCCACTTTCCTGCATCTCAGTTATGACTCAACAACACTGCTTTTAAAAAGGAAAGGCAAATCTGATCGAAAGCACACCATAAATACGACTGTCTTTACATTTTTTCCTGAGTGAGAGGGTATTATGAACTTGTCCCCAAGCCATCGAAAAGTCAGCTTCTAGTGACTAAATAACTTCCCAAAACCCTTGCAGCCTGACTTATTGAATCTCTTTTCCCTTGTCAGGCATTTGGGCAGCTTGTCTATTGTCACTCATTTAAGCGACATTCTGATGAACGTGTTATCACATAAGTTTTGGTACTTTAAAAATTATTAATGAATGCCAAATTGCTGGAGGTGGGCTTATTGGAGCGGAAGTCTGAATTCACCTGTTCATTTTCTACCCAGGCTCTGGATTTGGAGCTTCGACAAAAGCCATGTGCATCGGCATGAGGTACTGGAAGCCAGAGCGGCTGGAGACCCTTATTGAAGTCAGCATTGAGTGTGGCCGCATGACCCACAACCACCCCACAGGTAACCAGGCCCCAGACAGGTGCGGGCCCTACATGAATGACGTCGTCATGACGTTCTGAACAGAACAAGGCTTGCTGGATGCTCCTGCGTGAGCCCAGCCCCCAAGCACTGGAGTAGACATCAGCGGTGTCCCGTCAGCTCTGTTGTGAGGAGTGAGGTCGTGTCTTAATCCTCACCTTCACTTAAGGTCTGTTTTTCACCTGAAAGCAGAATTGACATTAAGCATGGTGACCTTGAAGACATTGTGTGAGGGAAAGCTCATTGGTTCTGATGTCGTTCATGTCACAACAAAAGAACAGAAAGGCACAGGCCACGTGGTGAAGCCGGTCTGGGGCTGCCTGGGGGTGAGGCTGATACGGCACTGTCAGATGGTGACAGGTCATCCAGCTGTAGCAGGTTCTCCTGGGGCTGTGGAGAGCAGGTGCCAGGTCTGGCCACATGGGCTGGGGTGAGGGTGGACCCCAGCCATGCTTGAGTTTCCTTGTGGACCACAGGACAATGGTGACAGTGGCAATCACACCCAGTTACTGGGTTGTATGAGGATGGCCTGAGTTGGGTGATAAGTAGCGCCTTTAACACTGGCTTCTGCGTGGACTGACAATGTAGCCACAGGTTCTAGGATTTCTCCAACCCACAGCCAGCATCAAGGGAAGCCTCCTCACAGAGCACAGGCTGGGCTGGGCCCCAGCACCTGGCCCTGGAATGCGACTCAGGAAGGCCATGAGGAGGTGACTCCATCAGCTCATTTTAAAACAGGGAATAGCAATTCAAAACCCTTCCACCCGCATCAGCCCATACCTTGGGCTAGGCTATTGCTGGCTGCACACACAGCCTCTGGGGACTGTCTTCTTTCACAAACACCTTTCCTTGTCTGTCCTGACGTGGGAAGCAAAAGAGACACTTGTCCCCTCCTAGAAAGCACCAGAGAGTAGGTGAGAACAGCAGTGAGCAGCAGTGCTCACTGAGAGGCCATCCTTCGGGGAATTCCCCACACAAACCCAGCTGTCCTTAGCATTTTGTCTTTAGCTTTCTGAGGAAGACCTGGGACACAGACAGTGGGCAAAGTCATAGAGAGATGGAGAGTAGTCAGTGCTGCACTTGCCCTGCTACCTAAGTGCTTCAACCAGAAGTAAATTAAAACTTCAAACCCAGAAATGCTGAACATTTGTGAACAACGTAAGGTTTATAACTACGATAAGAATCTGGGTTGAGAGCTTGTATTTCTAAAACACTTCCAAATGCATGTCCTGTTCTTATTTGAAAAATGTCCCCTTCACATGTTTAATGGTCAAAGAACCTATGCATTTCTAGGCGAGGACCAACATGGCTGAACAGTGCCCCTAATTCTCCTCCCTTTTACATTTTCAAACCACCTTTAACAGCAGGTGCCACAGTTTTTATTTATGTGTTTATTTACATTTTTCTCTTTGCCACGCGGGAGATGAAACCCACATTCTTGCACTTGCTAGACAAGCCCTCTGCCATGGCCTCGCCCACAGCCTGTGTGTCATGATTTTTTAACAGTGCACGTTCCTCCAGGAGCATCGGGCCAAGAGGCCCATCGGGGAAGCAGTGAGTGCAGGTGATCAGGACAAGCGGAGCCCCGGTTTCACAGCTGGTGCTTGCTTCTGCTAGTGTTTGTTCCCTGGCCTGAAACACCTCATCGTCAAGCCCCTAGGAGGGTCCCAAAGCCACTGGTGGGCATCTGTTCTGTGGGTAGCTGCGCTCTGAGGAGCAGCCTGGCCTGTGCTGGATGCTCCCCTGCTTAGACTCATTGTGTCACTACAGCAGCCCTGTGAGGGTGGGCGTCCCACCCTTTGTACAGAGGGGAGGCAGGGCTCAGAACACACAAAGCTGGACATGGTCTGAGAAAGCTGATGGCCCAGGTGACAGCTGTCTGTCTTTCTTGCTGCCTCCTAGGCTTCCTGGGGTCCCTGTGCACCGCCCTGTTTGCCTCTTATGCAGTGCAAGGAAAGCCGCTCGTGCAGTGGGGGAGAGACATGCTGAAGGTGGTCCCGCTGGCTGAGGATACTGCAGGAAGACCATCCGGCACATGGCAGGTGAGCCTGGCTTCCCTCTCCAGCCTGCTCTAGATGCGCTGCACCTAGAAAGAGGCTGATCTCAGCTCACACCCAATACACATCGCTTAGACTCAAGCTCAGTTCCTCCACCTGTCCGCAGCAGCTACAGGTGCGTTCGCCCAGAGGCACAACCTGGACAATTGCCTCTGTCAGTATGTACATCAGGTGAGGCAGGAGATCTTCACCTGGCAGAGGGCAGTCACTGCTCAGAGTGGTGCCAGAGCTATGTCAGCAGCTTCTTCCCCAGAACCCCAGGGTCTCTGCAGAGGCTGCCACCCCCTCACCCCCCCCTGCCTCTGACCACAGCTTTTGGGCTCCTACTTAAATTTCCACACTGACCAGGCATCTAGTGCAATAGAGAAGGAATTCATTTCTGTAGAGGAGCAAGGGGGCAACGCTGCATTCCACACTGCCCAGTGTGGTCTGTGCTGACCCCCACACCATGATCCCAGAGACCCGCACCCACTGAGGTCATTTGCTCCCAGGGTTTTCATCTGCCCCCATTAACCTAAAACCTCTTACCATTTTGTATATAAGTAACATGTTAATTAGCCTGTCAATCAGAGGTCCCTGGGGGTCCTGCCACTCTGATGGTTTGGATGAGCAGGGGTCAAAGTGTGCCCCAGCTGGCCTTGACTCAAGAGTGCCATGAGGTTGGCCAGATGCAGGAGCCAAGAGGCAAGCCAGGAAACTGCATGTGCTCCCAGGTGACCAAGTCCTCTGGAGGATCACCTCTCCCGTGGGGGCCACCCTCAGGTCTAAGAAGGGTGTGTGCTGCAGGACAAGTGTCCAGCACTGCAGAGTGTCCCAGCTCTCAGGCCTCAGTCAGTCCAATCAATACACTTCTGCATCCTGTGCCAATCTTTCTTTTTTTTTACATATACATAAATTTATTTATTTTTATTTTTTATTTGTTTATTCATATGTGCATACATTGTTTGGGCAACTTCTCCCCCCCAACCTCCGCCCCCTCCTTTCCCCCCCCACCCCCTTGTGCCACTCTTTCTAAAATAAGTCATCAGGATGTCCTGGGGAGGAAGGGGAAGGAGATGAGAGCAGGGCCAGCGCTGCTGCTCCTCCAAAACAGTGTGAGGCTGTCATATTGAGACAGAGCCAAGAGCTACTTCAGGGTCACCTCTACAATGCCTGAAGGGTTCCAGAGCAACTTGACAAGGACACACATGCCAACACCCACTTGGTCACAGCACTAGACACTGTGCCTAAAGAGATGGAGGCCGGGTGTCCCAGCCACCTCACCTCCTTGAGTAGCCATCCATCCTCATGTGGCTTGACCATCCAAGTGAGCCTCCCAATTGCAGGACAGAGTTGGCACCTCACTTAGTTTATTTTTGTTCCTCTGAGCTGACAGCGGCTGTCTTCAAAGTGTTCTCCAGCTGGGCGTGGTGTCACACGCCTGTGATTCCCAACTACTAAGAAGGCAGAGGTAGGCGTATCATGGCTCGAGGCCAGCCCAGACAAAGTTACCATGACCTTATCTGAAAAACAAACTAAAAAGCAAAAGACCTGGGGGTGTGGCTTATAGGTTCAGAATCTTCCAGAGCATGCACTTAAAATACTGCAATCCCTGCGTGGTTTTAGAATGTGGTTAAGCAATTCTAGAACTGCTGTCTCGTCCGAGCTCCATCTTCCTTACATGTCAGCATTCCCCTATTTCTGGCACAGCTGTCTGGGTGCAGGTTCTCTGTCCTGTTTCCACCCTACTGGGTGCCATCAGCCCACTTACCCTGTGCTTGCATTTAGAGTACCAGGAGCACTGGTTTTACTTTGAAGCTAAATGGCAGTTTTATTTGGAGGAGAGAAAAATCAGCAAAGACACGGAAAATAAAGCCACCTTTCCTGACAACTATGATGCAGAGGAGAGAGACAAGGTAAGTCTGGCTCTGGCCAGGGCATGTGCCTGCACACTGTGACACCCAGCCAGTGTGCAGAGAATGGATGGCTTGGAGGGACGGGCGGCCCAAGGGAACTGGGCAGGATCTTGGGCTGACGCACACTGACCTGTGGCTCTCTTCAGACCTACAAGAAGTGGAGCTCAGAAGGCCGAGGGGGACGGCGAGGCCACGACGCCCCCATGATAGCCTATGATGCCCTCCTTGCAGCTGGGAGCAGCTGGGCTGAGCTGTGCCACCGGGCCATGTTCCATGGAGGTGAGTTTCCTTCTCTGCAGTGTCAGGCTTCCAGGCAGCAGCACCCCTCACCTTCTCAAGCACTTCTCAGGGATTCTGGAGCCATAGACAAGGGGCGGGAGACCCCAGAACATAGGTCCTTCTCCATCTCTGGAGGGCTCTGATTACAGCACGTGCATGGACATCACACAGGCTGCAAGTTTAGTTTCAGGTGCAGAGCTGGAGGTTTTGTGCTTGGCCAGTCGGGAGGACAGTAGCATTCAGAGTGACTGGATTGCAGGGGGTCCTCTCCCTTGCTGCAGCCTGTTCAGAGCCAGCAGTTCTCCTTGAGCTGACGGTGTGTTCCACCTTTGCAGTCAAAGGTCCCAGGCCAAGGCCCATTTGGTTCTTTTCCTGAGGCCCATTTTCTCTTGGTAGCACACATCCCATGGGATTGCTGGATGCAAAACCAAGTGGTGAGAGCAGATGCCAGCCTCTGTGCCTGGAGCAAGATAAACCATAGGCCACTGACATTAGGGTGGTGCATGGTTCCCCTACTTAGAGGCAATATGTCCACAGCTGGAGGTGCTGACTCTGCTCAGGGCCCAGCTGTGGACTTCTGGAGGGGTCTGGCCAGCAAGAAGAGGGCAGAGGGGAGTGGACAGGGTAACATGGCAGAGCCCATCAAGGGCCTGGACTAGAGCATCCTGGGTAGATGGAAGGAAGCAATGCAGGCAACTGTGTCCCTTCCTCACTGCAAGCTGTAGGCACAGAGTGAATGAAGAGTATTGTGGGTCCAGACAGCTCGAGGACGCTGTGAGATGGGAGAAGAGAGCAGCTAGAGAGCAGCTACGAGGAGTCAGGTGTAGCCAAAGGAGTCAGAGTGAACAGGGGCAGTTGGCAGAGCCTACAGGAGAAGTCATCGCTGTGCAAATGCATTTCTGTGGGTGTGTGGCCAGAGCTGTTTGCGGCCAGTTCACTGCTGTCACAGTGAAGTTAAAGTGGGAAGGCCTTACCTCCCCCAGTGAGCAGCTGGTGTCTGAGCCATCCTGGGAACAGGCTTTGATGGAATGAGAGAAAGAAACTCGCAGCCTGTGGCAGCTCCTCATCCTCCTTGAAGTCCTTGGATGTCTGTGTTCAGGCCTCTCCCAGGACCAGCACCCATATCAGAAACAATGACTAACAGACTTATTCCTGACCACAATGTCAGAATTCATCCGGCAAGAATAAATCCACAATCAACATCAATTCTGTTGGCATTAATTTGCCAAGTACTACTGCTGCCACTTGAGAGCCACGAGCCATTGCCAAGCAGGTTCTTTTATTGCAACTTCAATTACTAATATTAACCCTTAGATCCCACATTCACTTCACACAGGACCAACATGGAGGTTACAGAATGCTAAGAAAGGATTAAAGAAGCTGCAGGGCTCTGCAGGGGGCTGTGCTGGAGGCACAGGCAGAGGGTGACACAGACACAAGGAAAAGTCTCGGCAGAGGACCAGATAAGTTCTGTGAACTGCAGGCTCAGAGCTGTTGAAGGCACATTGACAAACGCAGGTCTGGTTGACAGGCATCAGAGTGCGCTTGAAGTGAGCTGTGTGTCACAGCCAGGAGAAAATGCACTTGAGCTGGAGTCTGGGGACAGAAGCAGACAGAGGTCCTTTACTTTGGCAATTTTCCTGACCAAGACTTATGAGAGGTGACCAGGTGATGGGTCAGTGTGCCTGCTACGTCTCAATCTTGGAGTGCTACTTCTTTTATGGTCCCAGGGGAGGAGGTTACATCTGGTGTGATTGATAAGCTCATGTGTCTGGGGTTTCTGATATGATTTGATATATTCACATATTTGATTGTTCATTGGCACAAATAAATGATTTATCAGTTTGTGTCTCATGGTGTGCTGGCAGATGGTGCTTGTTTACTTGTGTAAACAAGATGTGGAGTCATTCTACTTTGTCACTAATACTCAAAATGGAATAGCTTAGGTCAAAACTACTGCTTTATGAAAAAGAGTAACTCAAGGATAGGCACAGCCTTAATCTACTGTTCTCTACAACATAGAGCAACCCAAACAGGCCCTGCTTGCTCTCCTCCGGGAAACCCACGTGAGGAGCTATGTGTAGAGAACACCCTTGGGTTGAGGAGGTCATCGGGCAGGAATCAGTGTAGGGGAGAACCTGTAAAGTTGAGAGTCCTTCTTGGGAGGAATCCATTGATTCATGGGGAGGTGTGAGTCCATGTGGGGAGACATTCATGGGGTGGGGAGACCATGCAGAAGGGTGTGTGTGTGTGTGTGTAAAACCCAGGCAGTTCCAAGGATTCCAGGTTTCCAGCCATGGAGATGTGGAGTCTAGGACTCTGTGAATCCTAGAGATCTCAGCTAAATGTGTACTCCACCATCCTCATCTCACAGACTTTATAGACCATGCCATCTGCAGGAGCACAAGGCCAGCACAGTCCCCCCTCGATTCTGAGAAGTAGAACCAGGCTTGTGGTTGACTGAAACAAAGACCTAAGTAGAAAAGTAGTGTGAGGCTACTGGGTCAGAAAAGTGTCTACACGGTAAGGCTTGGCCCCACAAGTAGAAGGCTGGACCCACAGCCCTCAGGCTCCTGGCTCCCCTGTCTCTCCTCCACATTTGGAGGGACAAGGGAAATGTCTGAGGGGCAGGGTGGTTTGGTAAAGGCTTCACCTTCACTGCTGCAGCAGTGAGCCCCGAGGGTCTTAGAGATGGGCACGGTTAGTACGGAGCCCGCTGGGACGCCTGCTGTGTGTTCCATTTCAGGTGAGAGCGGAGCCACCGGGGCGATTGCCGGCTGCCTGTTCGGGTTGCTGTATGGCCTGGACACCATTCCGCAGGGCTTGTACCAGGACCTGGAGCACAAGGACAGATTGGAGGACTTGGGCGCGGCCCTCTACCGCCTGTCCACGGAGGAGAAGTAAAGCGTTTCTGCCATTTCCCCTCCCAGAGGGCATCCATAGTGTCCACCCGCGAGCGCGTAGCCTCCCATAGGTGTATGTGTGCGGTCTGCACTTGAGGGCCATAATTAAGTTTGAAGTGCTCCCCTCCCAGTTTCAGAACCCCATTTGCTATATAAAATACATTGTCTGTCCTGTGAGGATATTTTTCCTGACTCTCACTGCAACCTTGTGCATTGTTGACTTTGCCTCGGGTTTGCCACACTCGCCCCTCCAAATACAGTGGATGCACATAGTCTCTAGACCATGGTGTATTTTATTCTGTCACAAAACTAAGGCCGTCTACTCACTGACTCAAACACCACTAACCAGTGGTTATGAACCTTCATCTCTCTTTCTGCCTCCTAGACATGTGTTTCAACGGCTAGCACCCCTGCTGTCCCGTCAGCCAGGGTGGGGGCAGCTCATCTGTTGTCAGATGTGTTCACGTCTTGCGGTGGAGACATGACAGTGCGGGGTCCTTTGATATGCAGCCAAAACTCTGCATTTAACACCCCAGGCAAGGTTGTAGTCTCTCTAGAGCTTTAAAATCAGTCTCTGTTGGAACAAGTCCCTGAGAAATCCAGCTGAAGGTCTCCTGCCACCACCTACCTGTTCCCTTTGGTCCGCGTGTCACCCTTCAGTGAATCGCGTCAGCACAGAGGAGGCCTGGAGCTACAGCAGCCCTGCACGCCCAGGTTCCTCATGAGGGATGGCTGGGGACAGTTGCCCCTGTTCCGGATGATGGCTTTGGACACAGTTTTCTTCAGGTGGTGTCTGGTGTGAGTAAAATCAGCAGGTGATGAGTGATGGTTAGGGTTGGGCGTGGGTAGCGTGGCCAGGCCTGTGTTTTCACCAATGTCTCATGTCTTGGGAGAACCAGGGACCTCCACCGGGAGAGGCCAGCAGGGTCCCTCCAGAGGAAAGGCCAGGATATAGGCTCCCTCCGTGGGCTCCCTCCGGGCCTTGTCTGCTTTGTGGGGTGGTTTGGATGGGATGGGGGGTTGTTTTTCAAGAGTACTTTTCGTTGGAAAGTGTAGAGTCACGTGGCCAGAGGAATCTGTGATGGTCTACACTGAGCAGATGTGGCTATGTGCGTGTTTCTGGCTAACTGAGCTAATGCACTTTTCAGTCAGAACCAGAAAGACAGGTATGGGCTAAGGGCTTCCTGCCGCTCACTTCCCAGCCAAGAGCAGTGGGTGTGAAGAGGTTAACTGAGAATTATCTTTCAGGAAAGAAACCCAACTGAGGTAAGTTGGGCTTTTCCTAGGTGTACATAGCACATGGCGTAGTGTTTAAAGTATGTCATCCTTCTCTCCCCAACCCTCTGAGCAGAAGGGTAGCTGCTCCAGGGAGCAGAGGGCCAGGGTTAGAGGTAGGCACATGGACACCACCTCCTGGGCACTTTTGAAGAGCTAAATCTGGAAGGGTCAGAAAGTGAGTCTATTACAAGTTGATTATAAACTTGAATGCATAAACTAAAATGAAATGATTAGGCCACGAAATGAGTTGCCCCAGTTTCATTTTCCTGTTGTAGAGAAGTACGATGTTGAAAAGAAAAACCCATAGAAAGCAAAGAGATGAATACTGAACCTGCTCCCATTGTTAGAAACCTAGTACCTGCTGAGTTTGCTTTCATTGCAAAAGTAATTTAAGCACACAGCTTCGGAAACACACATGCTGTCGTTGGTGACATATGGGATGTGTGACTCTCCCAGACCCTCACCGGGGTTCGCATACGAGGCCCATAGTTCCCTTCTTTTCAGGAGCTCTCTACACGCAATCAGGCCTGTGTGGGGAGACGTACTTGCGTGTGTGTCTGCACACATGTGATTTCTTTCCACAAATAGGAATTAGAGTGCATGTAATAGCTTGCTTTGGCTTTTTCCACTAGCCTGGTTCTTTATATATATATTCATGTACACACACACACACACACACTTTTCCCATCTTTCTGTTGCCTAGTATTCCATGGTACGAGTATGCCATAGTTGACATTCTCAGAGAGTTGATACAGCTTTAAATTGTCTCTGTTTTTCTGAGACAGGTCTTGCTATGTAACACTTGAACTTGAGTCCTTCCTGCTTCAGTCTTCTGAGTGCTAGCATTACAGGTGCAACCACCACACCTGGCTAGAAGCATCTGTTCTCTCCAGTTGCCTCTAAAGTCACTTCCAAATCTCCTGTAAAAACAAACTCTTCCAATGGCACAGTGATGCTCTATTTCATTCTAGGAATGATTTTTGTTTGTTTGGGTTTTTTTGCTTATTTCTGAATTGCAATGTACCCTGTATTTTCTTGTGCATGATAGTTTAATTGATGGAGTTTTTTCAGACACACACAAAGGGATACACACAGACACACACAGGGTCACTGACAGACACACATATAGACACATAAACAGAAACACACAAGCACATAGACACACATTCACACACAAACACACACACAACACATATGCAGATATACAGAGATACAGAGTTAAGACAAATACAGACGTGGAGTCATAGACACACACAGACACTCAGAGTCACAGACACAGGTGGACACCCACACACAGACACACAGAGACACACATTATAGAGATAAGACACACAGAGACAGGCACACATTTGTCCCCCTGAACCACCTGAGAACAAACCACAAACATTGCAGCAAATCTCTTCATACAAGAACATGGTCTTCTGTTGCCACTATATGCTCAAAGTCACATTTAGGCAGCCCCGTCAGTCACCCACCTCTGCTGCTCACAGCCTAGTGACTAGACACCCCTCTGTCACTCACAGTCTCTTCACCAGATTTCCCTCTGTCACTCACAGCCTGCTGACCAGATCCCCTTCTGTCCCTCACAGACTGCTGACCACACACCCTCTGTCACTCATAGACTGTTGACTGATACCCCTCTATGCTTCACAGCCTGTTCACCAGATATCTGATAGCCACACGTGAGGTTCAGGTACAAGATCTTAGGTTGTCAAGGTCTAGTCAGCCACCTATCAATCTTTCTTCTTTTGAACTCAGGACCTTGCACTCACTAGGCAGGCCCTTTACCACTTGAGCCACACCAGCCCTTTCTGCTTTAGCTGTTTTGTCAATAGAGTCTCACTTATGCCCTGTCCAGCCTTGACTTCCTACAGCCTCCCACTCAGAGGCATATACCACCATGCCCAGCTTCTTGTTGGTTGAGATGCGGTCTACCTAGCTGTTTGCCTGGGTTGTCCTTGAGCTGCTATCCTCCCAGTCTCTGCCTCCTGACTAACTAGGATTATAGGTGTATGCCCTCATACCTGGCTATAATCTTTAGCCAGATGTGTTTCCAGGAAAACACAGATTCAGATTCTCTGACTCAATACTAAACCCTTAGCTACCTATTACAAAATAACAACAAAAATAACAGCAGGGAGCAGTTAACAGACATCTGCCCTTCAGCTTTATTGGACCATAATCGCTGTTAAGGTGAGCTTACAAGTTATGGCCCATGGTCGATATTAAAGTTGATCCCACTACTGACACCAAAACAGTGGCTTGGACTGCCTCACAGCCACTGTTGTGTCCCTGTATGGCCCCTGGACTTCGGGACTTTTTATTTTTATTTGTTTTGGCAGTACTGGTATATGAAACTCAGGGCCTCATGCTTGCTAGGCAGGAGCTCTACCACTTCAGTCACTCCACCAGCCCTTTTTGTGTGTTGGGTTTTTTCAAGATAAGGTCTCACAAACTCTTTGCCTGGGCTGGCTTCAAACTGCAATCCTCCTGATCTCTGCTTCCTGAGTACCTAGAATTACAGGCGTGAGCCACCAGTGCCTGGCTATTGGGCTTTTTAGAAAGTAGATTTTCTTATTCATGAACTTAATATTAGATTTATTTGGAATCTTAATTTAAAGGGTCTTGTTATGTAAAACCAGTCTCATTGGGGCTGGGGTATAGCTCAGGGGTAGAGCACATGACTAAGATACACAAGGCCTTGGTGGGTTCCTTCCTGGCACCAAGAAAATCCTTTGGCAGATACGTACTTGGGGCTCTCAGGCAGGTCACTGAGTCGGACTTTGAGGCAGATGGTTTTTGATCTATGGAAGGTACTTTGTTACACCACCACGATCAACGCGCCAACTGGGTGCTGAGCCTCTCAACAGCTGAACTAATCAGATGAATCTATATAGAGCAGCCATTGACCAAACGATATGGGAGACCCAGTGGGTCTCTGTCCTCAAGGCTGCCTCGTACTTCTAAATTGACTATGGAGTATCTCCCAGTGAAGTCCAGGGGAGCAGCCAGGAGGAAGGGACTGCGGGACGGCAGGCGAAGTCCCCTCCTGTGGTCTCTGGCCTGCTCTGGGGGCCTCAGGGCCAGGATGTCAGGCTGGAGCAGATGAGGCCTATTGCCCTCTTGGCTTGTGTGGAAACATGCCCAGGAAGAAGGAGCCATGGTGATAAAACATGCTGGTTGTTCAGCAGAGCTAATGGGCCTCCCCAGTGTGAGCAGCAAGAGAGAGCAGTGAGACCTATGGCCCCTGGCCCTGAAGCGACATGGTTTTAGGAAATGCAACATTGGCACAATCAGATGAAACAAGTCCACAAGCAGACCTGTCCTGAGAGAGCTGTCCCTTGATGGGCACAGGAGCCCTAGGAACAGGCAACAAGAATGTCCAGTGTTGAGCGACAGGAGGAGACAAAGGGCAGAGGAGCAGACAGATGGCAGGGGCTGGGTGGCCTTGATCCCCAAGAGGGGGGTGGGAAGAGAGCACAGCACACATGGGTGGAGAGGGCAGTCCCACGGCTCATCCTAACACAGATAGGCAGTCCACCAATTGATAGGGGCCGGGCCACAAATAACTGAGACAAGTGTGGCAAGGTCAGAGTGGATGTCGTGATACTGGCTGAGGCTGAGAAGCAGGTCTTTATGGAGACGCTGGAAATTATGCAGAGCCCACCTAAGCTTGTCTGGTACCCTACTTCTCCCAGGAAGAAACCAAGGCAGAAGGTTGCTTCTGGCCCATAGATGTTCAGAGAGGGAGTTCACAGGCCTCAGATCCAGACAGGGCTGGCCAAAGCCTTGCTGCTGACAGTCCATTTTCACCTTGGCCTAGGATGGCAGGGTGGGGCGGGGGGCAGGGGCAGCAGGGCTCGCCATCTGCTGCTGACTGTAAACACCATGGTGGCCTCCAGCAGGGCTCAGTAGGCGCGGGTGTGTCCCCTCAGTGATTACCTCAGCCTCTTTCTGTCTTAGATGACCTCTACCTCTAGCCAGTCACTGATGGCTAAATTAGGAAGGTTTATGGGGCCCATGTTGATGTTGATGTATTCTGTTCTGCCCCGGGCCAACTCTAAAGTTCATCCAGGTGCCTAAGGGATAAGAAGGATAGACTCTATCATGTCCACTCGCCAGCCCTCCCAAGCCTCCAGAGCAGGGAGTGTCCATTCAGCAAGGGTCTCAGGGCCTGTGTTATAGGATCAACCTGAGTGCCAGAGGCTAGAGGGGAATGGGGCAGGCAAAAGACCACAGAAGAGGGCTTATTGCTTGGAAGACATGCAGAGCTACCCTCTCTCTGACCCAATGACTTTGTGGATCCTGAGGGCTGTACTGCACCTGCTGTGGGGACACAGAGAAGTCTCCACAGGATCTCGTGGAGCTGGGTCACTGAGAAAGGCTCTGAATAAGGTTCTGTGAGGAGGGGCACCTCAATTTGGGTGTAGAGGATGAATAGGAGCTGCCAGGGGAAGCAGGGAGGCTGTTCTCCAGGAGGAGGGAAACAGAGGCTCAGGAGGCTGGAGCTAGAGGAAGGTCAAGCAGAGGAGCAGGAAGGGCAGGCCAGTGCCTGCAGTAAGCCACAAGGAGAGGTGAGCCAGGCACCAGAGAGGGCTTAGCCACTTGGTTCACAGTGTCTGCTGAGGCCTGCTCCCAGTGCTGGACATCGTGTGGGCACAAGGAGAAGGAGACAAACATGCTTCCTTCTCACCTGGAGGCTGCCTTCTAGTGGGGAGGGGACAGAAATAGAACGACACATTTGAAAGTGCACTTGGCTCTCAGTGCGGTCAGTGCTGTGACTGGACACCCCTGGTGATGTGCCAGGGAGCAGCCATGGGCTGTGGGCTTGAGACTGCCTCCCCATGGGACACTGCAGCTGCTGTCTGAAAGTGGGCCATGGGATGCTGGTTGGGCAGAATGTGTAGAGACAGAGCGGTGCTACAACACCCCAAGGCGGGGTTGAGCCAGGATTCCCAGTCAACAGCAGTGAGGGAGACAACAGGGGCTAGGTCTTGGGCCTGGAGAAATGGTGATGTGAGCAGCAGGTGGTCTCCCCTTTCTCCTAGCAGCCACAGTGGATGGCCTGGGGTGGAGCAGAGACCTGCAGGAAGGAGGAAGTTTTGGTGGATGACATTTAGGGGGGCTGTGAACTCTCCCTTTTCTTATTGCAGCCAGAGTACCACCCTGATTATTTACAGATACCCTTCTTCTGCTGCAGGGTCACAGGTGTGGCCACGAGACAAGGCGTGGCTCACCAGAAGAGAACCTAAGGCTCCAGTCTAATCCTCTAATCCTGGTCTAGAAACCTTAGGAAAGCATCTGACAGCACAAGAGCAAAAACATCTCTTAGGTGATCATAGAAGCACTTCAGAACTTTCTAGAACTCTGCCTGGGGCTGGCAGATAAACCTTATTGCCATGTCCACCAAAGAAGATGGACTAATGGCCCCACCCGACCTTGGTGGAGGGTGGTTGGTAACAGACTGGCTTTATAATGGTTTACCAAGCTGAAATATGACACAGCATGGCTGTGTCTGGATAGCCAAACTGGGTGAGATGCCCTGTGACCCCAGAGATATAGGAAGGACACACAGCAAGTCCACCTAAGTGTGTCCTGTTTACAATGGCCACTGAGGGGTGTACACCACCCAAGCAGAGGGCAGCCTTGGAGCTGTGATATGGGGCAGTGGAGGGGTGGCTCACCTGAGGTGGGAGAAGTGGAGTAGATCTTTGTGTCATCCCCACCTCTCCCAAAAAAAAGAGGGTGATGGGAATTTAATACCAGCTCAAGAGCCGTCAGAGAGGAGCTCAGGAAGCAATAGGTCAATGTTCTGTGTGGCTGGGCATTGTGGCCTTGAGTCAGTTGATCAGAATGTCCCCACAGCATGTTGTCAGTGTTGAGTCATCTTAATGACTCAACCTGAGAAGTCATTGAGACGATTGAAATAGCCCAGCCAGCCTCACAGGCCAAGTGAACCATGAAGCTCCCACAGGGACAAATGCTCTTCGAGCCTTCTCGTACCACCTGGGCCAGGTGAGTCTGTCTTCACTCCCAGCCCGGGGAAGCAAGGTCCTCTGCCACATGTCCCCGTGGGGCTTCCGGCTCCTGGAAGCTTGCACACTAGGAGTTGTGTGACCTGGTGACTGTCTGGTGCTTGCCTGGGGGCAGGTAGTGGTTACTGCTACTGGTTTCCTTGTGGGGGGGGTCTCAGATCTAGGCCTTTGACCAGGGAATTAAGGGCAGATGGGATGCCCACCATCTTGCTGGAGGGCGTGGGCTTTGGATTCACTGATGTGCTAGTTCAGTCTGCCAGGCACAGAGTCTGACGTGGATCCTGTGTGTAGACACTCATGATGGAGCAGCAGGTGGGTCCCCAGAGATCAGACCCACAATGAGGGAGGGTGGCCACAAGTGCTGGATGGGAGAGATGTGGCCTAGGACTTGACCTGGAGGTCAGAGGAGGGCAATGCCTTGAGGGAAGTGCAAAGAACAGCCCAAGTTGAGCAGCCAGGCAGAAGCCCTGTCCCAGGAGGTCCACTGGGCAGGGCAGCAGAGGAGCATTTGAACCATAGAGATGGTGACCAGCAGGAGTGTGGCCACGCTTGATAGTTGAGTTTAGGGCAGCTGTGTGAAGCAGGCAAGCTCAGAAAAGGATGATGAGGAGAAACAGGAGCGGGAGAAGAGGGATCAGAGACAGGTCTGACACATTCTAAAACTGTAAGACTGAGTGGCTGTGGCATGTGGGTTTAGGGTAGCTCCCGTGTGTCTGGGACCCCCTGGGGGCTAAAAGTGCCCCTTAATTGGGGGCGGAGGGCAAGCAGGAGAGGAGGAATTTGGCAGTGTGGGGGGGGGAGTTCTCATGCAGGTGATATGCCTGTGAGGCCTCAGGTATCCCGTCAGAGACTTGGATCTGGGCAGTGGCCAGGGACCAGCCCCAAGACGAAGAGCCTAATCAGTCACCAGTGTACCCCTGGGAAACGGAGACACTGCCAAGATGCACCATCTTATCTCAAAGGCGGGAACACCTATGGCCCTCAAACCAATGCAGCTGTGCACAGCTTCCTCGAGAGCCCTGCACCCAGCACACAGCTGACACCCCCCAGTGTCCTCTGCCTTTGAGAGCTGGCAGGGAGCATTGAGGGTTTGGGAGGAAGCAGCTGAACGGCTTCCCTCAGCATTGCTCTGCTGACCACACCTGGGCAGCTGTCTCCTCAGGTGAAATGAGGTCTCTCTGCACCTAGGGGACCCTCCCATGGGCAACCTGTTCATATCAGGAGATGCATCCACAGGCTGCCCACGTGGGAGATGGGCAGGCAGTAGGACTGTGACAGGTGTCGTAGACAGCAAGCCTGAGCACCAACCTACACAACGGGGGCCTTGATGCTGAGACCTGTGGCCTCTGCAGCTTACCCCAAGATGTTGGCCAAATGCACTCTGGGCCCAGGAGAGTGTGCATAGCTGCTGGCCAGGGCATTTCAAGGGGCCGCTCCAGGATCGGCTTACTCCTGTGAGGACACAGGGTGTCCCAATTACTCAGAACAATGGTGTTCTTGGTGCAGGACAGCACAGCTGAAGCTCTGACTCAGATATTTTTATGCAGTCGTCACTCCCACACTCCGGGCATACTCACAGCCCGCCATGGCTTTGTGTGCTCAAGCTGTATCATTGCCTAAGACTCCTGTCCACATGGCCTCTGGATGCACATTTGACTGAGGCAAGGGGAGGTCCCCACCTCTCTCATGTTTCTCGGTTGGTCCCTGTACAGTGGTGAAGGCCTCCCAGCATACTTGTCAGAAGGGCTTCTGCCTCCTGAGACCCTCTGATGTTTGAGGGTAAATCCACGGGTGCTCTGTGTGAGCTCACTTTTATAAGGGATATCAGGGGTCTTCCCAGGAAGGAAGGGAGGAGCCCTGTGTTACCCTTGGGGCCCTCCATTTCCATTGGGATCCCTTCCTCATTGTGGGACTGATCATGTGGTCATAACTCACAAAACCACCTGTGCTTATCCGTGAGATCTGTCATCTGTCGGGGGGGGAGGGGGGGATCAGGAGTGAGTGGGGAGGGTGCTGTTGTCCCCTCCCCAGTCCCACCAGGGCTCACTCTCTGACAGTTTTGAGAAAGGGCATCTATATGCAGCCTCTGAAAACAGAGGCTTTTGGAAAAATTAGAAAAGTAAAAGAAAGCCATGTTCTCATATTTCCTTCCAGGCTGTTCTCAGTTGGACTGGGGCTCTGTAGCTGTGCAGCTTGCCTTTATTCCTGGATACCCCAGAGCCCTGCACCACTGCACCCTGTAGTGCTGATGTGCCCTTGTTTAAAGCCCTGGTGGGTTTTGATATTATAGATAGCACTGTAAAGACCTTCCTTGTAGCACTTGAATGTCTATTGTACATCTCTGGTCATCTCCCTAGAATGAAGGACTGTCAGGTGCAACAGGAGTGCCAAAACTCTGGACGAATCTTCACAAAAATCATCACCTAGAAAAGTGGAGGCTGGTTGCAGCTCTTACCTGTTGGCCAGGAGGCCCTTCCATTCACAGTGTAGTCCAGACTGCCTAGGAGCAAGACTTCTTAGCCTGATGCTGGGCTGAGCAAACCTCATCAAATAACCAACACTCATCTCTCCAGGCCAGCTGGGCTGGCGGGGAGGAATCCATGGCGATAGAAAAGTGTCCACATGCCCCTCCAACCTGGGGGTTTCTCTGCACCCCAGTTGCCTTCCCCTCCTGGAGGGGACAATGCCTACTATACAACCAATTCCTGCCTAGGAGCCCAGGCAGGATCCACACCCTGCTCCCTCTACTGCCTACGGTCTGGAGGGTTTGTGATTTGCCCTAGGGAACGAAGGCCCTAGGCTTGTGGTGGAAAATAACACCATGTTAATTTTATCTGTCCTACTTAAAGCTTGACATAGTCACAGACCACACAGAGAATATTAATTTTTAGACTGATATGTTGCCTATTTATACAAGTGAAATATATCCCTTTTTATTTGAAAACACCTTATGTATGCAAAATGGATCTCCAAGGTGTGTTCACAAAACTAACAGATGAGGACTTTTCAAAGCCCTTGGGAGCAGAGTGGGCCAGAAGTTTTTCCCCTTAGCAGGAAACAGTGGCCCAGAAGCACTGTGGTCATCCTGGGCAACCCAGAGATGCCAGCAGAGACACTCAGTCCCAGTCTCCCTGCAGAGCTATAGGAGACACTGAGAACCTGACAACGCCCTAGCAGAACTTTTCTATAGCGTCATCTCGGGGAAATGAGGATAAAAAAAATGTGACCATCAATTTTTTTTTCTTACAGCCCTAAGAACAGTAAGATTTGCAGCGACAAACTGCCCCTTGATGAACAAGCCCTGAGGAAGAAGATCAGCCGGACGTTCGATGAGACGGCACGCACCCTCCTTGGCAGCCTCCTGCTCTATGTCTCAGAACACAAAGACGGGCCCCAGAGGGCAGAGGACAGGGAGCACAAAGCCAGCCGCACACCCCAGCCCCAGGAGGCAGGTCCCCGGCCCACACGCTTCCAGCTTTTACAGGCCAAGTTCATGGGCACTGGCCGGGAACCGCACCTCAAGAGGACCCGGGAGGTGGGCCGGCTGATCTCCAAGGACAAACAAGGCCCTGGCAGGAGCCTTGTGAGTGCCACCATTAACAAACTCCTGGAGAAGACCAAGGAGGGGGGCAGCAGCCCTGGCCAGAGACGCCCGGCCAGCGAGAAGTCCCGATGGGGTCCCCATGGTGGGAAAAGCACGGTGAAAAACATCCTGAAGAAGTTCTTGGCTGCGGAGGAAAAGGAAGCTAAGGAGAAGGAAGCTCGAGAGAAGTCCCCTGCCCAGTGCCCCAAAACCACCAGGCCCCTACCAAGGGTCATGGGCAGCAGAAGCTCTGTCTTGACCAAGTTGAGAGAGAGATTTGAGCAGAGCGGCTGCCTCCACGCCGAGGCTGGCGTGCTGCCTCTGCACAGGGAGGGTCGAAAGAGCAAGAGCCAGCAGAAGAAGAAGGTGCACAGACCTGAGGTACGGGTGCTGCACACAGCCACCATGGCCACCAGCTGCACCAGGACACCCCCCATCCGCTTTCTGGCCTGCACAGCTGAACCCCTGCCAGCCCTCAACATTGCCACTATCGTCTGTGGCCCCCAGAGCTGGTTGTCCCACTGTGCAAAAATAAGTCACTTGGATTCCAGGCGGTGGCCCAAGAGAGAAACCAGGGTATCCCCGGACTTGGAGGGCATGGAGCCCAGTGGGAACAAAACCTTGGGATCCCTAACTGAGGAGCCCAAAAAACAGCTAAAGTCCCCAAAATCCTCGATGCCCCAGGCAGAGGCTCAGGGGGACCGTCACCTGGCTCTGGACATGGAGTGCATTTCCCAGCCAGACTCCTCTTATACTTACCAAGATGGCAAAGCCCTTTCCAGCTGTGTGTCAATATTGTCAACAGTTGAGCAGGCCAGCCTCAGGGGTGCTGGGCAAGCTGGAGAGGACAGGACAGCAGGGCCCAAAGCACAGGGGGAGGCAGACCACAGCCAGAAGGTGAAGGAAGGTGCAGGGGAGGTCCCTGAAGTCACCACGGCTGTATGCAGTTCCGAAGATGAGACAGAAAGAACACCCCCAGACACGGACAGAGAGCAGCTCTTCACCATGCAGAAGTACCTTCCAGAACAGGAAGTGGAGGCGTGGATCCCCTTGCTGGACTCTGCAGCAGTCCAGGCCACAAGGCGAGCCCAGCCGGCCATCCAGCCTGCACAAATAACCGTGCAGCTTCCCATTGTCCACAAAATGCCGGCCCCTGCTGCTCCTCTACCCAGGGTGTCAAGTCATGAAGACAAACATTCTCATGTATTTGGAGGAGATGATGTGATTGAAAATACACCAGTAGCATTTCTCACTGGGACTGAGGCCAGGAGGGGTCACCAAACCTCAGCAAGACTGGTGCCAGGCATCCTCGGTACTGCTGCAGAGCAAGGATCACGAGACGACCTAACAGATGCTGCTGGTGTGGATGGTGATGTTCTACAGATGGACCTGACACCAAAGCCTTTAGGGAGTTCTCTTGGCAGACAGGGGAACCAACATGGCGCTCAGAACTCCAGCGATCTCAGGAGTCACAGTGGCGTTCCAACACAGAGCACTTCTGAGCTCAGTTGGGAGAAGCATCTGCTGTCAGAATCAAATAAAGCACCAACCCCTAACAAAAGAGCCTCATCAATTTACCCCACAGCATCGGAACACTGCCTGAGAGGGGGCACCAGCCGGCCAGGGCCATGCCCTGTGATGCAGGTGCCATCCCAGAGCTGCATGAGGCCTGAGAGTTCTACCAGGATAACTAAGAGCACCCTGAATGGACAGAAAGAATGTAAAAGGCCCATGACAGTGTTGGCTTCACCCCTGAGGACTGCCCAGGAAAATAGCAGACATGATTTGAACAAGAACACACAGTGTTCATCAGATGAACTGCTCAAGGCAAGTATCAAAGCCTCTAGGGTAGCCACGGCTACGAGTGCCAAAATGCCATGGCCAGGTGGTACCCAGGGCTCTGAACAGAAGATAATGCTACAGCCAGATGGCACCCAGGATGGTGAACCTAAGGTAACTCCATGGCCAGGTGCTGCACGAGGCCCTGAACACAACATAACAGCACATCTAGGAGGCACCCAAGGCTCTGAACACAAGATACAGCCAGATGGTACCCAGGACCCTGAAAACAAGACAATGCCACAGCCAGCTGGTGCACGAAACCCTGAACACAAGAGAACACCACGGCTGGGTGGCACCCGAGACCCTGAACACAAGATAGGAGAAGAGTTGGCTGGTTTGGAGGAGGAAGATGGAGCATTGGTGGCATGTTACTTTGTTGCTAAAGGAAATGGTCTTGTAGGAGAGGGTCTCCTTCAAGAACCTGGCAGCCACCGTGTCTTGGCAACAAGCAAGTCCTCCAAGCACACGAGTGGAGCCACAGAAAGGAGTGTCTTAGGGGACACAGCGAGGCACCAGCCCCTAGCATGGGCGGCCCCGACTGCTCGGTCAGAGGAAGCTGGCAACTCCTGCCTGGTGCCTGATGACCCCAGACTGTGTGCTTCAACCAAATCAGCAGTCAGCAAACACAGTGCGGCAGTAGGGCGCAGAAAGGCAGCCTTGGAAGGAGACCCTGTGCATGAAAGCATGGTGTCCCAAAGCCCACAGAAGAGCCCTTCTCGGTCCCCAGGCCATAGCCCAGACCAGCCGCAGCTGCCCTCTGAGGGCCCCCAGGCACAGGACAGAAAGCACCTCACGGCAGAACAACGTCCTCCTTCTAGGGCAGCATTCTCTGTTGCTCATTCCACAGGGCCCATCGTGAGGGAGGAAGCCAGGCAGGTGGAGCCACAGGGCTCTGAGCCTCTTCCCCTCCACCAGTGGGCAGAGGGCAGGGCTGCCCCTGAAGCAAAGAGCTTGGGGAATGGAGCCCAAGAGAGGCGACCAGCACAGGTGGACCTGGAGCCACCACAGTGTCACCCCAAGCTGGAGGAAGCTGGCATGGGACACATGAGTTCACACCAAGCTGGACAGCAGGATGGTTCTGCACAGAGTTGGACAACACCTTTGGACCAGAAGGCCATGCTGGGTGTGACCGAGCTTCAGGCACACACTGCTCAGGACCTGGCAAGGGATGAGAAGATGCCAGCTGTGGAGAACCCCAGCCAGCACAAGGTCAAGGCCCAGGACCATACATGGGGGCCAGGATGGAAGGTTAGGAGCCCCACTCAGGGAGGTGATCCCCAAGCTGTCAAGAACCCAGCCACTCCAGAGAAGCCAAAGAAGCCTGGCAACCTGGCTGTGCAGGGACAGGCCCAGGGACAGAGACTGACCAACAGCAAGGTCTCCCAGGTCCAGGAGCAGCCTGACCGCACAGTAGAAGGGACACCCACTGCTGGTGTACATGGAGAACACCCAAGACCAGCCCTAAGAGTCTGCAGCCAGGGCAATGCAGGTGCCCAACACCCAACCCTAGGAAGCCGGCCTCTGACAGGTGATGGCACTGCAGTCTCCCTCCTGGAGCCAGCAGATAACTCTGCCTGGCCCACACCTGTTGCAGGGGGCCACCAGAGTCTCCGTTCCCCAGCCCAGGAAGGGCTCCCAGATACCCCTGGGCCAGAGAGAGAGCTGTCAGACGTGGGGCGTCGCAGAAAGTCAGCGCACTTTGCAAAATACAAAGCTCAAAGCTTTAGGGACCAGCGAGACTTCGAGCTGTCCTTCAGATCCACAGTCCTCAGGGCCACTGACCCCCTCGAGCCCCCAAAGTGAGCGTGCACTGTAGGAAGCCAGCGCTCCAAACCTTCAGCTGGGGTTTCCACGCGTGACCTGCCTCCAAATGAACACGTTTTGAGCATCCCTACAGAGACTCCAGGGACTTGGAGTCTCATTTCCTTTCATTTTACACGAGCTGATCTTGGGGGTGCATTGCAGTGTTCCCTGCTTGGGCCCGGGGCACTGCACCCTTTCCCAGGCCTCGAGGCAGCCGGGGTGAGGAAGGTACTGGCCAGAGCTGCTTTCTGCCTGTGGCTCTTTACTTTCAGAGATCCTTGTGTTTGATTGGCACTCACTCCTGCCCTCCAGTGCCTTGAATGGTCCCTGCTGTGCCCTCTGGCTCTGCTCTCTATCCAGGGCTGGCCTCCCCCATGTCCCTGCCAAGAGCCCAGTCAGTGCCTGGGACCCACAACCTGAGCCCTGCTTGTGTGGGAAGAGAAATGTATGCCTGAGCCACAGGGTCCCCCAGACTGGTGCCAGCCACATGGTGGTCACACAGAGCTGGCAGGACACTGGGGTCTCACTATGTAGTCTGCTCGTCTTCACGGCAGACCTCAAGAAATACCCAGGAAGGTGACCACAGGGAGCCACACAAGACTCTCTAACACTAATCCCAAGCAAGCTCTCATTCAGAAGCTAGATGGTAGCCAGGCACCAGTGGCTCACACTTGTAACCCTAGCTACGCAGGAGGCAGAGATTTGGAGGACTGCAGTTCGAAGCCATCCTGGGAAATAGTTCGTGAGACCCTGTCTGAAAAAACCCATCACAAGAAAGGACTGGTGGAGTGGCTCAAGGTGTAGGCCTTGAGTTCAAACCCCAGTACCGCCAAAAAAAAAAAAAAAAGGCTGGGTGCTGAAACTGACCCAAGTGTGGACGCTACTGATGCCAAGCAATGCTTATCCTGCTGTCACTGCAGAGTAAGCTGCACTGGCCAGTTGTTCTCAGTTACTAAGATAATGCATTTCAGCCTAGATACCTGGTGTCTGCTGCGAAGCACACACGTGGACAGTCCCGGGCACAACCATGCAGTTTGCACATCTTCATGTCCCAGGCCACACAGAAGGGGGCCTCCTGCCGTGTGGGGTGTTCCCATCTTGCATGAACCCACCGAGGAGCTGGGGTGGTGACTGTCCACAGCCTAGTGTGATCTGGATCGGGCAGTACCACTCTGCAGAATGTTAGCTTTTGCCTTTTGAAGACTTCCTGGTTTGCTTCCTTTGCAACTGAGCAATTCCCCAAAATGCCCACCATCCTAAAGAAGGCTGTCTGCACACTGTGATCTTTGTTTTCTGATGAATATCCATTCAAAGAAAAACATCTTCTAACTTATGCTTTGAAAGGGCACCCTGTCCCTGGTAAGGCTGGAATGTGGGGCCCTCCTCCCAGTGCAGGGTCTCCCGAGCTGAGGATCAGACCACTGTGAAGGTAGCACTTATGGTCAAGCCAAAGGAGGACAGTCCCCATCTCCCAGAGCCTTGAGGAGGCCCCTCAGCCTCTGTGTTTTACTCTCAGCCAGTGCTGAAGCTGCATCAGACTGTGGGGTGCAGTGTCCACTGTCCAGGGGCCTCAGTAAAGCCTGATCCTAAAGTTAGGGCTAACTTCTGGAACTGCCCAGCCCTGGGACCATGCACAGGAAAGAGGGGACAGTCTCAACAGAGGCCAAATACCAGCCTTTTGGACCTGCCAACACCTGTTCATACCAGGGGTGCATGCATGGAACTGGGAGGTGGCCCCAGGCAGGACTGCCCCCCACCATATTGTTGCAAAACCTTTTCACTTATTCTATTTATTTATGCTTTGTTCCACAAAGGACATGAAGTGATGTTTGGCAAAGAACATGGTGACAGACCAGGAGATAAAAATATCACCCTCACGGGGTGTTCCCTTTAAAAATAAAAATAATAGGACTTTGCTGCTATTTTTAAATAGACCAGAAAGGCATGGAGATTGCTCCAAGTGGTGGAGGACTGTCGGCCTGTCCCCCACACAGCAGCTGCTGCAAAGCCACCCGAACTCCTCGGCTGTTGGAGGCACAGCGCTGCCTGGCTCCCAAGCGCCTGTGTGCAGGGAATGGCTGTGACTGATTTTCTTTGTGGATCTCAGAGTGGTCAGTGTGAGTTTGTCCTAAAGTGACTGAATGTCAGCACACAGCTGACCACAGCATCTGCACATCCACGGGGAGAGCCCTCTGTGCCTTGGGTCAGAACAGTTCCTGTTGAAGGGTGGGGGCAAACTAGCCCCAGAAAGTTTTTAAGTAAGAGCCAAAGTTTTGGGGTTTTTTAAGTGTTTGTGTCAGCTTTTAGCTGACTGGCCAGTTAACATCTTTGAGCAGTTCACTGGCTTATACCTTGCTTAGGCTTTCACAGCTCCTTCTGCTGTTTACTAAACCCACCTGTGAGCACACATCTGCAGGCCAGGCAAACACAGCTGCTGGGTAAACCCACTCACATGCCCATCCCACGGGAAACCCCACAGAAGTGCAGTTGTGAAAAGATGCTCCACTGGGAAATGTCAACCTTAGAATTTCACAGACTGAACATCACATATTTTTTTCGTCTTTGCCATTTGAGCTTTGATCTTTTAATTATGTATCAATCCATGGCTACTCATTAAATTTTCTTGTTTGCATTCTCCTTTTGTTATTGCTCTGTGGTGCTGGGGAGTGAGGAGCCCAGGGTCTTGCCCATGCTAGGCAAGTGCTCTGCCACAGAGCTACATCCCCAGCCCTTCTGTCCATGTACATAAACAACTGTAAAATGGGTTAATCAGAAAAGCAACTAAGTGTATTTTGTTGCATGGCCTCCTTTAAATTTTTACTAACTTCATATAGCTGGAAATTTTTAGAAAGAAAATAAAGTATATTTCCTGTTTCATATCTCTTCCTTGCTACATAAATGAAGGAGGAGTCTCATACTGGAAGTGGTCACAGAGCAAGGGAGCAAACTCACTGCAAACAGACCCAGGGCTGGCCCCACTGGATGGCCCCCTCCCTTCTGGACATTCAATAGATTTCCATGCCAGGGCAAGCAGTGGGCTCTTGGGGTCTGCGGATGAGGGGAGCTCACTGTAAAATTCAGAGCACTGAGGCCATCCCAGGGTGGGGTCCCTACCACTGGGACCCATCCCGAGCCCAGAAACATCAGTTTATTTATTTATTTTTTTTTTCCATTTTTCTTTTATTATTCATATGTGCATACAAGGCTTGGTTTATTTCTCCCCCCTGCCCCCACCCCCTCCCTTACCACCCACTCCACCCCCTCCCGCTCCCTCCCTCAATACCCAGCAGAAACTATTTTGCCCTTATCTCTAATTTTGTTGTAGAGAGAGTATAAGCAATAATAGGAAGGAACAAGGGTTTTTGCGGGTTGAGATAAGGATAGCTATACAGGGCATTGACTCACATTGATTTCCTGTGCGTGGGTGTTACCTTCTAGGTTAATTCTTTTTGATCTAACCTTTTCTCTAGTTCCTGGTCCCCTTCTCCTATTGGCCTCAGTTGCTTTAAGGTATCTGCTTTAGAGAAACATCAGTTTTAAAAGGGAATAGCAATGCTCGCCACTTCTGAGACTGTGTAGAGACAGGCCTTCCTTCTTATAACACAATTGGGCAATAAGCACCCCGAACCTACAGGAGGTGTGGGTCCCTATCCAGTAATTCTGCTGTTTCAGGAATCACATTAAAGATATAGCCCATTTTTTGTGAAAATATTTAAAGATAATCTGTTTAGCGTGGTATTTATTATTCAAGGTAGACACATAGGGAGCATAAATACCCACCAATAAGAAACTGATTAAATAAATTCTGGCACACTGGTCAGTGAAATATTATGCAGCCATTTAAAATGCTGCTTGAAGGCCAGGCATAGTAGTTTGTGCCTGCTCTAGGTAGGAGGATTGAGGTCCAAATCCCACTGTAGGCAGAAATGCAAGACCCTATCTGAAAAATAAGGACAGGAGGAAAGGACCGGAGCCATGGCTCAAATGGTAGAGTACCTGCCTAGCAAGCGTGAGGCCCTTTGTTCAAACCCCAGTACCGCCCCCACAAAAGTAAAATAAGTAAATTTTTAAATGGTGCTTAAGAAGAATTTTGTCAAATGGGAAGTATCTCATGGGGTGGGGATGTAGCTCAGTGACAGAGCACTTGCCTAGCATGTGCAAGGCCCTGGGTTTGGTCCCCAGCACAAAGGAAGTACCACTTAGTGTTTAAAATCCAGTTGGTCTAAATACGTAAGCACGTGCAATGGAGAAATAGAACCGGGGTCGTCTGTGAAAGGTGAGCTTGTAGGTAACTCTTCTTGCCTTTGCACGTGTCTGCTAAGTTCATTTACCTGTAACTGAAGCACTTTCACTGAGAAAGTAAGTCCCTACATTTTAGGCATGGGGAATGCTGGTGGGAGCAGGAGTGAGGCCCCCGTGCCTCTGTTTACCAGGCCTGTGGTCCTGTGGGAAGTCCCTGCCATCCCAGTACTGCAGAAGTCTTCTGTCAGAGGTGAGTGGACTGGCTCTGCCCACCCGCCTCTGCACCTGTGTCCCCAGGCCACCTCAGGTGCACGCCTCATTATCAGAGGCCACCAGGGGGCAGTGCTGGTCTCCAGAGCCTCAGCGTTGGCTGGAGTCCAGTGCAGCTCGAGGACTGTCCAGTTGCTACCGTATCTGTACCCTGTGGGCTTTGCTAGAACAAGATCAAGATGAGTTGGAGTGAGGGGTCAGCACACAAACTAACAGTCTGTCAGCACACGCCTTTCAGCTGAATGTCTCAGAAACACTGTGTCCCCAAGCCAGGCAGAAGCTCCCCCTGACCACAGGCTGGTCCCTTAGCCCCTTCCTTGTGTCCATAGGGGTTACTGAGCTCCTGTGTTTCCAAGGAGATGGTGTAGTCTTGCAACCAGGACCTAATGCTCTACAGTGGCTGGCAAGCTTTGCATCCTGGCCTTGTCACCCACAGTCACGTGGCCCTTCCAAAGTTCCTTCAGTGTGTGTGGTGTGTGCCCGTGTGTGAGTGTGCACAGTGATCTGGGTGGTGAGGTCCTTCCATACCTGCCCAGGGCTTAGTTTCCTCTGCCCTAAGTACGGATGCAGTGCCTGCCTCAGTGGGTCTTGTGAGCACTGTAGTAGTCACTGTGCATTCAGCACTCAGGGTAGTGCTGGGCACAGTGTTCTGTCTTATTTTCCCCAAGCTTAGGTACTTGGTATTGTATGATTATTTACACACAACGCTCATGCACATAAAGAAATGAAAGGAAAATACCAGAGGTTTCACAGTGTTTAACTTAAAGTGATGAAATTTCAGATTGCTTTTCTTTTTAATTTGGTAAATTTCATTTTTCCATGAATTTTTCCATTTCACTTAATCTATCGATATGAACTTTATTGTCATATTTTTCGTATTATTTTAATGTGCCTTCTATTCTCCATGTCAAGTTCCACAGAGAGTTTAACAGCTTTATCAAAACACAATTTGCAGGTCCTGTCATTCATCCACTTCAGTGCACAAATCAATGGCTTTCAGTGTATTCAGAGTCCTGTGACCATTGCCACCATCAATTTTAGGACATTTTTATTCCCCAGAAGGAAACCCTGCACCCTTAGTGGCCCCTGCCACTCCCCTCCACCCCAGTCTTGGGGACAGCCTACGTGTGTGGCCTTTGTGTCTGGCTTCTGTCACTTGGCATGGCATTTTACAGGTTTGTCAGATGCAGCAGGTGTTGCACCTCATTCTTTTTCGTTCCAAATGATATTGCCCTGG